CTGCGGGCAGACTTCATGACCTCGCGGGCAACGATGACGCTGGCGTCACGGACGCGCTCGATGCGGGGGTAGATGAGACCCTTGTGGATCTCGTCAACGTTGAGAGACGCGGCGAGAGCGGCAGCCGAGGTGTAGACCATGTCGTCGGTGACCTTGGAGGCCTTTGCGAGGATGGCACCGAGACCGAGACCAGGGAAGACGTAGACGTTGTTGCCCTGGTTGGGGTGGTAGGTGATGGCCTGGCCGTCGGGGCTCTTCATGGTGAAGGGGTTGAAGGGGGAGCCGGAGGCGAAGATGACGGTGCCGTCGGTCCACTGCACGGCCTGCTCAAAGGTGCACTCGGCCTTGGTGAGGGGGTTGCTGAGGGGGAAGAGGACGGGGCGGCGGCCAAGACCGCCAGAGTCGACAGAGGCCTTGAGGGCGCGGACGACGGACTCGGTGAAGACGCCAAAGGTGGCGGTGAGGCCGACGAGGGCGGTGGGCTTGACGTACTCAATGACCTCCTCGAGGGTGCGGAACTGGTGGCCGTTGTTGTCGGTGCGGGCAAAGTACTTCTTGTGCTCGGCGAGCTTGTCACCGCGGTCCTTGGTGACGAGACCCTTGGTGTCGACCAGCCAGAACTTGTCCCTGGCGACCTGCTCGCTGAGGCCACGCTTGGTGTAGTACTCGACGAGCTGCTTGGCAACACCGACACCGGCGGAACCGGCGCCCATGAAGACCAGGCGCTGCTCCTCGAGGGGAACGCCAGAAAGCTCGACGGCGTTGATGTAACCGGCGAGGACGACAGCGCCAGTTCCCTGGATGTCGTCGTTGAAGCAGCGGTACTTGTTGCGGTAGCGGTCGAGGTAGTTAAAGGCCTTCTCGGACTCGAAGTCCTCAAACTGAACAGTCATCTCGGGATAGACCTCGGTGACGGCCTCCATGAACTCGTCCATGAACGCCTGCTGCTCGGCAACGGACACACGCTTGGAGCGGATGCCAAGGTAGAAGGGGTCCTTCAGGTTGGTCTCGTTGTTGGTGCCGGTGTCGAGGACAATGGGCAGGGTGTTTTCGGGGTGGATACCGGCGGCACCAGTGTACAGAGCGAGCTTGCCAATCTGAAGTTGTTAGTTGAGTTACACAGGAAGAGGACGCGAGACCTACGGAGATACCAACACCGTTGACACCCAAGTCACCAAGACCCAGAATGCGGGAGCCGTCAGTGACGACGCAGATCTGGGGGTTGGGGTAGGGCCAGTTGCGGAGCATGGTGCGGATGGACTTTCGCTGCTTAATCGAGATGTACAGAGCCTCAGGGCGGGTGTAGAGGGTCGAGTATTGCAGGCAGACATCGCCAATGGTAGGGGTGTAGACCAAGGGCATGAGCTCGCGGACGTTGTCAATGAGCAGGCGGTAGAAGAGGTCAAAGTTTTGGGCCTTGAGCGAGGACAGGTAGAGGTACTTGTCGACGTCGGTCTGGCGGGTGTTGATCATCTTCATGGCCCGCTGGCATTGCGTCTGGAGGCTCTCCATGGTGTGAGGGATGAGGCCGGTGAGGTTTCTGGTGACGCGCTCTTCGGGCGTGAAGGAGAGACCTGATTCGACCATGGCGGTTAGTTTAGACGACGAGTGGATGGAAGCACGAGGCAGAGGATTGAGCAGTCGAGGAAGTGGTGAGGGAAGACGACAAGCGCGCCCAGAGAGTAAAGAAGCCATCGAAGGGGGGGTGGTGAGGATGCAAAAAGGACGATGGTGGGAGGAAAAAAGAGGGAGGCTATATAGAAGGGTGCAAACTGAAGGGATACGCCATGTTGGGGGAAAGCCGGTGCGTGCAGAGTGCAGTAAGGTTCAGTGCGGACGCAGGAAAGACGGTGTAAGTGGGGTGCTGCCGTGATCAACTCACCTTTGTTCCAGAGGGGCTCGCGCAGGATTTGGAAAGCGGTGGCCTGGGTCTTGGGCACGTATTCCGTGTTGCGGTATTGCTGAACCTCGCCAAAGGTGTTCTGGGAGTAGCCACGGTGCTGGTCGAGGGAGGCCATTCTCATCTTGTCTTCAATGACGGAGATGTCGACGGAAGACATGGGGTTGAAGTCTGTCATTCTGCGACTGGACATGGACATGCGCTTGTTAGATATAGAAGAGCGAGAGGAGCGGGCAGAGGCGACGGACGATGGCGAAGGCGAGGAGGACCGGGGCGTAGAGATGTCTGAGGAGCTGGCTGAACTGAAGGGATACGACGCCATTGACATTACCGGCGCATGTGTCGGTGGGAGAGATGCGGAGAAGAAAGAGGAGGCGGGAGTGGGCGACGGAACGAGGCAATTAGTAGTAGTTGGAGCTCCGAGGCGAAGCAGATGAGCGTGATGGGTAGTGGTGCGTGTGGTGTAATGATGGGACCGGCCGGAACGTGATATTAGTCGTTGATGAGGTAGACGTGGGAGAGCAGTCTTCGGAGAAGGCGCAGGAGGGCAATTTAGAGTATGGTGAGAGCGTGGAGTCGCAAGAGTCGCATTGGATGGACCAACAGAGGGGAAGGGCGTTGTGTTCCCTGCAACTGGATCGCGGACGAGGAAAAGTCGGTTTAAAACCTTGTGAACTGGTCCGGTCGTCGATGGAGGCTTGCCGGGCCAGGTACAGCGACTTAGACCCATGGCCACGGAGGATCTGAGAATGATAGGGAGAAGGGGGTTTCAAGGCGGTTTCACAAAGGAGGGATGGCAGCAAGGCCAGGCGCCGGCAGAGCTGTCGAGGTACCGGGTACTTGCCTGGACGACGGACGAGCGAAGCCTGGGGACGGGAGACGGGATACGGGCGGACGAGGAACGAGAATTGGGAAAGTGATGGAGGGATGGGACGGCGCACACACACACCCAGAAAGAGAGAAGATGGGATGGCGGGGACAAGGGAGTGCTCTGTGACTGTGCGTTGTGCGTGTGTGTGTGTGTGGCGTGTGTTGGAACTCGAGCGTACGCTGGAGGAGCTCCAAGCTTTGATTCGAATCCAACAGCCAACTGTGTGATGTGCTTCCAAGGTTTCCAGCCTGGGTCCTGGGTATCCGTAGGGAGCCCAGGGACTGAGGATTGGTACCCGAATCGGGGGTCGGATTGTGCAGAGGGTTCGCTGCAGGTGGTAGCAGGGTGTGCGGCGTGGAGCCGGGAGACCAGGGTGGTTGAATAACGGGGGCGACGAGGGTCCGTCGACGACCGGGGTGGTTAAGGGTTGAGACGGGGGTGTCGGTGTGGAGGGTGGGAGAAGACGGAAGCCAGACCCGATCCTAGGAATTGGCAATTTCTTTTTTCCTCTGGTTGTCGTTTTTTCCCTCGATTTCGTGCAATTCTGGCTGAAATCACACAGAATTGGAGAAGGCCGATGAAAATTTTCAAGTTGGGGTAACTGGGTACCTCGTCAGGTTCTCCGTATACGGGAAGCTCTAGGCGACACAAGGACGGGGGCGTGTGTAAAGGTCAATGGTTGGGGCCGAGAGGGGCGTCGGTGAGGCGACGGGAGGGCGGCAAGGTGAAGACGTGGTGACGCCGGGACGGTGTATCCGGAAGCGAAGGACGAGGTCCAAGAATCAGGAGGTGGTTCGCACTCCTGAATAGCAAACGGGTAATTAGCCTGAGAGAACAACTCAATGGTGTTAGTGGACGGCCCGTTTCCGTCAGCTCACAATGGCGTACGGTGGTGATGCTATCTTGGTCTTTCGACGAGCAGTTGGAACTTTGCATGGAAGCTGACGAAGGACTGAGATGCAACGTGGCGGGCGAAATCCACCGTGGAAAGGGGGCCTGCCTACCTGGGAAACGAGCTGCAGTGGAGACTCGAGAGTGTGCTGTCCGTCACTTTGAGGATAAGGTGAGCTGACGGAATGCGGAAGGTTTAGCTTCGCTTCGACGTGGGAGGGCGTTCGTGGGCGTGGGAGGCGTGGGATGTCAGCCTAAGCAGGAAACTTGCAAGCAGCGGCGCAGCGGCAGTCGAGCCCAGTCTGTCCCGGCGGCGAGTGGGGACGAACTATTCGTGTAGATGTCCGTGGAGTGTTGTTGTTTCTTTCCGAGGCGATCCAAATTGATTCAGTTCAGTTTCGTAAAGATCTTCTCATAAAGAGGATTGGGTGTTGTCAACTTTCAGATTGTTTCCCCTTGATGGGTGAAGCCTCAGAAAGGAAAGAAGCAACTGGAAGTCTCTCTTGCCGTGGCTAATGGAATGGAAGGTACCCCAAGGCAGGTGGTTCCTGCTATTTCTACACTTGATTCAACGGAAGGCAGCTCCGACTACGGGATCGGTCCTGCCTTGTTCATTTGACGATGCAGAGTCATAGGGCAGGTACTCCGTAGACCAGGTGCTACTGGCCGCCGTTCCTGGGCGCTGAAAATTGCGCGCTGATTCTCACCAAATCAAAGAATGGGAACACGCACAGAAAAGGAACATTTCGAAGAGTCATCATCACTGCCAATCGGCCCTGCCCCCCGACCATTCTTGTTTACGGCTTCCTTCATGCTTGGGTCACTCCACATTCTTTTCTCTGTTTGGTGTACCACCGTATTTTTATTTTATTTTTTCTTCCCCTGACCTAGCGACTATCGTCCATCGGCCATCCCCTTGCGCCCTGGTCCCCATCGACTCTTGCTTGTGCCCCAGTGAGACACTGCAACACATCGCACAATCCTCACTCCTCGCCGTCCAGAGGAACCAAAGGCTCAGACGCCCGCAGGCGCAACAAACGCCCACGGCCTCTTGTGCAGACGTCTTACGTACAGTCATCATCCACGGCAACTAAACGCACCCAAGCTTCACCTAGCTGCGGCTAAGCTGTGCCTACTGCGTACCCCCAAAGGCCCAAGGCACCTCTTTTTGTTGGGATGTCTGATCCCTCCCGCCTCTCCAAAACCGCCAACCGGTGAGAGAGAGAGAGAAGAGAGGTGCGACGTCGGCACAAACACTAGAAATCCCCGACAAATACGGCACAATGTGTCAACCGTCGGCACTTTCAACCCCCAAAAAGTCGTCAGCCATGCAGCCCAATGTACGTTGTCGTCGTACTCGAGCCCACGACCCTGTCGCGCCTTGCAGCCCGCCAGCACTGGCACTTGCACTTGCACTTGCACTTGCACCTGCATCCCATTCCCGCCTGCCGCCCCCCCTCACACCCAAAGACGTCGACCCTTGAGCCAGCTCCACCGGAAGAACAGAAGAACATCCACTTGGGCTTCCCTCGCGAGGTGGAACCCATGGAACTCCCTCTGCTTCTCCATCACCGGCCGGACATCTCGCCGACGCTAGCTGTACCTAGCAATCACCCGTCCGGGCCTCCTCCAACCTACAATGTCGAATCCGCCCTCCGACGGTCCCCGGGACCGCCACGGCCTCTGTCCGTACGAACGACGAATACACAGCTTTCCGTGCGCACGCGACTCACCAGCCTGACCAATGCCTTTGACGTCGCATTCCCCATACGTCTGTCTGGCTGACGTGCTCGCTCAGTAGACAAGGGACGAACGAAGCTTTGCAGAAAGACACACCCCCCCGACCCGTGAACGCCAACAGTTTCTTCGTTCCATGTTTCCATCTTGTTCGTCGCACTATTGCTTGGTGAAAAGCAAAAAAATCAGGGGCTCGGCCGGTCAACGCAATGTCCAAAGTCTAACAAATCAACAACTACTATTGAAACGAGGGAACCGAAAGAGACGGGGGATATCTTCAACCGCCAGCCAATGACGGCCGTCACATTTGTTGGCCATCGCCCTCTTCCGGCTAGTCTCTGTCACAGCGTCCCGAACCGTTGTCCTCCAGAGCTGGGCGTCCGTTGTCTGCGTGTGTTGCACTCAGTGGGCGGCGTGCCTCCGGGCCTTCCACCAGCTGTTGGGGTAGGTACTTGGATCCGGGTCGGCCGTCGGAATTCAACCCCATGCTTGTCTTTGATGCGACGCTGCGGTGTCTGCAGGTACTTTTCGCCCCTTGGCAAAATTCCGGGTCCCCTTCTGGAATATGATTGAAGACCCAGGCCTGAATAGACGACGCTCGCGAAATCGATTTCCCCAATGGATACGAAATGACGCTGTGACGGAGGGCCCAAAACTTCGGCGGGATATCGGGTTAAAGGTTCATCAGGCGATATCCCGCCCTATCAAAGGCTGGAGCACGTCAGAATCAAGCCTCCCGCGGGAGTTGCTGCGATATCCCGCCGTCTGAGCCCATGGCGCCAGCTCGTAACTCGTGTTCAACACCCGATACGGCCCCCTTTGCTGCCCATCATCTTCCCACCATCCCGTGAGCGAGGTGGACCGGAGCCCCCAAATCTCTAATTCATCAAGATAAGCAAAGGCGAACAGATTGACAACAACACCGTCGACGTCTGCATACCGAGCATGACTCTCCCTTTGAGTCCTCCCAAGCCTCAGACACGACGAGCTCCCGACTTTGCCCGATCCCTCCACAGGGGTTCCGCTTAGCGGCAAGCCACAACAAGGCGAACCCACACCGCACGCTGACGGCAGACCCACCGGTACCGAATGCCAGGCCTGGCTCCAAAACTTTTCATACCCCCCCTGGTCATGGCTCCCTCCCGACTTCACAAGCACGACAAGCTCACCCACTCCTCGAACTTGGAAGGCTCGAACTCCCCCTTCTCCTGGCTGTTCATCACACTCGATGAGGATCTTCTGCGGATTGAAACAAGGACCTTCCACGCGTCCAGTCTAGTCTCTCCTAGACGCAGTAAAGTCTCGAGTCTCGACGCCCGTCCCCCACCCGTCTCAAACACGACTCTGCTTGCAAATCACAGTTTCGGCCGTTTTGAAGCACGCACAAGAAGTCATGCCTGAGGGTTACTCCCACCGTCCACTGGGCAAGACAGGGTCTGTTGTTGATGGTACTTAGAGATCGAAATTTCAGACGAAACCACGTTAAATGGACGTCAGGTTGCAATGCCTGCCGCTGGTCGACCAAGTTCACGGTACTTGCGATTGCGCATGGTGTTCGTCTCGGCGCCATGGCAGCTTCGGTTTCTGCATCGCGAGCTAGGCGATGACTCGGAGCGGTTCGGGGCGTACGTCTTGAGGTTTGTCCTGAGGTCCGTCCGGGCTTTGATGTCGTTGAGGTTGGTCATGTCAAAGTTTGAACTCGGGACTTTTCTCGTCGACCCCATCTCGTCACTTTGACTGTGGCGACCTCTGCAACCTCGTGAACTCTACAGAGTCGACAACACCGAATTTGGCCCGCTGTTCATCAACAGACAACAGTATCCCAACCCTCCGAGACACCGTAGTAGTGTAGCAACAGTCTGGCTTATCTTGATTCCCCCGGACTTCCCACACGTGCTGAGACAACCTTCTTCACCCGCGATCCCATTCTCGCCTTGGCAACCTTGGCGTCTGGACAAACGCCGCCAAGCTTCTTGTCAAGACCGATCAGACGCGTCAACCCAACACTTTGGCTCTGGGATCACCGCTTGGACCATGGCCGTTCACCGGGCACCTGACCGGGCACCTGACCAGGCACCTGACGTCGTCTGCAATATATCTTACCTAACATTACCTAATGGCAATCTTGCTCTGCATATCTCGAGAGCTTGACCGTCGCGGTTGAACCGTCAACAAGCTGCTGACAAAATCGCAATGTTTCATCCTCTCTTCTCTTCTCGTCGCTAGCTGGACCATGGATGTCTCGTGGAGTTGGACCTAGTCGATGCGGGTAAACGCCGGCCACCAGCGGACGATTGCCGTCTTGCGCAAATGTCAGCCATCCCGCACCTCCAGAACCTGGCCCGGCGTCGCTAGCCCGCTCCACTGGCGGCTCTTTCAAGCTAGAGGCTAGAGCTTTCAAACCTCCCCGGCCCCGCATGGAGCTAAAGACGGGGGCGTCGCACCCCGCACGATGCAACTTTGGAGCTGTCACGCTTCCGACAAGCTCCGTTGGTCTCCGTATTTCGGAACCGGTTCCTCTGACGCGCGCCAACCAGTTTTTTTTTTTTTCTTCCTCGACGGTTGTCTCCATACGGAGTATCTGTCGTTGACGTCTCCATGCGTCCACGAGTCCCATCCTACCCCGGTTTCCATCTCTCGGGCACCAACGAGGTGCCGCCAGATGCAAGATCATCTAGAGATTGCCGCCCCTGATTGGGCCTCTCTCTGCAGCAAGCTCTTCTCTGGGGAAAGGCTTTCGGACATTGCCCGAGTTCGCCATGGGATTGTTAATGGTAATACGGAGTAGTGACGGTTAGAGTTTTGTGCGTCCACAGCCTCGTCCAGATCCCCCACACCAACCCTCACCACGACAATCACGCCCCACGGCGGAGGAAAGACTCGGAGAGGGCGCGTGTCGGGGTCTCCGAGTCCTCCCGAGGGGGCAGAAGCTAGTCCGCATAGCTCCTCATCGTACTCCGTACTCCAGCATCAAATCCTCCCTTTGATGCTTCGCGTCGTATATCGTGGCCTATGAGGGCAACGAAACCCACAAACCCTCAATTGGGAAATTTACACCGGTCTCCTCATAATGGTAGGCAGAGTCGAGTTTGAATCGACGATCGTGGAAGTTTTCCGGCGCGGGAGTTATGCTGGCGAAGCGATATCGGCCATGGAGCAGACCAATGGACTTACACAGTTCCTGCTTCACCCGATTTCTTGCCCTGCTCGCATGATTTCTCCAATTCCAAGGCGTCACATGGGTATGCGGGCAGCAAGGTGTCTTTTGAGCGTTTAGATGGGTGGTCTATACTGCATAGGATCCCGAGGGATGCTGGCGATATGGCCGTCCACAACTGTGAGTCGTGGGCAATGGCGTCAACACACATGCAAAACGAACCGGAGCCGTCACTTTGGATGACATGTGGAAGCAGTAGTGGTGTTTGGCCAGACCACCTCGCATCTGCAATGCAACATCCAGGCTGATTGAGTCCTGTTCTGATAGACCAACGCCCTCGCGACCTTAGACTGGTGGATGGCCTCTTGGAGGGCTTCGACGTTGATTTGGTCGCGGTCGATGGCTTGCATCTTCCAATGCTGCCGCACGTCAATCCTCATCGAACACTTGACAAAGCCTTCGCTGCTGACATCACGAAGGTGGCATCGGCTCGAGGCACATGTGACGCTCTATGCCGAGGGCATCATCGCTGCGCCGTTTACGAGCCTCGATGCCTTGGACTTTGTGTCGCGGTCTCGAGCCGTCTGACGTTGCAGCAGGGCTATGCTTCATGGCCATGAGCCGACGAAGGCCCCCCTTGGCTGATGATTGTGAAGCCGAGGTATCGTCGTCTTGTACGGTGAATTGTTTGTATGTTACATGACACCAGGCCGTGATAACCATCTCCGGGCCGAGGCGACAGAAGGCCTGTGGGCAGCGTGTCGTTGCGTCCATGCCCAAAGCCGGGGATTATCGACACTCGAACGGGAATAAGAGTCGGTGCCGGGAGACCTCCACTTATGTGGGCTTCCATTACGCCGTCGGGGCCTGGAGGTTCGGGTCCGTGTCCGGGCTCGATCCGGTGTCGAGTGCGGTGGCATTGCTGTTCGTCCCGTGATGCCATGGCTGAGTCGAGATAAATGCGTTCCGTGGCTGATTCAATAGCTTCCGAGATCCTGTCTTGCAGCAGTTGTGGTGGTCATCCGCTTCTCGGGGACTGTCTGCTCCACTGCCAGCTCTGTCGAGAGCCGGATCAAGTGCCAAATAGGCTCCCTTCTTCACGCTGGAGGTCCAGAAGGAACAGCGAGCCAGCGAGATTGAGACTGCTTCTCTGCCGCAACACACATCTCTGGCGTCCCAGGTGAGTGGATGAGGGTGAGGGCGGACCGTCCGTCTGCTCTGTCAAGAACGTGGGAAAGACAGTTTGACCCAAACGCGAGGGGGCGAGAAGATGGGGGGGGGGGGGGGGGGGAAGATGTCGACGTTCTAGACGGCGACTGATTTTTGGCCATTTTCTCCGTTTGAGTAACCTGGTCAACGTATCCCAGTGATTCCGAACACCATCACAAGCCTCTCGCGCTTCAGCGGCGTCGATGGACCTGGTTCCGTCCGGTGGGTTGGGTGGTGGACGCAATCCAGCTCTGGGGTCAATTCTGGAGTCGTAACGCCTGCCTCTCTTTCTCTGTCCGTCTATGCGGCCAGTGGGCTCCGTTTTTCTGACCTCTTCGGTGACGGCGCTGAGAAAGCTGCCCTGTTTGCTTTCCGCTGGCGTTGGTAGACCCTGCGCTGTGTTGGAAGATGTACTCGAGATGGGTTCGTCTGGATGGCAAGCTAGGAGTCCACCATCCTCTTCATCCCCCGCTTGATGATCCGTAAATCCATCGTCGACACGTTCAGCATGCGGCAGATCGATGGATGTATAATATGACCCCCATGTGTGTGTGTGTGTGTGTGTGTGTGTGTGTGTGTGTGTGTTGGCTCGGAGTCCAGTCGATCAAGGCAGGCTGATTCCTTGAGTTCAAGGAGAATCCATCCTGCCCCCCTCAAGAAACCAATCCATGGTATCTATCCGTGTGTTTTTTCGTCTTTTGTGAACGAGGCATACAATTTTCTTCGTTGAGATGTGAAGCGTCTAGCTAACCAGCCTGGCTAAGCTTAGATATCAAAAACTGTGAAGGTTCCGAAAGATCAGTCAGCAAAAAACTGCTTCTGTCTCCTTTCCTGGGTGGAAAGGTGCTCGTACATACCGCAACCTTGAACGAGCGGCCCGCGGGGGAAGGGGGGGCGGGGCTTCAAATCATTGTCGACATGAGGACACAATGGAGCAAGTCGACCAAGTGTTGGAAAGGAAGCATAGATGTGAGCCCCCAAGGCACCGAGTTACTTTCCTATCCAAATTCACCTTTGCGAACGCATCGGCGAATCAAGAAAAACACAGCGGTAAGATGATAAGGCACTTCAGGCCGTCGTTATTCATGGATTAGAAGTCTACTCTAAGTCTGTTTCTTCTTTTATATACAATTGAATGTTCGGCGTTCAACATCAATCGCCGTCTCTGTTCCCAATATCTCTCGGGTGGCAGAGTGCTTCTCCATAGGTTGACTTTCAAGTTCCGATGGGGGAACGTTTAGGCGCAGGGGTTTAAGATCTCCCGGACGAACCATCTCCAGGGTTCCGGCTCCTGGTTTGTGCCTTGGGCCCTCCTAGGATCGTGCATCGTCTCGGTGGACCCTGTGTGTCCTTCCCGCACTCCATAATGCGGCTGAGGATCCGGCGGCTCTTTCCGGCTTCCTCCAGGTTTCGTGGGCTTCGCGGGCTTCATCCGAGGCTCAAGCCCAGGATCTACGCTTTTCCGTCTGGTGACGTCGCACATGGAGCTCTCTCTCGGGCTCGATTACTTTTCGGCCGGGTGTAAATGGTCAGGTTCAAATGACCAGGTGTAAATGGTGAGGTGTAACATGGCGCTGGTGTGCAGATACGTCTGACTATTCGTCATGTAGGCAGCTGCGAGGGGTGAGGCAAAGGCAGGGCGGGCCTTTCATTACTCGGGTATCGTTGTGTTCATCCACGTCGGCCACTCCGCCTAGAGGCTCTCTTGATCTTGGTTCGGCTGGGTGGCTACCGGCAGACAGATGCTGCCTACCATCATCTCCTACTATCACCGCGGCGGAAACGACTGCATCTCGTACGACTGCCACCCCGTGGCGTCTGTGTCATCCGCCCGACGACCAGCTCTCCCGCCCTGCCCCGCAACCGGCCTCATCAGGTCATGCAGGTTACCGAGCACTTTGTCCTCCCGCTCCGGCTGATACTTCTCGGCCCCTGGCGGAAAGCCGCCGAGCATCTTGTCTTCGTGGCCGTCGCCAAAAGTATCAGGGCCATGCTGGTGAGAGCCGAGTTCTGCGGTGGGCACCCCAAGCATCTTGGCCTCGTGGCTTTGTGTAAATGTATCGGGGCCATGCTGAAACGCGCTCAGCTCTGCCGAGGGTGCTGTTATCGTCGCTGTCGTCGTCGCCGTCGGCTGCGAAAGGTCGAAACCCGGCCCATGATGAAATTCGCCGAGTTCATGCTGTCGTCGTGGTACGTCTCGCACGGCAACTTCGAGCTCGTGTGCGCTAGGGACCGGATCGGGGTCGTTTAGGTTGAGATTTGTTGTAGAGTTGGCCTGGGAAGATGCCGCAGTCGAGGCAAAGCCGAAGCGTGATGTTGATTCAAAGGACGGGTTCGACGCAGCCGGCGCGAACTCGTTGTGGATAGCGGGATGGTCGAATTGGTGACGGGGCACAGCAGCAGGCACGGCGAGCGCGCTCGTGGACATGGTTTGTGGATAGTGCCAGGAGGATAGGTTAGGCTCAGAAGACGGCGATGATGTCTGCACGGGGATCGGGTAGGTCATGGTATTAGGTGACCCCCTATCAAGGGGCACGGAATAGCTCATCGTGGCCGGCGACCCTCCGGTATATGACGGGTAGCTCCCCGTCCCCGGATGCGCCCCGTACGGCGCTGCGTAGCCTCCAACGGCCGGAGACCCCGCGATTGATGATGACCCTCTCTCGAGACTCCCGCCGTGCTTCGGCTCGACCTCGCTGTATTGCGCAGTCTTTGGTTGCTTGCGCCGCCACCAGAAGAACGCAATGGCCCCGATCAAGCCGACGACCCCAATGGCGACCCCGACGCCAATTCCTGCTCCGGCCCCTGGTGATATTCCCGTCGTTGTTGGTATCGCAGTCGCCGTAGATGTGATGGCTGCTGTGGAAGCGGCCGTCTGTGATGCAGCCGTGGCTGTGACCCCTGACGTAGTTGTCGTCTTCGATTTCGTCGTCGTCGTAGTTAAGAGCGTCGCCGAGTTCGTGCTGACTGCCACGTTGCCTGAATAGATTGTTGAGTATGCTCCGTCGTTGACTGCACTGACGCTCGTCATGACCCAGTGCTGCGCCGGTTGTGTGTCTGTCGCGCTCGCCGAGCCCTCTACGTTGTTGTTCATGAATAGGTTCGATTTTGGATGCACGTCGAGCACGTACGCGGTCCCGTTGGCCACGTTGACAAACTTGTATTCCCCCGTCTTTCCGTCCCATGCCGAAACCTCCCAAATCTGAGACTCGTCCACTGACGACTCCTGCAGACAGGCCACGGTGTTTCCGGTCGCCGGTTCCTTTGCATCGTAGCACACTCCTAGCTGCTGTTTGACTCCCGCCTGGTCGAGGCGCATGAGGTAGCGGCCTTTGACGTCGCCAAAAGGTTGAAACTGCCATGCCGCGGTGCCGTCGGTTACGGGATGCACTCGGAGGCCGACATCTCGAAGCTGGAGGTTGAGAGCGAATGGTCCGGTGCTGTTGTCGACGCGCGTTTCCGACAGGCGATACCACGCATTGGAGTCCAGTTCCGCCATCGTGGAAGCGATCGCGCGACGAAGGTTGTTCCTCTCGTCGCCAGAGGATGAATCGTCGTCGTCTAAACAAGGCCGAAGAAGGGGGGTGTGGGTGGTGAGCACGGCGGGCAGATGACGCCGGGTACCGCTGCAAGCAGCAAAAGAGGACGGGGAATGTTTTTGTTCAATCGACGGTCTGCGACCGCATGGTTGCCCTGGGCCTGGGAGAAATGACATCGCAGGGGTGCGAGTGGTCGCAGCGGGCCCGGATGCCGCACACCATGGAGACGTTCTGCGCGGAAAAGGACAATAACTGCTCAGAAGGATCGCCAAGAGCAATCTATGTACCGGGCGATGCAACGTCTGGACCCGCAGTCCAGCGTGTGGCGATGGGCTAAGCTGAAAGTGCAATTATAGAAAGCCGCCAAAGAACAAGGATCACTGCACAGATCCAGGGGCTTTGAAGGGGGGCTGTTCCATCTCTCGCAGTCCATTTGGTGACGCTGGACACTGCTAAGGTCTGACAACAGCTCGCTATCGATCTCAGAGACGCAGACTCGCTCGCGATTGAAGACGTGTTGGATGGTTTGCCATTGGGGGTGATGTGTATTGGTCCATCTTTTGGCGCGGTGCGGCAGGGCTGAATTCTGGCGCTTATTTCGGGCACCAGCGCCAACCAAGAGTGTGAGTGTCAACCCAAGTCGAGAGTCCAGCCGCAAGCCACTTCGCAGGACACACCCATGACACTCGTCCATTCAGGTGGCGGCATTCTGGAACAAGTCTCGCAACGGGTTGGGCAGGGGCTGGAGAGCTCGAAGGAAGCGCAGGCTGGTTGATCGCCCTGGCAGTGGAGAGCGGGAGAGGTAAGACGCAATGTCAAGCGTCGAGCTACCCGCACGATTGCGCCCCGGCAAACTGGTCTTTGGTCCCAGGAATGAGGTTGAATGGGGTGGCGGGTAAGGCGAAATCCATCCTGTTGTCATTTCAGCCAGGTGGGCGAAAGGTCTCTTTCGCCCGAGTCCCGTACTTAGCCGCAGGAAATTCTCCTAAACGGCTGCCTGTTGGTCGACCCCTGGCATCAAGCTGTCGCGGGGCTCACGCCTGCTCTACTTAAGTCGATGGGTTCGCCATGGAATTCGGGAGACGTCGGTGGCAAACGGCATTGGCAGTGATGGCAGTGCTCTTCTTTTGGCGGACGCGTCACGCTGCGCACATCTGACAGACTGCGGTGTCTTGATTGTGGTGGAACGGCAGCCGACTCAGCTGACAGTCGCAGGGTTCGGAGGGTCTGCCGCAGACAGCGATGAGATGTAGGCTCAACGGTCATCGCGACAAGTCTCTTGGAACGTCTTCGTGAACAGGCCATCACACGGCGAGTTGTCGCCTGTTCTTCTCGTGAGGTCTCACCGGATTCCATTTCGCAGATTGGATAGAGACGTTTGAGTTGCTCAGGAGCCTCCTCCGTGTACCGGCACTTCTCGAGTGATTGTGGCCGTCGATAGATGGCCCTTGGCGATTTGCCAACCGACGGCTCAAGGATCGATGGATAGGTAGCGTGTCCTTGACAGGTCTGCATTATTTGCTGATCGCAAGTTCGTGCCCACAATGGCCACGAAATGGCTGCTGGACGGTGACGATGGCAACATCATCCCCTAGATGACCCCGGGCTGTATCGATGGGTCCTGAGAAGATCTCTGGAATGGCTTCCACGGGTCCTGCAAAGTCAAAGTGATGTTGGGTGATGCGTGGAGAAAGCCCGAGAGATGCTGTCGGGACGCCGTCGTTTGCTTCAGGACAGTGCGTGCAACCGGGTCATCCGATCGCTCCTTCCTCAAGTCCTCCACACTCCACCTTCCGAATCGGAGACCCACGACGGCCCGGCCCGGGGACAATTCAACTTCCTCCGAGTCTCCGATAGACATTGTTCGGATGGATTCGGCGCGAGTGGAGCCATTCAACACTTCCATCTCCCGGCCGCTACAGATAAACAGATGCAGAGCGCAATGTGACTTTGGATTGACTACTTCATACGAACACATCCGCAACAGCTTAGATCGGCGCCTCATCCGAAACCCACCACCCACCGCAGTGCCCATTACTCGCGACGAAAACCGCCCCATCAGCAACATCAGCACTGGACCGCAGCTCGCCCGGAGCCCTACAATGGCCCCCATGGTCCCCATTCCCTCCGGGCCCTCGTCCTCCACCTCCGCCCCCGCCTCCAGTCCTGAAGGTGTAGCAGATGCCCGAAAACATGTGATACAAACTCCCGCCACAGTCCGCCTCCCCCTGGCACGCAATACAGCACTTCTCCGCCGTCTCGGCAATACGCTGCTCCCGCACAACGTGCCAGCTGTGAATCGCCTCGACAAAGTACGTCTGCGGCTGGCCGTGGCCCGAGACCAGGTTGTTCGCCTGGCAGGCCTGGTAGACGGTCTGCGTGGGGTTGGGCACCTCGTCGGTAATGGTGGACGTCACCGTCGTCGTTGTCGTCGTTGCGTTTTGCACTGATGTTGTTGTGCTGCTGGGCCCTGGGAGCGTAATTGTCATGGTTGCTGCGTAGGATGCCGTAATGGTTGACGTGCTGGTCGTGAAGACGCGGATGACTTTCTCGCAGACGACGGCTTGCGGCCAGAGGGGCGGGTAGGCTTTGACGATGCCGGCCTTGTCGACGCCGAGGACGAGGCTATCGGATGAGGAGTCGATCCTGTAGCCCGAGTCTTTTGTCTCTTGGAGTTGGGGTCTGCCGCCCTCTGGGCGCCTGTGCTGGAGGGCGGAGGCGAGGGGCGTAAAGTGAGGTCCGGCCGTGATGGTTGTCATGCTGCCGAGTGAGGTGACGTGCGTGGTTGTGGTAACGGTCGATGTTGGAGTGATGGGGCCCGTCCCTCCTCCACCGCCTCCGCCTCCGCCTCCGGTGACGGTGGGCGTCACGGTGATGGTACTGGTGGAGGGGATGAAGTAGCTGTACGCGGTGACGGGGAACGTGTACGAGTACAGCCGGGAGAAAGTCGGGATACTGACCCGGTAGTCCCGGCCAAAGTCCGTGTAGCACCCTTGCTCGCCGATGACGGTTCGGGGCGGGCTCTCCGTGTCGTTGCGGAAGACCAGGTGGTTTCTGGCCTGGCAGATCTGTGCCAGCAGAGCTACGGCTGCGGCGAGGGGAGCCTTGCTGGACACCATGGTAGGCTTAGTGTAAGTGTGGAGGTTGGTAGAATGAGCGAGAGGTGATGGATGTTGTTTGAGATGTGTTCTTGTGATCCTGCGAGACTGATGCACTTATAAGACGTCGTCGCTTTGCGGGGCCTCCTAGGCAACCCTGATGCCGGGGCTGAAAAGTGCATGACAGCATCAAGACGCCACGACTGGCTGAGAAGCCGTCTGCAGCTCATCGACCACATTTATCATGCCTTCATCATCTGACTTTTGGTGTTCAAGTCGTAGAATTCAAGGCATCAGTCATCATGTTAGGGTCGTAAGGTTCGCAGGGCTGCCGGATGCACGAGTGGGCGGCTCGGGTGGCGCAGATTGGGTTGACATGCACCGCGGGATAGGACCCTGATGGGAGCTGCGACTCTGCTTGCAGGCGTCTTCGTGCATGAGATGACAGCATAAGGGTCTGCGAAGCATCATGGACGTGCTGGAGCTGTTCACCCCAGCTGTACTTGGCTCAGCTCGCCGCATCCTGAATCCAAGCAAGAAGCCAGCTGTGTAAGTCGGAGGCAAATCTGTGTATAGTCTACAGGTAGGGCACATGAAGAGTATCGATGACCACGATGAACTAGACCATCGCGCCTTGAACTGCTCTTCAAATGGCAATATCAATGTAATGGTCAATCTCCCATTCCAACCACCAGGCACGGTGGATCCTCAGCGCCAGGTGTCGGTGAATCACCATGTGTATATTCACCCAGTATACACGAGAGAAGGCTTCATATACCCCCTCAAGTCCATTCCTGTCACCACAACCAGCAGGCGCCCGTCTAGGCCGACGGGTCAAGTCAAACTGGGATGGGTGGGGGAGTAGTTAAAGGTTACCAATCTACGCCCACAGCCTACTCGACGACAGGCTCCGAGTTCGAATCCCAGCATGAGCACCAAGATATGTAGCCCCCAATCGCCACCGGGGGGGTAAACTCTTTCTATTTTTCTCTGCACGTGTGGTTGATCTAGAATAGCTAGAACTATGGGTCAAAAGATCGTGAAACTGTAGGATCTTGAGCTGAAATGGCGTGTTTGCTGCGACTTTTGTAGCCATACTCCGATGGGATTCTCAAGTCCCTCTGTGCCTATTCTTTGTTACATGTGCGGACCATCTGCCGGGCTTAACTTGTCGTGGTGACAGAGACGACAAAAGTACTCTCATGGGTGCATCTGGCGTTCACAATTTTACTCTCTGACAGGCACGAGCATCCGCGGCTCTATTGAACGAGAAGAACTTCGCAGGTTCTACATCATCTCATTCTCCAAAATGACCGTAGATTAGCTACCCCTATCTGCAACGATTGTCTTGGGCAAACATACCCTTGCAAAGCCAGACGGGGCGCATCAGAGACGAGTCGATGCATCCCATCGAGATAGCTCACAGAAACAAAAGACTGTCCTCCAGATTATTGCGGCACTGAAACTACGTGAGCGACCCCTCGTGGATGCACGGCATTCAAGAGCACACCGCCCACCTTGCCCCCTCTCTGAGTTCGCATCCACGGGGGCAGAGGTTCAAGTTCAGAATTCCAAGATACACACGACATCACTTCCACACTCACATCGCTTTGCGTCTAAACAGTTCCCAAAGCGATCACCACTGCGCCCTCTTATCTCTTCTCTCCAAGAGCACACTCAGAGCCGTCCTCACGGGACCGTCGATCTCCTCTGGCCACGGCGTCGAACGACAGAGTGCCGATTCAGGGATGCTGTCCTTCAAGCTCTTCGACTCCAGCTAGAAACACGCGGAGCTAGGCTCCGTCCAACTCCCGGAATCAAGACCAACGCACGAATCTATCTACCTAGCATCCCAAGCTGCCTACAAAGAGCAAATCACCGGGAGAGGGCACGCTCTCGCCTGTCTATTGACCGTAGTCGAGGTTTCATTTTCAGGGGCTGTGAAGCTCCGAGAGACTTCCATCTCTCATCTGTTAAGCGCGAAACATCGTCACTGGCATGCCACCATTGACTTTCGCGACATCCGCCTCGCCAATCCAACACGAAAGAATAAGTTTGACACAGGCCCCACGGATCCAAGATGAGAAGAGGCTTGATGCTCCTTGTCAGAATGCAGTCAATCAACGCCTTGCGGACAATTAACATCCTGATTACGCCAGTGTCAAGACCATTGACGGTGGGTATGCAATGCCACCGAAGAGGTCAACGCCAGTAGAGTTAAACTTCGCTGGGACGACAGGCATGGATCGTCCCTGGATTTGAACAAAATGGGGGACAGAGAGGGAGCTTCGTTTTTCAAGGCGGTTACAAAGTCTGATTCAATTGAGTTTGGCTTTAATGGAAAGCACGTTTGGCATGCGGCAAGCCTGTTGTTGAACAACTTCAGATGGTCATCACTTTGTTGCCACATTCAAGGTGAATGAACTTTGCTGCTGCATGGGCACAACCAACCTTAGCTGCCATCAAAATTCTCACTCTGGTCTCGTCCTACATACAACAAAAGGACAACCGATGGTGCAAAAATGTCAAAAGAACAACAATATCTGTACAAGAGAGGTCGCAAAAATGGACACTGTGGGAATTGAACCCACGACCTTTCACAAAGGCGCGTTCCTGACGGAAGTGCGAAGCGAAAATCATACCCCTAGACCAAGCGCCCGTTGATATAAGAGGACGATCAAATGTGGGCTCATCAAGGCCAGCCTCCGCTCTGCCCGACGACGCCAGCCCGTCTCCCGACAGTGGACCGGATGTGCTTCCCAACGGGGCCGGACAACAAGAAAGGGAAGAAGAGGGTCGCGCGGGGCGATGATGCCGCATCAATGACGGAATCCCCAACCGGAAACCGCGGCACGCTGCCCTATCCGTTATTCCGTCACGATTGTGTCGAAACCTGTCGAGCTTGTCGACGTGTCCCGACTCTCGTCTCCGTGGACGATTCTCGGATTCCCACAAGTTATGACAGAAAGACTCCATCGATGGGGCTCACGATATTTCTTTCGTGTGCAACACAAACGCCGAGAAAAGGTGGCAGGCACCGCAGGTAAGCTCGGAGGTAAGCTCATAGACGAGCGGGCTGGCCGTCGCACCGCAAGGTATCCGCTCCCCAATGCCGCAATCGATCCCGACGGGTGCAATCATGCTCATGGGCGATAATCAGTTGGGCGCCGGGACGGTTGCCGATACGCTTTGCAGCGTGCTTGTAGCTAGCCACCAAGGTTGCGTACGGGCGGGCAAGCAAGCAGAATGTCGTGCGATGGTTTGACGCCGAAGTTCTACCACCCCTCATCCGACCGTCACCTAGAAACAGGAACCCCGACAGAACGCCGAACCACCTCCGGAGGGGGCACCGACGGGCGACGACGGCTCAATTGGTCTCGAAAGCTTGACGACAAATCTCCGTTCCAAACCCCAAACGGCGCATGAGGGATTGGTTCGTGCATACTGAAATGGCTAGCCCGCCGTGCCCGCCCAGCTAGAAGCGCCCATGCCATTGTTTCTCCGCAGTTCAAAGTCCCATGGATCTCCCTTTTGATACCAGGCCCGGTCGTGTGTAACCGAGACGGACGATCGATTGTCCAGGACGGATAACGATTGGAGAGGTCGTCCAAGTGATTAGGTGATGAGAACATAGTACACAACCCAAGTCCGCCTTGGTTTTTGGAACGGCGCACGTATGATGGCGGTCTTGGAAGGTGGTTTGTTACCCCTCATTCTGTACCGTGATGCTTGATAGGATGCGGCGGTGGTTGCTGATTGTCGCGACGACAGCCCTTGCTCTGCACGCTCTGCACGCTCTGCAGTGCATGGGGGGGAGGGGGAGGGTTCTTGATCAACGCGAATTGGCTGGTCGCAAAAGATGAGGTGGATGGTAGCTGCTGGTCTACTGAAGATGTGCCGGGGTGGTTTGGACGCGGCGTTTCATCGTGCCATGGGCGGTGCTGCCAACTGAAGCGGGCGAGGGAGCTCTTGTTCGGGTGGAGGGGAGACGAACCACGCGGCCAATGATGGGACGCCTGGGGAGCTTTCCCCATTCGCTACAGAGTACTCCGTACATGCCCCAAGGTACTACCAGGCAATAGATCACAGTCATTGAGACTAATTTGGAGACGCCGAAGCTCAAGGTAGTAGCCTTTAGAGCTTTCCGAGTCTACTCTTGCGCACCTTTGTCACCTTGTGCCACGCCCAGCCTCGCTGCCGTCTCAAACCTTCCCGATACCTGTCCGATGCCTGACTGGCTCCAAGGAGATACTCTGGAAAGGAGGGGCATGGGGCTCTCCTGGTATCTCGGGAAGGTGGAGGAAGAGAGAGAGAGAGAGAGACGTGAGGCAAATGGCCGCGGGAAAGAGGCACGAAAAAGAGGAGCTGGAGGCAGCCATCACATTCGATGAATCGATTCCATCGAACCAGCCCAGACCCAGACCCAGAACCCAGACACCCAGACAAGCAGACAACGGCAGAGTCGCGGAGCCGGATTCTCTTGCCTCTTTCTGACGTGCCATGTACTCCATTCGTTGTCATAGGCGCAGAGGTTCCCCGCCCTGAACCCTAGCTGTGCAAGTCTGAAGTCCCGGTCAGCCGGCGATGTATCGATGCATCGACGCTCTTACAAGACATAAATACAACCTCCCCTGGCCGGTTTTCCGTCGACCTACTTTTCACTCTCACACACAACAAACAAACATCTCCTTCTCACTCTTCTCAATATCTCCGAACTTCCGGATTTCCCATCTAGATCAACTTCTATATAACGACCTACCTCCCTCCCCTCCATCGAGTTTCTCGACAACAACATCACCAACTTAACCCCTTACATCAGTCACAATGGTATTGCTCTCTCGTCACATCCGTTCCGCTGCCCCTCTGGCCTCTCGGGGACTTTCCACGTCCTCAAAGGCATCTTTCCTCGCTCGACCCGCATTCTGCCGGGCCTCCCCAGCATCCTCGACTCTCCCTCGCAAATTGCCTGGTCAACTCAATTCGATCCGCACACTAACAACTACTCGCCAAAACCAGGTCAAGGTCCTTGCAGTCCTCTACGACGGCGGTCAGCACGCCAAAGACGTGAGTCTCTTATTTCCTGTCTACCACTTCGTTCCACTTCATCCCCATTGCCGCCCTCCTCCGAAACGTCACCATGATAGCTTCCCGGGGCGGAGCTTTGCCCCGCCGTTTGGCTCAGCGTAGTGCGGGGATGACGGGAAGGTGCGGGGCTCGGAGGTCGATCGCAGATACATCGGCATCCATCCTCCCACACCCCTCTCTCCCGTCATCCAAGCTGCCCCCTCCCCCAACTTCTTGGCGATGTGCAGCTCCGAAACTACCCAAATGCGGGGTGCATGGCATCCAATCCTTGAAAGAAGCAATGGCCGCTGACTTGACGAAACCGCAATAGGTCCCCGCCCTTTTGGGAACCACCGAGAACGAGCTCGGCATCCGCAAGTGGCTCGAGGATCAGGGCCACACTCTGGTCACCACCTCTGACAAGGAGGGCGAGAACTCAAAGTTTGACCAGGAGCTCGTCGACGCTGAGATCATCATCACCACTCCGTAAGTTGCCTCGAGTCAGAAATCGACTCATCTCAGTAGAAACAACCCAGATCTAACAGGTGCAGCTTCCACCCCGGCTACCTCACCGCCGAGCGCCTCGCCAAGGCCAAGAACCTGAAGCTCGCCGTCACCGCCGGCATCGGCTCCGACCATGTCGACCTCAACGCCGCCAACAAGACCAACGGCGGCGTCACCGTCGCCGAGGTCACCGGCTCCAATGTCGTCTCCGTCGCCGAGCACGTCGTCATGACCATCCTCGTCCTCATCCGCAACTTCGTCCCCGCCCACGAGCAGATCGAGCGCGGTGACTGGAACGTCGCCGCCGTCGCCAAGCAGGAGTACGATCTCGAGGGCAAGACCGTCGGTACCGTCGCCATCGGCCGCATTGGCGAGCGCGTCCTCCGCCGCCTCAAGGCATTCGACTGCAAGGAGCTCCTCTACTACGACTACCAGCCCCTGTCCGCCGAGAAGGAGGCCGAGATCGGCTGCCGCCGCGTCGAGGACCTCGAGGAGCTGCTCGCCCAGTGCGACATCGTCACCATTAACGCGCCCCTGCACGAGAAGACCCGCGGCCTCTTCAACAAGGACCTCATTGCCAAGATGAAGAAGGGCTCCTACCTCATCAACACGGCCCGCGGCGCCATCGTCGTCAAGGAGGACGTCGCCGACGCCCTCAAGAGCGGTCACCTCGCCGGCTACGGAGGCGACGTCTGGTTCCCCCAGCCCGCGCCCGCCGACCACCCGCTCCGCACAGCCAAGAACCCGTTCGGCGGCGGCAACGCCATGGTGCCCCACATGTCGGGTACCTCCCTCGACGCCCAGAAGCGCTACGCCGACGGCACAAAGGCCATCATCGACAGCTACCTCAGCGGTCGCGAGGACTACAAGCCCGAGGACCTCATTGTGCACAAGGGCGACTACGCTACCAAGGCGTACGGCCAGCGCGAGAAGAAGTGAGCGAATGTCTCGGAGAGGAAAGAGGATAACCATACCCCCCCATGAAGGTTGTGTGTGTGTGTGTGTGAAGAAATCTAGCGTTGTTTTTTAGTGGTCCCTTCTTGGCATCAGCATTTTGCATATATGCTTCATGTAGTTTTGAAGTCTAGGTTACCCGTATATAGGAATATAACCTGATGCGATGCAAACTTTGTCTCTGATCGTGGTTACTCGGTTGATTGTTTAACTGACTTTATTGACCTGCCTACCTGCCTGCCTAGCTCAGATGCTCTCGGGTGTTTGTCCAAGAGGGCATCGGGTCAGTGGCATTGTCGGAATCTACCTAGTCTCCCCCTCCGGACTGCAACATAGAAATCGTTCGGCATTGCCATCGTCGGTCGAATCGGGGGAAGTGATTTGGCAACTGCGGTGGTTCATCAACCAGAGTCGCCGCGTGAAGATCAAGAAACTTGGACAAATTACCATTGGTTCGTGAAGCTGTCACCAGTTACAATATAGATTTTGCCCTTGGCGAGAGTGGGTGCACAATCGTTTCTATCCAAGAAAAAGTGCCGTTCCATGTGCTTTTTTACAGCAATCTCAATTCGACACTGTCACGGAATCCGTGGCCATTTCGCTGCCTCCTCCACGCTGCTTGTCCGTTTGATGGAACGCTGCCCTAAAACTTCTACGCTCTACGGAGTAGATATATATATCTCTTTTTGATGCCAGGAAGCCTTGAACCGGCCTTATACAAGAGGTTGCTTGCCGAAACCCGGCCTAGCACAGCTCTGTCCATCCGACGCCGAATAATTCTTTTTTTTTTCAGAATCCAAAACTCCTCGGGATGGGAATCCCAATCACCACCCATCACGCGCCTTCACCGTACGGCGGCGATATGCAAAATTGATAAACAATACCTCTCACAGGCTACTCAAAGCAGGGGCGTGAACAGTTAAGCCATGGCTTCTCTCTCTCTCTCCCTCCCTCTCTCTCCCTCTCTCCCCAAAACTTCACCCTCCGAGGTCGCCCTCCGGGCTGGCACCTCATGACCTCTTCCAAAACTGCCACCAAGCCCTCTCCTCCCCCTCTTCATACCCCCGATGCCTCGTCTCCCTCTTAACAACCTGCTGATCCCGCCCGCGGATCCGCCAAAAGTACACCGGCACGCCCGCCACCACAAACAGCACTACCGTCACCGTCTGCAACGGCTGCGCGAACACGGCGCGGCTCAGCAAAAACAGCGAAACGCAGCAGAAAATAATCGGCGTCGTGATCCACGTCCGGTACGGTCTATCGAGCTGCGGCTCGCGCACGCGGAGGATGATGAGACCCAGCACCGTGATAAAGTAAAACGTGTACCCCGCGACGCCATAAAAGGTCAGCAGGGTGCCGAATTCGCCGACTATAATATAGGCTGCCGTCAGCAGGGCGTTGAGAACTAGAGCCCAGACGGGGGTGTAGAAGAGGCCCATATCGTCGTCGCCGAGAGCGCGGATGAGGAGGTTTGCGAGGCGGGTGCGGGAGGTGCGGGATGTGGTTACGGAGTGGCCGCCGCCGCCGCCGCTGCCGTTGCGGGATAGACCTATGCTGCCAAAGACCGACGGGATGTAGCCCTCTTTGCCGGCAACGTAGACGAGGCGCGACGAGGTGAAAGTTGACGAGTTGAGGGCGCCGAAGCAGGATGCCGAGACGACGAGGGCGAGGACGAGGGAGCCGACGGGGCCAAAGACTTTTGCGCCGAATTGGACGGCGATTGTGTTGGAGGCGTTGACGGCCGCGAGGGGGAGGACGAGGAAGTAGGCGATGTTGGCGAGGACGTAGGAGAGGATGACGAGGGGCATGGCTGTGTGGATGACGCGGGGGAGGTCGCGGCTAGGGTTGCGGAACTCGCCGACGACGTAGTTTGTCTGGATAGTTAGCGAGGCTCAGCATCCCAGAAAAACAAAAACAAGAAAGCTCACATTGTCCCAGCCGTCGTAGGCCCAGAGTCCCGCGTACAGGGCCACGGCCCACGCAGAGAGGTCCGTCGACGTGCCCTCGAACCACTCGTGCGACTTCCACTCCATGTTTGCCTTGCCCGTGACCGTCTTCCCCGTGATGGCGACGACTATGCCGGTGACGGTGACGCCCAGCAGTGCAATGAACTTGAGGAACATGAGCCAGTCGTTGACTTTCGTGCCGAGCTTGGTCGAGACGCAGTTGAGCAGCGTAACCGACACGAGGGCGACCATGGCGACGGCCTTGTTGACCCAGGGGCTGAGGCTTTCCGCCTCGGCGCCAATGGCCGCGCGGACGAGGTACTCGCCCATGATGATGGCGATGATGGCGGCGCTCCCCGGCTTCAGCACCAGCACGGCCACCCACGTGAAGAGGAAGCCGGCCATCTCGCCCATGATCTTGGCGAGGTAGACCTGCGCGCCGCCATTCAGAGGTATCGCGCCGCCGAGCTCCGCGTAGCTCGCCGCGCCCGTCCAGGCCAGCACGCCGGCAATAACCCAGACGACGAGCGCGGCGCCGGGCGACCCGACTTTTGAGCTCACCTGGCTCGGGCTCGAGAAGATGCCGCTCCCTATGATGAGGCCGACGATGAGACTCAGGCCGTTGAGGTACGTGAGCGTCTTGTGCTTCTCCAAGCTGCCGCCGCCGAGGCCGCCGTTTTGTATCGCCGTCGAGGTGGGCGCGCCGATGGGCGCGTAGCCGCCTGCGCCGCCGGCGCCGGCTGTGGAGCTCAGGGGGAAGAGGTTTGCGGCGAAGTCGAAGCCCGAGGAGACGGAGTAGGAGCGGTCGTGGCGGTTCGGTCTCCCTGAGGTGGCGCCGGCGGCGGCCGGGTTCGCGGCGTCTAGGGGGTCTTCGGCGTCAAAGGAGAGCTTGCGGGAGGAGGAGATGGAGGGCCGTGAGGAGGGGAGGTCTGAGACGATGGAGTCGGCGCGGGAGGAGGAGGCGAGGGAGGCGAGCTCGAGGGAGTCGCGGTGGGATTGGACATTAGCGTAGGGCGGCATGGTGGGTGGTGTGTGTGTGTGTATGTGTGTGTTTGCGCGGTGGAATCGGGGTGTCGAGAGCACTCTCGACGTTGGTGGATTTCGTTCAAACGTTCGGGGGGTTTGGCACTGGGGCTATCGCATGTTGCAGCAGGCCAATGTGGAAGTACCAATGGAGGGTATGTGATCGGGTGGGATTCGTGGTTCGCCCTCGAGGCTTCGAGTGTTGTGGGTATTAGAGTAGCGGTGTCTTTGAAGAATTTCGTGACGTCGTTGGCATATACGTTTCGTTTAGAGGAGTCGTGACAAAGTTGCGCCGGGCCCCGTCTCTTCTGCTCTCGCGCGCGCTTTCTCTCTCTTCTATATCCACTTCCCTACACGCGGAAACCGAAACAGACTAATGATCCAGGGGTAGAAGAAGAAGCGGAGAGGAAAGTCAACATCAATCCGTCCGTATGCTTGGTTGTGGTGGTCGCTTGCTATCCGAATAAGATTGGCGAAGCGGAAGAAATGGGGGCTGGGTGAGGAGGTGTACTTGGTAGTGCCCGGGGGGTCGTGTGGGCGTAGGTACTGAGTTGTGCGGATTAAGGTTGAGGCGGATGAACAAAGGAGGGAGAAAGAAAGATTGAGTTGCGCCGCGAACAAGGTGGCATCCAGATGCAACAATGGCCCCTGGGAACTGGGTTGTGGATGGCAGAATCAAGGGTTGCAGTGACGAACTATTCGCCGAGTCAAGTCAAGCATCAGCCAAGTCTGTCTGTCTGTACGGAGTATTCGCACACTATCTGCAGAGGTATCTTTGTATTCATAGGGGGCAGTTTTACCGCAATTTGGCTGCCCTGGACTTGTTGACTACGGTACTCCCTAAGGCAAGGTACGTATGCTACGTATTAGGTAAGTCACAGCAGCAGCTGTTTCGCACCCGCACGGGCCCAGGAGCAAAAGGTACGCGGATCAACCCATGATTGGCCCCCCATCGAGATCCGCGGCACGGGAGAGCGAATCAGATCTTGGCGCCTGCCACCGGTTTAAGAGTGTGGGGCGCAAAGACTTGACGACAGGGGGGGCCCATAGCAAGCAGTCAAATCCTTTCTTGAGCCGCGCCAGGACTACACTAACAAAAAGCCACTGAAAGCGGTGCCAGGGGCCTTGAAGAGCTGAAAGCCTCCGACGACCCGCCGACTGAGCCACAGACACACCGAGAGAGGAACGGTGAAAGGAAGCTCGGATCCGCGTCGCTCCATCCCACTTCACGACTGGCAATACGCGGGAAGCCGACATCACCACAACCGCAACCAACATCCGCACTTCCGACCGGCCCCCTCACGATGCCCCTCGACGACTACACCTCCGCCGTCGGCGGTGGCCTCAAGCTCAAGGGCGCCAAAATCGCCAAACCGAAAAAGAAGAAGAGGAGAGACAAGACGGACCTCGAAAAGAACCTCGAGACGGGCGGCGACGATAACGGCAGCGGGAGTACCGCGCTCGTCAAGCGCCGCGATGACTCTGCCGGCGATGAAGACGACGAAAAGAAGAAGAGCAGCAGCAGGAAGAGCAAATCGCAAAAGAGAGGGGGCGAGGACCCCGAAGAGGACCGAGACCAAGACGACGATGACGGCGAAGGCAGCGGCCGGGTTGTGCAAAAGACGGAGGCGGAGAGGCGGTATGAGGAGAGGAAGCGTAAGAGGGTATGTCTTTTTTCTTACCCCTCACCCACCCTTTCTATTTTCCCGAGGCAGGCTGCCTGCTCGGTTGCTATATTTGACATCACTATTCTGACATCGTGTGCTCCAAAACAAACAGCTCCTCGAACTCGCGGAATCATCCAGTTCCCGACCAGAGCTGCTCAAGACGCACAAGGAACGCGTAGAGGAGCTGAATACGTATCTGTCCAAGCTGAGCGAGCATCACGACATGCCCAAGATTGGACCCGGTTAAGGATTGCCCCATCAAATCCATTAGGGGGGACAAGGAGAGAGAAGGGGGAGGAAGGGGATTTTGTCGATTGGATCGTATGGACGGACGGGGGGAATGGAGTTTGATCTTTGGCGTTATTACACGGAGTATACCCTTTCCAAAGTTTCTGGAGAATAGAACCGAATCTTTAATTTCATGGTGACGGTGGTGCTGCCGCTGCCACTGGTCCTAGTTGTCAATCTGCCAAGGAGCTCTATCATCCCTCCCTTGATGCAAAGAGATGACACCGCGAAAACAACCAAGACACAAAGACAGATGAACCATCGGCCAACTGGACACCTGACGCCAAATAACCACCCCGCCAAGACTGCGTTGGAATGCGGCCGGTCCCGCAATCAAACACCATAGCACCCGTGACAAACCAGTCCACGCCCTCGAGAGTCAAAACATGACATGGAATGCGGGGCGGGGACCATGTCTCAATACAAATGCAGATGTGTCAAATGATTTGTTTTCATTCTTTTTTACACGAAATTCTCGTTTGTTTGTTTCTCGAGCCCTTTGGCTCCGCCAAGGAACTGTGCTAACAATTCAGGTTTACTCCATCGTGATGATGACCTGTTTTCTTCCACTTTCTCCCTACTTCCACCTCCTCTGCTACACCTCCTCTGTTGCTACCCCGAGGCCACGATGTTTCTGAGTGTGCCTCCCATTCTATTATTCCCCTCTCATCCAGAAAATCAAAAATCGGCGCTGTTGGCCGCGCAAAAGTCTATGTGTCGTTGTGTCGATCGGTTGTGTTGTGCTGCTGCCCACCAGTTTTGTATGCAAGGAGTGAATAAAGACCGTTAAAATGTCGTGAGTAAGTGATGCTGATGTTTATGTGTGTGCCGCCCAACCAACCCGCTGCCTGAAAAAAAAAAGGAATGGATTAAATATTTAAACAGAAAATCGTCAACGTGGACGAATATCGAACGCTGCACGTTCAAGTGGTGCTGAACGCTGTCCGACTGGTGTTGCTACAATTACAGCAACAACATGGCGCCGACGACAAAGGCAGCAAGACCAATGGGAAGGACGGAGACGCGGCCGATGGGGACGGCGACGTTTTGCAGACCGCCGCTGCCGCTGCTGCCGCCGGAACCGGACCCAGAGGTGGCGGCCGGTTCGGGATCGACGGCGACAAAGGAGGTGGCGGTCACGAGGACAACGTCGCCGTTGGAGGCGGTCGACGTAAAGGTGGACTTGACCTCGCTGTACGAAGTGGTGGTCCGGCGAGGGGTGGTGGTGGTGGTGCCTTGGCGGGTGGTGCCTGATGTTCTGGTTAGCATTTGATTGCATCATAGATGGACGAAGGAAATGATGCGAGGCCACAAAGTTCATCAACCGAAATCCCGGGCTAACATGAATCGACTGCTACAAAAACCGACACAACATACCAGATACAGACACAGACACAGTCGACGGCACAGACTCAGTGGAAATTGTGGGGGACGAGGTCGTCACGACGGTAGTAGTCTCAGGAGAAGAGGAAGCAGACGTACCCGGCGCAGACGCACTCGAAGACCCCGAGGAGGCCGTGGTGGGAGCGGACGAGGGGGCAGAAGAAGGGGGAGGGGGAGAAGAAGAAGAGGAAGGAGACCCACTGGTCGTCGGAGGAGACTCAGTAGAGGCGGCGGACGGCCCAACAGTAGTAGAAGAGGGAGATGCTTGCTGCGGCTCCGAAGATTGAGACGTACCAGAAGTAGGGGCTGCTGCTGCTGAGGTCGGTTGCGTCGTGGGGGTGTTTGAGGCCGGGGGTTGCTGCGATGACTGCTGGGCGGTGGTCTGCGCTGCCGAAGTCTGTTGCGGCGTGCTGGAGGACTGCTGGACCTCTGCGGAGGAGGACGCCGGGGGAGCAGCGGAGGTGGTGGCCGGAGTAGACGGCGTCGGGGTCGGAGTCGGGGTCTGGGCCGGGGTGTCACTGGTCGGCGCGGCAGACGAGGCGGATGGCGTGGCAGCATCGGAGGCGGATGGCGTAGGAGTAGCAGCCGGAGCAGCGCTCGAGGTGCCATTGTCCTGACGCTTCTCTAGCTGCCCGAGAGCAGAAGCCAGGTCGGCGTCGTCCGCCTGGAAAGCAGCAATGGCTTCCTTGTCCGAGGCATAGACACCATCCTGGTAGCGGTCGGGGAAGTAGGCGTGGAGGAGCCTGTGAATGAGATCCACTTTGGTTGCGTCCTTGACCTCGCCCTCTGCCACCAGGACCTGTTCCTGATGATCTCTCGTGCAAGGTCTTGCCCCGTGACCAATGGCCGAGGCGAGACTGAGGGTCATCAAGCCGCACACCAAGACGGTGAGCAGAACACGGCGTGTAGCAGTCATTTTGTTTGGCGGCGTCGTCTTCCTGGATGGTGTCGATGTCGTCGTGGTCCCCTTCTCGTTGACAGCAACGGGCAGCAATCCCTCTTCTAGGTGTTGGTCGTACTTGTTGTCGAAAGTCATGGTGGCGACTGGGGATGTGCGAGGTGCTCCTGGTTGTTTATAGATGGGACCAAGAGGTTAGGAAGGTTACAAACACCCAAGACGGCAGGACGGAAACGACAGATGAATGGATGGACGCGGAAGTAGGTGTGCAGGGTACGAAGAGACCAAGTTACACAGTGAAGTGAGGGTCAGTGATAAGATGCGGGCCTCTGTTTAGCGTCCCGGCTGCAGCAAAAGGCGGCGAAAGATGTAAGAGAGGGGGGAAAAGATGGCCCAACAGGTTCAAAGAGAGGCTTGCAGGTATTGTATAGGTCGCAAGCGGCCTCCGTTTCTGATGTGAGGAAGAGGGGCGAGCAGGCGATCTAAAAGGTTGGATGAGCGGTGGTACCTGGCCGGCCGAAACCCTTTTGTCTGATGCGGTGGGTGGTTGGGGGTGAGGCCAAGGATGGAGTTTTTTTTTTGAGTAGTGAGACCCGTCGAGCTAGCAGCTTTGGGTTGTGAGGGTCAATACGCCGCGCGCGCTTCTTCTCCGGTCCCCGGGGTTCGGTATCAAAAGCAAAGAAAAAACCTTGCTGCTGAATGTTTATCGTTTGAGAATGAACGAAAGCAGAATCCCTACTGCGTACCCGTCCAATGGATCGAAGCCGACACTGGACGATAGGTATGTGTGTAGATTGTTGCGCAGTCCCGGCAATTTCACGAGCCTGAGACTTGGGCGTTGGAATGTGAAGATGTTGGGGGAGGTAGTAGGTGGCGATGGACAATAACAAGACTGCAAAGGCGGGCGAGCGAGCGAGCGTCGTAACAGAACCGCAGTGACCGGTCGAGCGAGAGGATGGCGAGAGACGAGACGGATGATCAGATGAGAAATGGCAGAGGCGAGCGAGCAAAGGGGATTGGCGTTTAAACCTGTTGAAGATCGTCCCAGGCAGAATGCATATTGGCGTCGCCCAGTCGGCTGTGGGCAACACATCTTTGTGCATATAAAGATTCCCTGTTTCGCCGCCCCGACGACGTACCCCTGTCCTGTCGGCCCAACTCGAGCTATCCGTCCCATTGCTTCCATGGATCCGTTTCTAGCTCTCAGTCTGTCAATGTGGATTGCGAGTGTGGACTGAACAGTGACGAGCCGAGCCCCGGTCGACGAGGCCCAGTGTAACCCTCTCCGCCGTGAACCAAAACCGAGCTTCCCATTTCATCAGTCCATCCCCATCTTGCATCGCTATCGCTCGTCACTGGTGTCCATCGCGTCTGCGGCGTGCCGGGACAGCCTCTGCTGCTGCTGCTGCAGACAGGTCGCACAGGGATCGTCAGGCGTAGGTTCCCAAGTTCCCACTTAGCAGCCCGTCATCGTCCATCCTCGGCTCCAGTCGATATTGAATAATATTTTGCTCCTCTTGTCCCAATTTTGGCCGGGAATGTCAAAAGCCCATTAATTCCTCCGGGCGTGGCCTCTGCGCTAGGCAATGTCTTTCCGTTCCCTGATACCCACTGGGCCACTGCTCCAAAAAGCCACTTGGCTCATGTTTTCCCTCAGGAGTCAGCCCGGTGCTGCCGTCGAGTGGATTGTGACATCACCAATAGCAGGAGAGCAGCGGCGTCTCGTATCGTCTCCGAGCCCATCGTCAGTCTGATTCATTGTCCCACACATTTTGTGCACATGCGTACGCAGCGTACGGAATAGGTGTTGCGGACAAAAGTACAACGTGTAGGTACGCTACGCCGCGATACGAGCCGTCTGGTGTTTGCCAACTTCAGATGCCCCGCGATGGTGCCGCACTCGGTGACTTTCGCGCCATCCACACATGCAAGATTCTTCGGTGATCAGTCAGACAATGGGGTTTCTCGTCCAATTGCCTCCATTCTCGCATCGTTGGCTCCTGGGAGGGGAGGGGGGAGCTGACTGTCGGGGCCTGCACCCAGCCGCCCTAGCGAGTGCCCGGGGGGTCTTGGAAACTCGGTGCTGGCGTCTGCGGCGTGCGACGCGGTCTGCTGCAGCATCTTTGCGACATCCACCGCGCTGGCACTGCATGCAGGTCGATTACGAACCCACTGCCGGTCCGGTCAGCTCTGCAGGCATGGTGTCCCCAAGGGAGCTGATAAGACCATCTTTGCTTTTGGCTTGCCTCTCCCGTCAATAGAGCCTCAATATCGCTCCCTCTGCGTCTGTCTTTGTCGTTCGCTTGTCGATAGGACCTCTTTGCATAAGAGAGCCATCTCCCCTGAGCTTCGTCGCACCTGAATCTGGTGTGGAACACGTCAAACGGCGAGGTGCAACTGTACAACGTGTGCGGGCTCACGCATCCATCTGATCTGGAAGACACTCTTTGGTCTTTTGTCCCACGTCTGGTACGGAGTACGTGGAGGTGGCTGTGATGGTCGCCCGTTTGGAGCGTTGCGCACCTGAAGCCGCCCGTATGGTTTCTTAGCCCGTCTGACCCGTTTGACGTTCTGGTTGCGTGCGTTTGAAACAGCGAGCTTGTCACCCTATCAGACCCTCTCGTCCCTATTCGCGGTGAACAGTCGCTGTCCACACTGGACAAAACACACGATGGGTCTGTTGACTCGTATTTTGACTTTTGTTTCTGCCCAGTGTCCCGTTTGGGGGAGCGGCCCAGTGCAGCTGTCTCTCCAGCATGTCCCCAGTCCCTGCCAGCCAATCCTCGACCCGCTGCAGGGACCAGGTAATACGAGATGCGGCCCTCATCCTCGAGACTCTCGAATGACGGGTGCTGGGGCGGTCGGGCAGCCGAGTGCCGGGGCCTCGACCCTTTTCTTTTTTTTTTGCTGCTTCGCACTCGTCGATGCCGATGCAGGCTTCGTGGCCCGCTAGAGCATCCGGATGCTAGCGGGAGGCGAGGAGGCTGAGGCAGTTGTGCCAACTCGCTATTCGTACGTTTGGTGGGATAAAATAAAGATGGTGGTGTCCGGATTGGGAAACGGTCAGCGCTGCCCCACGATCTGCTGGTTTGTGGCTTGCTTGTTGATTCCCCGATTGACTGGTATTTTTGGCAATTTTCCTAGCAGTTAGTGTTGCTGTGGTAGGCTTGCGACACCGCTTGGCGAGGCATCAGATGGGATGTCGACGATCTACCTGGGCGATGCTGCAGACCGACACTGAACTGCGAACAGCACCCTTTTGGGATGCTCCAATTTTGCTCTGGAGACTGGAGACGTCCCGGAAGAATATTATGTCAGTAGCCCACCATATCGCAACGTCGCAACCTGCCTTTTCTCTCCGCAGGTGGACTACATGTGCATCATCGTGAGGTCGCGAGCAGCAGATTGATGGAGCCTGCCGTCGCCACGAGTCCACAACAGCATGTGGCAGATCCCGCCAAGAGCTGACGGGCACCAGGCTGGCACGGCTGGGCTGACGGGGACCAATTGACTTTTCTTCATCTCTTCAAGGGCTGAAGGCTGATTCCGCTCTGGCTTGGCCTGTGCCATGTCGCATATGTCTTTTTTGTGTGGTTGAGATTACTTAAGAATGACACTGCGACGTCAACATTGCTCTCTTCTCTCAAGGCGTGAGGCCAGGCCATGCCTGCAGGAATCTGGCAATGTCCGCCGCATACTGCGTAGAGGTTCCCGAATAGAGACTGCCATGGTTGAGTGTCGGGAAATGAGGTCACCGACGTCTGGGATCACGTCTGGAACGTCCCTGAGGTGGGCGCGTTTGATGATGGTGGTCTCTCGTCTCTCGTCAGCCCTTTTCCGTCGTGTAGAAGAGATGGACGACGGCCTCTGATTCTCGCCTTCAGTCCCGGGTCGGGAACAACCTCAGCTACGATTGCAAGTACCCATGTACCTGGACTTAGGTAAGCTGCCTTTCGGTACCCGGAAGACAAGCTTGGCGACCCCCCGAGTGCCCCGCCAAGAGAAGCAATCGCAAGAGAACCTCTGCGGCTCCTGGCTCAGCCACAGGAGCACAGGAGGTGACAGGCTGTGTCTGTTTGGCCCTGTGGCTCGTGCGCCCTGTGAAATCCGGTGGGGGCCTGTCCGGGTGCTGCTGTCCGCTGTCTGTCGCTGCTGACTGCCATCGGCCTGCCACTGTCGGTCGCTGTGGCGGGCTGTCATCCGCTGTCCCGTACCGTCCAGTCGCGTTGGCGCATTCCTCCCTGGCGCCGCGCGGCTGATGGTCCGCTTTCCCAACAGAGACTGACGCTGCCAGACAGCCCACTAACCAGCCAGCCCAGCCCAGTCTCCCAGATGACAACACAGCTGCCAATTCGCATCTTTCATGTGATGGAGCTCCCCACAACCGCCGCCTCGCCGTCAACTTCTTCCCCAACCACTGTCATTCGTGGCCTGACGTGAAAAGAAACACCATCATCGTAGCGACACCCTCAATCCATACTGCGACAGCCCTCCGGCACCCGTCTCACCCAATTCCATGTCACCCAGTACCACCACCACCAACACCACCACCATCCAAGTGATTCTCGACCCCCAGTAGATGAATGCTGGCGCGGCAGTCGTCTCCAATGCGATAGCTCCGCCATGCCCGCGCATCTCGAATCGAACGCTCTCTTCGGCCACGATACAGAAGCAAACGATGAAATCCGAACTCTCAGCCGCTCTCCCCATCCCTATCACCACCTCAATACCGAGCTCCCTCATCCCGCCCACCGTCTAGTCTATAAACCGCCCAATTCGGCACCGACACCGCCGAGGACATCATCAACAGACTCGAGCCGAACTCCGTCTCCCTTTCCATCCTTCGCCAAAGACTCTTCGCAGGGTAGCGACAGCGGTACCGAAGCCGACGATGAGCACTTCCTAAAGGGGCTGCCGGCGCCCAAGGTCCGCTTACACAAGGGACTGCGGGGCCGAAACGAGGTCCTCTCGGGCTCGTCGACGCCTCTCTTCTCCCCAGACCAGGAAGAAGATGCTCTGCGGAAGCAGAAGGAAAAGGAGGACCGGAAAGAGGCCCGCAGGTTCCTCAACGAGCGCAACTTCCGCCGCACAAAAGAGCTCATCCGGCGCGTGTCAGAGTTCATTATTGTTGGTTCGCTTTTCGCAGTGGTCCGCTCAAATCCGTTGGTGAAGCCACTATTCACCGCGTGGAGCAGAGGTATGTCGTATCTAGCCAGACCCTGAACGCAAGCTCACAGTCTACAGAACTGCGCTTCTCAGCCGCGCTCATCACCTCTCTCATGATCCTCTACCCGATCCGACTCATCGCATGGTCAATCCGCCACAGGGCCTCGTCGAAGAAGCCAGCCATTGCCGTGCCCACCGTCTTTGACCCCGCGCCCATTCTATATCCGCCGTCTGTGACGCTCCTCGTGTCACTATTAATATCCCCCGACAACCAGGCGGTGATTCTCACAAACATCATTCTCAGCATTTCTTCGATACCCAAATACTTAATCCCGACAGCTCGCGCTCGCGAAGCCATCAACCCCTTGCAATGGGTACTATCTTGCATTCCACTGTGGCTTTCGCAGCAGCAACCTGAAGCGACACTATCTAGACCGAGCGTCAGCCTAGAGACGGCTGTTCTTCTCTACCCGCTGCACCAGACGCTGCTTGAGGTGCTGCACTATCTTACTACGACGAGCTTGCTCACGGCTGAGCTGCAGCTGCTCTCAATCGCCTTGATCAATGTTCTGCTGCTTGCCCACTCACCGCAGGCCACCATTCTCCAAGCGCTGCTCTGGGGAGGCGGCGTGGGCGTCCTCGTCATATGCGGACCGGTGATTCGATGGGGGATCGCCTTGGCTAGGGTTCCAAGGTTGCGCTTCAGGCGCATTGTGACCCCATCGAAGAAGTCGTCCGTCTTTGGGTTCCTGTCCGAAGGACTCTCCATCCGGCGCTTCAAGCACGAGCTGTTGGGATCATCACTGGAGGAGTCGGCATCCGAATTGGGCGATTCCGAGGAGGAAATCATCAACGGACCGTTTGCGAAGCCGATGAGAGTCAGGACGTTTGGTATGGCCGATATGCCCTCCCGAGGAGAGCGCAAAATGAGCGCCTCTCCAGATGGCAAAGCCCCAGGGTCACCCGACGGTTTCGCTACGGGACGACGCAACACGTTTCCGTATGCTTTACAGCGGCCGAGGCGGTCCTTGACACACACATCAGCAGGCAGAAGGAAGCGCACCGCTTCGACTACCGTTCGCTCATTCTTCAAGCTGACAGAGGCGCAAGCCACCTTGAGGAAATGGTCGTACGCGACATACGTCTACACATGCATTGTGCTCATCATCTTGGTGCCTGTGCGAGAGTACATCGGCCGCCATGCTCTGCTAGGCAATGAGCCCGTTGGCTGGGCACTGGGGTATCTCTTTGGCGAGCTGCCATGGTTCAGGTTCAAAGTCGTCGAAGCGAACCTCGAGAGATGGATCTGCTTACCTGCACGTCTGAGCGAAGATTCAAAGGCGCTGTGCCACCAGGGCTGGGTGCAGTACGTTCGGTTCTCCGACTTTGGCGAAGCCAACACGCGGCTGTTGATGACAGCGTACTGGCTTGCCATTGTCATTGTCGGCTTGACCGTGGTCATCCGCCTGGATCCCAAGTACGAAGTGGACACGAGACGAAAGGTGTTCCACTTCATGATGGTCGGTATGTTCCTCCCTGCGACCTTTGTCGACCCCGTCTTCGCGGCGTTGGCACTGTCGCTCGTCCTCGCCATCTTTCTCATTCTCGACCTCTTGCGGGCGAGTCAACTCCCGCCCCTGTCCCGACCCATCGCCTCCTTCCTCACGCCGTACGTGGATGGCAGAGACCATAAGGGGCCCGTTGTCATTTCCCACCTATTTCTGCTCATCGGGTGCGCCATCCCTCTCTGGCTGTCTCTCGCCACCCTTCCGCGCTCCGGCAGCGGCTACTTGACCGGATGGGAGGTGCCGACGCGCGAAGTCAGCATGGTCGCGGGTGTCATCTGTGTCGGCCTCGGCGACGCGGCGGCGTCCCTCATTGGACGGCGGTACGGGCACCGGAAATGGGTCTGGGGCGGCGGCAAGAGTCTCGAGGGCAGCGTCGCCTTCGCGGTGGCCGTGTTCCTCGGTCTCATGGCGGCAACGACCTGGCTTCGGGTCGGGGGCTGGCCCGTCGCGGCGGAGCAGCACGTGGCGTGGCCCACGTCGGCGCGGAACGCCGGCTTTTGTGCTAGTATGGCCAGCTTGACGGAGGCGGTCTTGACCGGCGGAAACGATAATGTTATTGTGCCGGTGGTTCTCTGGACGTGCGTTAAAAGTATCGGGGTGTAGGGGTGGTTGTCATGGGCTGGCGTTTTACATGGGGGTTAGGGATTCACGAGATGGGTTTGGTCTTTTTTTACTAAATACTCCTAGAACATGGGGTATCATGATTATGAATGCAATGCCTTGGTTCTCATGCTTTTGTCTATTTGACTGAATCGATCGATGCGAATGTGGAACGCTAGCATGCTTTTCCCATCTTCCGAATGCTCTATGCGTACAATGATTCATGGGCCATAAACTTATGACATCAAGTCCTCGAGGATGGCCTCGAGCTCCTCCCGTCTGAACGGGATACTCAAGAGCTCCGTGCCGAGTGCGTCTTTCCTGCTCTCAATGATTTGATGGTCGTGGAACCTGTTCCTTTTCGTCAGTTTTTCTGGTTTCACATGTGCGCCAAAGAAAGGGGGGGGACATACTCCTTCAGCAGCGTCCGGAACGCCATCTCGGAACTGCAAATAAAATCCTCCACGGCCTTGTTATACACCATCCGATACTCGACACCCGGATTCTCCGCACTTGCCCCGTACTGTCCTCCACCACCACCGCCACTACCATCATCGTCCATGGCGGCCAACACCTCGATAACAAGCAACTCGAACAACTTCTTGGCGTTCTCGGGCAACGAGCGCAGCACAAAAACGACGCCTTCCCTCCCGTTGACGCGGCGGGCTTTCCGGCCGAGGAGCTCGTGGACCTCGTCTACGGGGTCGAGTTCGACGTCCTGCAGGGGTTGGAGGGTGGTTGCGTCGTGGAAAATAAAGTTGAAGGATGTGCGCTGGGCGGCGTCCCAGAGGAGGGGGAAGGAGGGCGTGTCTGCTGTTGCGACGAGGCGGATTGAGGGTAGGGAGGCGAGGCGGGAGAGGAGTTGTTGGGTTGTTTGTTTGCGGAGGGGGTTGGCGTCGATGGAGTGGAGGAGAATTGTGATTGGTTTGCGGTGGGAGGAGTGTGGTGGTGGTGACGATGAGGTGAGAGCGGAGGAGAGGGACTGCACCATGGCCGTTGTCTGGGCGGGTAGTTTGAGGGACGGGTCGAGGGCCGCGGCGACGGTGGAGTAGACTTCGCGGGCTGTGAGGGAGCGGACGTGGCCGTTCACCACCACGATGGGCGCGTCCGGGTCGGCGTCGTAGAGGTGTTGCGCGAGTTTGGAGAGGAGGTTGCGTTTGGAGCCCTGGCCGTAGAGGCAGAGGCTGAACCCTTGGGTGAGCTCGAAGCGCCATTGTTCAAAGGAGGATTCGTGGAGGGATTCGAGGTAGGCGAGGTCGTCTTCGTGAGGGTCTTTTTCGGTTTCTTTGCGGTCGCGGAGGAGGTCAAAGTACTCTTCGTGCGTGAGGAGGTCGAGGGAGGCGAGGGTGTTGTGGGACGTCTTTGCGCGGCCGGGCTTGTTGTGCTCAAAGTAGATTTCGTGGGGGGGCAGGTCGCGGGGCGGGGTCGGGGATTTGGGGGGCGGGACTTTGCGTGGGCGGCCGCGGCGGCGGGGGGTTGTTGCTGTTGGTGTTTCTGGGTCGGCGGGTTGTGATGTTGATGCGGATGCTGACGCTGATGCTGGTGCTGGTGCTGTAAATGGTTTTGCGGTTGACATTATCTTTGCTCTTGGTGTACTCTGTTCCTCGGCCTCCTCCTCATCGTCCTCCTCTTCGCTCGACTCGTAAATCTCGCGCGCCAGACCATCGGGCCCCTCCTCGTCGCTGTCCTCGTCGGCGACGATGCTCTGGATCAGAGCCCTGGCGCTCTTCCTCCGTGCGGAGCGGTCCGCGGCCTGTCGCCTTCGCGGGGTGATGGCGGCCTTGATGGGCGTCACCAGCGTGTTCACCTGGCGCAGCTTCGAGGGCGTGACGGCGCCGTTGGCTTGTGGAGTTGCTGGTTTCGGCGGGCGGCCTCTTTTCTTTCTTGGGGTATGTTCTTCGGGTTGGGGATCGGGGTCCCCTGCTTCTGCTGCCTCTTCATCTTCGTTGTCATCATCGGCGGCATCACTGTCAGAGGGCACTTCATAAGGGTCCGCTGCCTGGCGCCTCCGCTTCGAGGGGGTCCCGTTGACAGGCTCATCGTCGGCTCCATCATGTAGCTGCTGGCGGGAGCGTTTCTGGCTCAGTCTGCTACTCGGAGAATCGCCCACGTCTGGTTCTTGCGGTCTTTTCCTCGCCATGTTTGTGTTGCGCCTGTGGTGTATCTCAATTCTCGCGGGGGGTGGTTGTTCGATGGGGCGTTGGTGGTCAATATTTTGCGGCTTTCGACGGCACGGCAACCGGAGACGACGCGCTGGAGACGCGAAAATGTGCAGTCGGACAGGGAGGCGGCCAAGTGGGTCACCCTCCGTGTCTATGTAATTGAATTGCGCCGCCCCCGGTGTCAGTGACGTGGGGCCCGGGGGTTCGTGCTTATCTTATCGGAGCGACAGGGGTAGCTGTTGCGCATTCTGCAGGTGGCCCAAGCTCCCCGCATGTCCAAATCTCACCGGGTCCTTCCATCGTCCAACCATACAGAACTCCATTCACTTCCTTCCCCCAAACCCCATCCTCACCCCAAGGGCCCAATCACCAAGATGAATCTCAACCTCTCTGGCACGGTGAACGTGTTCAAACTTTTATTGAAGCCCACGCTGTGTCTGCCACAACATACGGTCGCGACGTTCAACGACCTGCCGATCCCGTTTGAAAAAGCCTTTGAGGGCCAGGATCGGATGTGCGACATCAGGGCCGTGGTGCTCGACAAGGACGACTGCTTCGCGGTTCCCCATACGAATGAGGTCCACAAACCTTACAAGGTATGTCACTTCGAGCTTGATCTCAAAATACAGACCACTGAAACATCATCAAGGAGCGCTTTGAGCAGCTCAAGGCCGCGTATCCCGGCCGCCGGCTGGTCATCGTCTCCAATACGGCGGGGGCGACGTCTTACGACAGCTCTCTCAAGCTGGCCAAGGAGCTGGAAGAAGCCACCGGCATCACCGTCCTGCCTCACAAGACAAAAAAGCCAGGCTGTGGCTCCGAGATTATGGAGTACTTCCAGAAGCACCCCGAAACGGGCGTCTCCCATCCGTCCCAGGTTGCAGTCGTCGGCGATCGCTTGACCACCGACATGATGCTCGCCAACATGATGGGCGGCTGGGGGTTCTGGATCAGGGAGGGTGTCGTTGCCCCCGAGAAGAAGAGCATTGTTTGTATTCGTCCTCCTTGAGCCTGGCAGCAGTTTCTAACTTGGTGATAGCTCTCGAGACTTGAATGGCGTTTGGCGGCAGCGCTGACTGCGAGGGGGTACAAGCCAGCAGAGCCTCAGAGTCCTTTCGAATAGGTGTGCAAAATGGATTTCTCTTGCAGCCGGTCTTCGACCTGGGTTCAAAGGGCTCGGTGCAGCGTTGTGCTGCTCGTCTCGGTCGAAGTTGATCTCCAAGTTCAAAGAGAGTTCAGCTTCAACTCTGCGCAGGCCCTTGGCAGACGACTTTGGTGTGCGCAAGGGTCCTGTAAGCAGTAGAGTAGCCTCGTTGTTACAATCTGCGGAGGGTAATCATCCGCTCAAGTTGCGACATGCCGGAGATAACCCAGCAGATGGTTCAGCAGATGGAGCTTCCTTTGACCCAAGGCATGGCCGTCTGCTGGGTTGTCTTTGGTATGACTGAGGACTGGCTGGGAGAAAGGCACTGCCCATACATGGCTTGCCCCCAAGGCTGTGAAGCATTCCCGCCTTGCTCAGGGTCACCCCCGATCATTCCCACTGCACATTTACTTCAATCCTACATCCATCCACGCCCAAGGCCTCGCTGCTGAATAGCCATATGGATGTTGGTGTGGACTAGAGACGATAATATTGCTTGCTTTCGTCTCATCGACCTCACCTCGCTCGAATTCGACCATGATACCGGCCCTCGAGTCCGTTGCTCCTTCCTGGCAGGTCATTCACTCGTCCAATCTTTCATCGCATCCGCTTTTCATCACATCACGATCCTTCACCACATCGCTATTCCGTCGCATCGCCTTTTCACCGCGCAGCCTTTCGACCGCATCACCTTTCAATCGCATCACTCTCAATCACATCAGCTTCCGTCGCATAACCCATCCATCGCATCGTCCTTCAGTCGCATGTCCTATTCGCCGCATCGCCCTTCGACCGCACCATGACTCAGTCGCATCTCCTATTCACCGCATCGCCGCCCTTGGGGTCACCTCGCCCATCACGGCCGCCTCAACCCCCCACAATATAAATAGCAACCTTCCACCCACTACTATACAGGAGTCCGGTCACTCCTACTTCGTCAGGGCTTCATCATTCCTTTCTATATTCGACGCGAGCGCGTTTACACCTTCGCTCTTACTTCTGGCTGCACATAATCTGTCCGAATTTTTACACCCACAGCATCACGCTTCCCCTCGACAGATCGCCAACATCTGCGATTCAGCAGTCGTTCCTTCCGGGGAAAACAACTACTTCTCATACACCAGACGAAGGATTCAATCTTGCAAAGAATTGCCCCAGGAGCTCTCCGAACCAGAGCACCTGCCTACCGTAACAATCCTGCCTACATACTTACCAAAGTCACCACGCCAAAATGCCTGGCAAAGCGTGGTCCAAAGAGGAAGAGCGCGTCTACTGGCGTTTCGTCATTCCCCAATCGGCGAAGCGTGTTGATGGCGGCCCGGCGGTGCCTTGGGACCAGTTGGCCGTGTACATGCAGAAGAGAATGGGTGCCAACGCCAAGCGGGAATACACTCATCTCAGTCTCCGTACGTTCAGCACATTCCTTCGATATAATTGCCGTGCTAACGATCAGACAGTGGAGCACTACTTCCAGAACTTCGATAAGGAGCGTTTCTCACCCCACGCGGCTCCATACGTACGCGAGGCGAAGAGGATCATGGCCAGTATCATGAAGAGCCAGTCGCAGAGTGACGCCTCTGTTCCCTCCCAGGATGCTCAGCTTCAGGACAGCTTCAACAAGCATACCGGCGAGACCACTGACGAGGATAACGGAACCATCTTATCTAATGAAACCAACGACGGCGACGCAGATTACATCGATGATGGCGATGAAGACGCCGAGGGTGAAGATGACCATGTTGATCCCGACGACGAAGTTCTCACCTTCATTCGGGACATGGCCCGGGAATCTCAGCGAAACCAAACTGCCGCTCGCTCTGTCAAGCGTGCTGCGGGTCAATCGTCTACTCTCCCGGCCCCTGTGGCTGACATGAGCTCTCATGGCAACTACGTCCCCGGCTTGGCGCCCCAGCACACCATCTCGCAGGAGCGTTCGACGCTACCCCCTCGCCCCCCTAGAGCTGTCACGCGGGTCCACGACTACCATGCTTTCCCGTACGAAAGCCCCAGACCCGCTCAGCATGGTCGAGAGCCGCCTCAGAAACGTGCTCGATTGGCGAACCCTTTCGAGACCAACGGCTACTATGACCAGGGCCTCAGAACTCAGGCTTATTACGGACAGCAGTCCAGCCGTCAGGCTTTCTACAATCAGGGTCCCAGAATGCAGAGCCAGTATGGACAGGATTCCGGCAGCCACGGCTACTACGATCAGAACTCTGGCAATCAGGCCCATTACAACCAGACGCGCGGCGACTACGGCCAGATCACCAACCCCCAGGGCTTCGAAGATGACCCCGACTCCGTATACTTCTGGGATCAGAGCGCCAAGGACCGTAGCTACTACGAACGGGGGCACGCCCGCCAGCGCCAGCAGTACATCGACCAGTGCCATGGTCTAAGTGACGACAACCAGGACTGCCGCGGTCAGAGCTCTAGCAGCCATAGTCACGACCAGAACCGCAGCGTCCAGGGCCCCTTCCAGAATCACGAACACCGTGTCTACGACCAGAACGAAGTCACCCGGGGCTACTACAACCAGAACCGCAACATTCAGAGCGCCGGCCAGAACCACGAGAACCGTGGCTACGATCAGAGCCGCAACCAGCATGACCTCGGCAACCAGGGATACCACGCGAACGCAGCGTACAATACTAGCCAGCACCTCCGTGCTCCCTCCGTGGGCTACAGCGGTCAACAGCCTGCCATGGGATCTCATCAGTACCACCAAGATCCTCAGTGCCAGTCTCCTCCCCAGTTGCAGCAGTCGGCCATGGGCTACTCTGAGTACCCTATCGGAAACCGACCCAGCGCCTCAGCGCGCCTTGATTCCCAGAATGCGATGGCTCGCTACTCAGATCGTCAAGTCCCGATGTCCCCTGGTCGCAGCTCAGTTCCGATGTCGCCCAACTACGACAGCTCCGCGCAGCACAGTGTTGCGCCGTCTCCTGGCGGCATTGGTCATCATTCGACCATTCCGGACTACATCCAGCGCCCCTCGACAGCTAGCTCTGGCTACCAACAGCCTTCTCGCCGTCCTTCCGTTCGTCAGCAGGCTAGTGAGGATCATCACCTCCAGGGAGCTCACAACAACAATCGCGAGGAGCCTAAGAATGAGCAGTTTCAGCATCCGTCTTCCACCTCTGGTCCTCTTCGTCAGCATCCCGGTGAGGATCATCACCGCCAGGAAGCCTACATGGATCGTCGCGAGGAGCCCGAGAACGAGCAGATCCAGCGCCCCCCTTCTTCTGTCCTTGTTCGTCAGGAACCTATCGAGTACGCCCATCATCAGAGCGGCTACATGAACCAGCGCGAACAGCGTGAGGGTGAGCGCTTCTCTGGTCGCTACGTCTCTCCCTACCCTCCTCGTCAGCATCCCGCCGAGCACAACAACGGTCAGGGTGGCGTCCCGAAGAATCGCTTTGTGCCCGAGTACGAGCCAGAGATGTTCCAGGCCTTTGAGGCCGAGTCTGCTCGACGCAAGGAGTGAGGTCTGAGGGTACTGCTCCTTGCCATGATATTGTAGATATTTTGGGCTGCAGGCATCGGGACATTGCGACTTTCACCAGGGCGACAATGGCATTCAGCTTGCTAGATCCGCCATCGACTAGCAATCTTTGCTGGTAGCACAGATGCGGTTACGAAGACCTCTATCACGGAAGCGGGAGGGAGTTATTGAGTTTTCACATCATCACTGAGCATCCTGGAAGCATTCGGAGAGAAGCTATCGAGCTTCCACATTGGTATTGGGCATTCTGGCTGGATTCAGGCCTTAGTTTAGGCGTTTAGATGAGGTTAATGGCACGGTTGCCGGAGAGATACCCATCATGGCTTTCACGAGTGCAGACAGTGGGAGACGGATAGACCCTAGTCGTCCAGGACCCCCACGAGATAGTTCCCCATAGCCCTTCATAGGAATTGAGTATCAGTCATCCATAGCTTGCCCGTCCTTCGATTGTGCCCCTTTGTCCACGTCTCAGGTTCAATAAGATATGCACGATGACTAAGCCAACCGACGGGGGGAAACTCGAACGACTTTTCCGAGTCCAGGTCTCCAAGACTCCATGTTCACCGGTGGGGTGCCTGACACGAACAGCAAGCAAGGAAGGGTGGCATGATCTCATATTAAAAGTGCCGTCCGAGCGAAGGGGGCAAGGCAAGGCGGATAAGGACGTACGTAGATGGGCGACAAGAGGCGAATAAACAAGAATTATCGTAGGGACTCGGAAGACTTTTAAAGCGCGGGCGTCTTGCAATTGACTTTTGGTTTTGTGTTGCACTTCATTCTTTCTCGTCTCTGAACTTCTGAAATCAAAACCAACGTTGAGGCAAACTTGCAGGGTTGTCGTTACTTTTTCCCGCTACCTTAAATCGATTGAACCTATCACATTAACGGATTATCCAATCGACTTTCAACTATCTCAACCCAAGCACTTGTCAGCTACAACACAACACCCCCACCAAACAACCAAATGACAGTCACTAAGCAACCAGCGCCACCCACAATGCCAATCCACCTCGAGATACCAGTCTTCTCCCCCTCCGCCGCGCTGCACGCCCAAGCCATCGGCGCGCAGCGCATCGAGCTCAACGCGCGCGGGAGCTACCCCGTCGGCGGCACGACGCCTGCGCTCGCGGACCTCGAGGGCGTGAATAACTGGCTCATGGTGCCTGTGCGGATCATGATCCGGCCGCGGGGGAAGCGTCTGGACGAAGATGTGGATTTTGTGTACAGCCAAGACGAGGTTGAGGGGATGGTGAGGGATGTGGAGAGGTTTCGGGGCGTGTTGAGGAGGGAGAGGGGGGATGGGTTTGTGTTTGGGGTTTTGGAGAGAAGGAAGAGTGAGGGAGTTGTGGTTGATGTGGAGAGGAATCAGAGGCTCGTTGAAGCCGCGGACGGGTTGGCGTGTTCTTTCCACCGGGCTTTTGACGAGGTTATCCGCGATGGGGAGGTTGTGACGATTGAGAGGGGGGTGAGGGATTTGGTGGGCTGCGGGTTTGAGGGGGTGTTGACGTCTGGCGGGCCGGGGAACGCGGCGGAGAATCGGGGGCCGCTTGGGGTTGTTGTGCGGGTGGCGGCGACGACGATCAAGGGGGGTCAAGGGAAGGGACTGGAGGTTATCATCGGCGGCGGGGTGAGGAAGGAGAATGTTGCGAGCTTGGTTGATGGGTTTGAGGGGGGTGGTGTTTGGGCGCATTCGAGTTGTTTCACGGGCAAGTGTGAGGAGGGGGAGGTTGATGATGAGGAGGCGATGGGGATTATGGAGAGACTTGCTGAGAGGTGATCTCTTTTTTTGTTTATCTTTCTTTCTGGATTTTTGGGTAGATTGTCCTAGGGATTAGTGTAGATAGCGCAGATGGGTCATTTGATATCACGTTGCAAACATCGAATCGGGCCAGTGAAGTTATCACGGGCTTTTGGTTGCCATGTCCGCTGTTGTGACTCGCCATGTGCATAGCAATGATAGCATCCACTCGAGTTGCAAATCACCCCCGCAGAGTCGGACCGCGCGGGAGATCGTCAACCCTGCTTACCACACGAACCACACTCTGTACTCCCCTCGCGAGAGATTCAAACGGGGCTCGTAATCTAAACAAGAAACGAACAATGCACGACATACCTACATCAGTTGACACCTGCGCGTCTGATCTTTCTGCCTTGCCTGCCTTGTCCGTCCGCCTCCCGGGATGTAACACTGCTGGTAGCAGAGGCCATCTATTGATTCCTTTTTCCCCGGTACCCTCGTCCTGGCCCATCTACCTTCTGAAAGGAAGAGCGAACAGATTGTCTGCCCGTGGACAATATGTACGCCAAAAAGGGTAAAGTTATCCCGGCCCATCGTGGGCTGACGGATGGGGAATAAACGGACCACGGAAAGTGGATCATCGTCAGTTCATCGGCCGATGATGGGCCATCGGCCGTGGAGGGGGCCCGAGCGAACGGGGCTGCGGTCACCCTCGTTGCAACCTCGCCGTGTAGTCTAGACTCGCAACATTGACTTGGAAAAGATGAAGTCGTTTGTGTACAAGTCCATTGATCGAGAAACATTACAGTTATGTTCGTTCTGCTACTCGGGAGGCATCATGCATAATCTCGTCGAGTTGGTGCTGTTGGGCAAAGATGCATAAGGTAAGCCACCTCACTTGAGTGGAATTTCGACGCAGCACGAGCCCTGCATCGTGGTGCTTGCGATGTACGAGAACGATCTGCCTTTTATTCATAAAGAAGGCCTTGAAGCGGATCTTGAAATGAGATTGTGGGAGACGTACACGGTGACGATAGTTGCGAGGGAGGGAGAGGAAGAGTTCACATCCGTCCATCTGGCTGGCCATGTCTAAAAACACCAGAGCAAATCGACCATCAGTTGAGACTCTTCGGACTGGCGATGGACATAGAGTGTGTTCTTAACCGAACATGGTATTAATTCTATACTTCATTACAGAGTTCATTACGTCGAGAGGCCTCTCCCACCTCTCCAAACATACCATCCAACACCCAAACATTCAACCGCCCCAACACCCGCTCGCCATGCTATGTCAAAGTCTCAAACCCCCCCTTTCAAATAACCCTTCCTTAAGCATGAAGAGCCCTAGCCTTCCGGGCACACCCAGCCCCAGGCGCCGTAGCATTCCTAGGCTGCGCGAGACCAAGACAATTCGCCATCTTGTAAAACACATCGATATTGCTATACGTCCCGCCAAACGTCTCCTGGCAAGGCCCCCTCGCCCACACAGCAACGTCCGTCAACGAGTGCACGCCCTGCGCCTCGTTGGTAGGCAGCGTACCATTCACGACGAAGCCATCCACGGCGTCCTTGGGGTTGGCGTAGTACTCCGTCGTGTTGGTCGCCGCCACGGCGGGCGTGCGCGCGCCGTCGGCGTGGAGCTTATAGTCCTCGCGGCGGTCCGGGTTGGCGCCGAAGCCGGCGGCGATGGCGTAGCGGGGGCTCCAGTTGAGCGGGAAGTTGGGCCCCGTGTTGTACGAGACGCCGGGCTGCTCGACGGTGTACTGCGACAGGCCTGAGTTTGCGTAGACGCCGACAGCCTTGCGCTTTGTGCGGTCGTCTTTTTGCTCGGCTAGGTACTTTGTGTCGGCGTTGCCAAAGACGCTGCTAATGTCAGTATACAAATGTAAGTTGATAGTACGGAGTACTACTCACTCAAAGCCGTGGCCGTGGTCGGACGACACGACGACGAGGGTCTCGTCAAGGATGCCGAGCTCCTCGAGCTTCTCCAGTGTAGCCTTGACGGTATCGTCGAGCTCGAGCAAATCGCCCAGAGCGCGGTCGTAGTCGAGGGCGTGCATCTGCTTATCGATGGACGCGGCCTCGGACATCAAGAAGAAGCCCCTCTCGCCGCCGCGGTTGTGCAGCGTCTCGACGGCCTTGAGCGTCATCTCCTTGAGCCCGGGCACGTCGGCGGCGGCGCTCTTGTTCCCCGTGGGGTCGTTACTCAGCTTAGCGAGGTTCTCGGTAAGAACATTACGGTCGAGCCAGACGGGGAGGTTGCCCTGCGTAAAGATGCCGAGGATACGCTCGTTGGGGTCGGCGGCCTCGAGCGATGTCTTGTTGAGGGCGACGCTGTAGCCCTTGTCTGCGAACGCGGCGTAGTAGTCTTTGCCCTGGTAGGAGCCCTTGCCCGGGTAGAACTGCTCGGCGCCGCCGCCGAGGTAGACGTCCGGGCCGGTCATCTTTGTCCAGGTGTAGTTTGTGATGCCGTTGAGGGCCTGGTCGATCAGGGGCCCGTACAGGGAGCGGGCGCGGGTGTGTGCCGTTAGGGCGATGGGGGTCGCGTCGGCGATGAAGGCCGTGGAGACGGCGCCCCAGGCAGAGCCCTGTGTTTGTTAGTACGATGTCTGAGGGGGCAGAGAGGTTTGACGTACCCAGATGCGGTGGATCAGCTCGACAATGGTCTCGACCTTGGGGTCGTCAAATGCGTCGGGGGAAGAGTCGACGTAGACACTGGCATGTGTCAGCGAGCACTTTGACAGTTCATCATCTTCCACTTACCCCATGGCGTTCACGGTGCTCTTGTGGCCAGAGTACAGCGCAGACGCCGAGTTGGCAGAGTCGGTGATGTAGCTGTCAATGGAATGGGTCATCTGGTGACCAATGACGGGGAACTTGTCGAGAGCCAGGCTGGTCTGGTACTTTCCATTGATGCTCTTGTGGCCTAGAAGACGGGCAGCAGTGACCTGTGACTGTCAGCGTGAATCCAAGAGATGTGAGTGTGCGTAAGTACCATGTTGGTGGTCATTCCGTCGCCTAAACCCAGAGTCAGCATGAACACAAACACAACCAGCGCAGAACATACCAATAAAGAAGATGACATTCTTGGCCTTCTTCTCCGTCGCCAGAGGTCGCACGACCCAGTTGGCGGTGGTCTTCTTGCCGTCGTAGTACGTGAGGGTGACGACGTAGTTGCCGGGCTCATACAGCGCGAGGCGGCGCCAAATCTTGGAAGCCACGTTGACGACGCTCTTCTGCTTCGCGTCCTCGGCAAAGAGGTCTTCGTACCACCCAAACGACCACTTTTCCAGCTTGGGCTCCTCGAGACCAAAGAACTCGGTCAAGCTCTTGGTGGCGCCGCCCTCTTTAGCGATAGTCGCCGTGAACGCCTCATCGGGGACGCCGTTGTTGAACGCCTCGGAGCCGTTGACGGGCGCGTGGACCTCGACGCGGAGGTCAAAGGTCTGGCCGGGGAGGAAGTCGGACTGGTCGGGCGGGAGGACGCAGCCGAGGTCCGGGCATGTCCCGAGGCGCTGGTAGGTCTGCGCCGAGGCGAGGGACGACAGCGAGGCCGCGGCCAGGACGGCGGCGAGGGGGTTGAGCTTGACCATGTTTGGATTTGCTCAAAGTGAATTGGCTGTGGAGGGAAGCCAAAAAGACACGATGAAGCGTGAGTTGAGAAGAAGGGCGCAACAAGCTTGACCGGGACGCTGGAGTGGAAGCTTTTCTGCAGCTCGGGAGCTTATATACCAATACGTTCAGCAAGGGGACGAAAAGTCATCCCATGTCTTTCAAGCGTCGAGAGGGCGTGATTCCCCCGCCAAAAGTTCCCTGTCCAATGCATGACAAAAACATTCTGTCGGTTCGCGGATCCTCGCATTCGCGGGTACCCAGACATCGTAGACAGCTCCGGGGGATGTGAGTGAGCTGCAGATTGCGCGGCGCATCATCCCAGCTTGCGCAGAACGTTAGTCCAATGTAATGGGTAGGATTCCGTCTGCACCGAGCACCGAGAGCATCATTGTTGATCTGCGATTGGCTCGGGCAGGGTCAGAAAGAACGGCTAGACCGACATCATGACGGCGTGCTGGGACTGACGGGCAAAGAGCTGAATGTAACTTCACGGCTCGTTGTGAGCGACAGAGGCACGTGTTCTACGCGAACTATGAAGGAAGGAGTCGGGGCCATCTCGGGCTTCCCAACGCCAAGACACTTGTTATTTGACGGGCGAAGCGGAGATGATGGCCAGGGAAAGGCAAGCAGGAAGAAGTTCCGAAGAGCGAAGCTGGATGTGTTCGGTCTGCAGATTGGGGATGAAGCCTGCGTAATGCGTGGGGTGGGTGAAGACTCGAAAAGGCAGAAGAGATGAACGGCGTGGTGTGGCGTTGGCTTGGCGCTGCAGGTCGAGAAGGGATCAAGAGCTTTCTAAGCTTCTGAGCTTCTGAACCTGATTGAGAGCCTCGTCGTGATTCGTCGGCTTTTTCTTGTTGTAGTCCCCCCGTACGAAGCCGTGTGGTGGTTGTGTTCCCGGGACGAGGCGAAAGTTGGCCGTGGCCGTTGGGTCCGACCCCGTGGGTGAATTGGCACTTCTGATTGGCTACTCGCTCCCGTGTAAGTCGGGGGACCAGGGTTGATGGCGGGGGGTCAAGTCTTGGTGGTGTCGATGATTTTGGTGCCTTGGAGGAACAAGCTTACCATCTCATTTTACAGACTTTTTGTTAATCGCAATCGCCGGAAGGGGTATCTGCCTTGATCCAAGATGATCCTTGAAGAAGGCTGACATGGACTCGTGGGTGTGTGCTGACGGAACGCGTCCTGTGTGCAAAGTTGTGCGTAAATGCCAAGAACGACGACGGCACAAGCTCCGATGGACCCAAACTTCGCCACTATATGAAGAAGCTTTCCTTGGCTCTTCAATGGAGCGTTCGCCTTTTGGGAAGCACGTTGTCAAATCTGCTTGGCCGAAATAGCTTTCGCGAAGAACTTTGAACGTCATAATTCGTCTCTCTTTGGCAACGAGACAATTGTTCGCCATGAGCAAGATCGAACCAAAGAAAGCATCCTTCGTTCCGAGAGTGACTACCCCGTCGAGGTTTCGTTATCGTCGCGAATCGGTGGTTCAGCCTCATTGATGGCTTAGGCCCTTGGATCCCTGGATATTCGTCCAAAGACGCAGCAGCTGAACGTGCCCAGTGGACTTTTCCCCCAGACCTAGAAGATCTGGCCGGGCTAGGCCGTGTCTTGAACCCAGCCAGGGGGGAAGAGATTTCAACTAGACCACGTGGTAGAGAGCCAGCAACTCCGAAGCTGAGGATGGAAGTGTTTGTGAGAGGACCGGACATGGGGTTCTGAGCTCGGTAGATGCATCGCGCATCATTCCAAGGAGAGCAGCTCGCAGGACAACGGTGCAATCGCCTATACAGTATAAGAGTGGTCTCTTTGAGTCTAAACATTATGGATCTAAAAGTCTCTAGGACAGTATCAACGACGGAGTTGCGCAGTTGCGTATCAGATAATTGTACAGTAGCCCCATTTCCCAAACGCCGTGCTCTCTAGGAGGAGTCAAGCGCTCAACTCCCAAGCCGAAGTCCAACAACTCAGAATGGACAAAGGTCTCCCATCCCTTCTTCAACCTCTTCAACCTTGCTCCCTCACTCGAGATTCTGCGCCTCGCACATCTGCTTATACATACCCCCCCTCGCAACAAGCTGCGCATGCGTACCCCTCTCCACGATCCTCCCACCATAAAACACACAAATCACATCCGCATCCTTAACAGTCGACAACCGATGCGCAACGGCAACCGTGATCCTCTCCCCATCCCTCGCCGCCTCCTCCAACGCGCGCTGCACAACCTTTTCCGATTCGGTATCCAGCGCGCTCGTCGCCTCGTCGAGCAACAAGATCTTGGGCTGGCGAATCAGCGCCCGTGCAATGGCGATGCGCTGCCTCTGTCCGCCGGACAACTGCATCCCGCTGCTGCCGCAGGGGGTCGCGAGACCTTCGGGTAGAGAGGAGACAAAGTCCCACGCGTTGGCGGCGCGGCAAGCTGCTTCAATTTGGGCGTCTGGGATGATTTCGTCCAGGGACTCTGCGTCGATTCCTAAAGAAATGTTTTCGCGGATGGAGCCTTGGAAGAGGGTTGGTTCCTGCTGGACGAGGGCGACGATGTGGCGGTAGAGGCGGGGGTTGAGATCTGACAGGGCTAGGTCGCCGTCGATGCGGATGGTGCCTGATGTTGGGTCGTAGAAGCGTTCGAGCATGGCGATCATTGTGGATTTGCCGCACCCTGAGGCGCCTACGAGGGCCACGAATTGGCCCTTTTTGATCTGGAGGTTTGTGTTAGATATGATGGTACTGAAAGATGATGGTGGAAAGGGGGTGGACTCACTTCGAGATCGACCGCGCGGAGGACGTGCGCTTCGGGTCGGAGGGGGTACGAGAAGCGGAGCTGCTGGAAGTCGACCGAGGCTCCGGCCTTTGGCGCGGCGTCGCGGTTCTCAGGCGTCTCCTGGATGGACGGCTGGAGGTCGTGCAGCCAGAAGAGGTAGTTTGCGGCGTTGATGCCCTTGGTCATGCCTAGCAAGAGTCAGAGATTGAGAGATAGATCACTAGCGGAGAGGAGTCGACTTACTGCTCGAGTACTGGAAGAGCTGCGAGGCAGCCTGTCCGGAGAAAAAGGTGCCCATAAAGGCCACAAAGAATTGGTACATTGTGATCTCGTTGAACGAGAGCAGCCGGCAGCCGTACCTAGTCGAACGTTAGCATCCGAGATGGAAAGGGGCAGCATCCGAAACTCACCAGAACCCGAGAGCCATGAAAAAGTACTCAATGGCCTGCGTCAGTCCAAAAGCAATGGTCATGACGAAAAGGGGGCCAGTCGAAGCCCTCACGGCGTTGTCGAGCTCATCAGTATACCTCTTCAACACCGACTCCTCTATAGCGAGAGACGAAACGGTCCGAATCGCCGTCACGGACTCGGACGCAATCGCCGCGCTGGCAGAGTACCGCTTCGACGTCTTGGTATCGAGCCGCGAGTCGAGCCGCACCTTGATGTACCCCGAGCTCACGAGCGGCGGCATACCCGCGAGCACGACGACGAGACCCAGCTTCCACGTCGTGGCGATGGCCAGGATGCCGCACGCAATGACGTTGAGAGACGAGATGAGGATGAGGCCAATGTTGAAGCCCATGAGCTCGAGGATGGCCTGCGGGTTCGACTCGAGGCGGCTCGCGAGCGCGCCCGTGTTGTTCTCGACGCGGTCGAAGAACTGCAGGTCCTGCCGGAGGAAGTCGTTGAGGGACTGCCGGCGGAGCTTGTGGTTGAGACCCTGGGCGATGACGTTTGTGGCCCAGCCCATGACAAAGTAGCAGCAGAGCACGCCAAGGGCGAGGACGAAGAACATGAGGGAGTAGAAGTTGCCTTTGGGGATCATTTCGGAGCCCGTCATTGTGAAGACGTCGACGAGGTTTGCAATGATGAGGGATTGGCCGGGGAACGCGCCGGCTAGAATTGGGTTAGCTAAATGGGCATGATGAAGAATGGAAGGGAACTCACCGGCGACTACCACGGCCACCAGAGTCGCGAGGTAAGCCCACTTCAGCTCAGGGGTCTCGCGCACCATGCGGATGACGACGCTGATGAGACCGATGGGCTTGTAGTGATCAAAGTTGTCGCGCTCCTTCTGCGCCTCCATGCGCGTCTGGTCCGTCGTCCGGTACCGGCTCATGGTTTTGGTGAGCTCGATATCCTCCTTTCCGGCTGCCGCCGCCGTGGTCACCACCTCATCCTCCTCTTCCTCAGTCTCCGTAATAGACCCTTCCTCGGCTACATTCAAGTTTTGCGCCCTCACGAGGCGCGTATACGCACCGCCCTGCGCCAGCAAACCCTCATGCGTCCCCTGCTCGACAATGGCGCCCTTGTTCATGACGACAATGTTATCCGCCTTGCGGATGGTGGCGAGCTTGTGGGCAATGACAATCGTCGTGCGGCCCTCGGCCGCCTTGTCTAGGGCCTGCTGCACGACGCCCTCGGCGTGCGGGTCCAGGGCGCTGGTGGCCTCGTCGAGGAGGAGCACTTTTGGTTCCGAGATGATGCTGCGTGCGATGGCGACGCGCTGCTTCTGGCCGCCCGACAAGAGACCGCCGCGCTCGCCAATCATTGTATCGTAGCCTTCAGGCAACTGGGAGACGAAGTCGTGAGCAAAGGCGACCTTGGCGGCGTCCTGGACGCGGCGGAGTTGCTCCTCACGGGAGGATTTCTCCCATGGGGTTCCGACGAGGCCGTTTGCAATGTTGTCAAAGACTGTTCCCTGGAAGAGAACGGGTTCCTGCAATTGTCAGATTTGGTTCAAAATGTAGATGCATCTCACCTCACCTGCTGCACGAGCCGGACATTCTTCCTGAGCCAGTTGAGGTTCAGCTCGTTGATCGGCTGGCCGTCGAGCTTTATAGTACCCGACTTGGGGTTATACCACCGCTCAATCAACCCAATGATTGTGCTCTTGCCGGAGCCGCTCGAGCCCACGAGCGCCGTCACCTTGCCCGCGGGCACATGGAGCGAGTAGTTGTCCAGCACCGTGACGCCGGGGCGCGTCGGGTACTCAAAGGACACGTTCTCGAGGTCGACGACGCCGACGGTCTCGGTGGGCTGGTGGCCCGACTTGTCAAAGGGGTCAATCTCGGAGACGCGGTCGATGAGCTTGAACAGCTGGGCGGCGGCGGAGGCGGCGCGGGTGAATTCGATGACGTAGGGCGCCAGCATGGTCAGGCTCGTTGCGCCGATGACCACGGACAGGAGGACTCTGAACAGGGGTTAGGTGATGAATTCTGAGAATGTTGTAACTGCACTCACGTAAAGATGTCTCCAGACTCGGTAATCTCGCCCCGATTCAGCATGTGGATGCCCTGCCAGAACGCCAGCGCAAAGCCGGCGTAGATGACAAAATACTCGAACGAAAAGAGCACGCCAAATAATGCCGACTTCTTGTTGCCGATGCGGTGGGCGTCCTCGAGGAACCTGTCAAACTTTTGCACCAGCCGCGACCGGATCTCAAAAGCGTGAACGGTCCGCGCGCTCGAGAGGATGCCCTCGGAAAAGGAACCCGCCTGGGCGTAGATGTCGAGAATCTTGGTCTCGAGCCCAGCCTCAATGGTGGAGACGACGCCCATGACGACCAGAATCAGGGGCGCGATGCAGCACACGATGAGCGTCAGCTTCCACTGCGTCACAAAGGCGATGATGAAGGCGGTAACGAAGACGGAGAGCCCCTGGAAGGTCAGGGCGAGCTTCTCCGCGATGCCGACCTGGATGAGGCGGCCGTTGGAGATGGCCTGGGTGGCGATGGAGCCGCCGGAGCCGACATCGTAAAAGGCGACTTCCTGGCGGAGGGCGGCGTGGAGGTAGGCGTGGCGGATGTTTCGAGTGATGCGGTAGGCGGAGAAGGTCGTCAGGGAGATGTAGCCGTAGGCGAGGACGAATCGCGCGACGCCGAGGTAGACAAAGTAGAGCCTGGGGGGTGTTTAGCTTGGTTTGGTCTGCGGAAGGCGAGAATGTAGACTTACGCGAGCTTTGAGACTTCATTACGAAAGTGTTGAGGGGTGGACTGGCCGGTGGTGAAGTCTTGGATGGTGGTGACGAAGCTGCCAAAGATCAAGTTTTGGAGGGCCACGCCTGCTCCGGCGCCAATGGCGCATACGATCGAGACGACTTGCAGGAACTTTTCAAAGGGTCCTCCGAAGGAGAAGATTCTCTGGGAGATGTTAGCATGCTCTGCCTACGCTGGAGCAAAGGTCGATGATGGTACCAAGTAGGCCTTGAATGCGCCGCCCTCTTCCTTGACAGCTTCGTTTGGTGGAGCAATGGCGGCGACGGTATCCTCAGCCGGAGAGTGCTCCTTCTTTTCGGCTTCGGCCCCCATGTTGGGCGGGTTGGTGACTGATGTCGATGAGAGCCGCAGTTGACAGGGTCTTGTGGGTTCGCCCCAAATCTGAGCTAGTCGTTCGTGTCGCGTGGTGTGTTGGCAATATTAAGAGAAGTGAGCCGGCGGGTTGGTTCTCTTGTAGATGAGACGAGCAGGTTATGTCATGTGGTGTAGCTCTGTAGAAAGAATATTTTTACAACAAAGGCGCATGTTTGCAAGCGTGACACGTTCGGTCGAAATCTCGCATGTGGCATTTGCAATCCGGAAAATTAATTACGCACAAACGCGAGATGACGGATCGCCAGAGCGCCGCAGAAGTTTCCGTCATTGAAGCTGCTGCTGGTGAAGTGAAAGCCAAGCTCTCCCGCGGACCGCCGTCATGGAAGCGAGAGCCCCACCGCCCGGACAGGAGTGGGTCCCCCGCTTCGGTGCGTTCAACGTACAGGGGCGGGTTTGATTGGTTGCAGTGTAACTTGGCAGGCTTGCGGCGGGGGCCGCGGGTTCAGCGCGCCCGGGCGCCCACTGCGTTGCTCTGCGCGGGGTGCGGTGCTCTCGGGGCGCGAGATTCCAGACATGTCCAGAGTTCCTTTCATCCCAAACCATTAAAGGCTAAAGGTGTCCCCTCATTGCTGTGCGAAGAAGTGTCAGCAGGATGTTTTGGTTTGGCCGAGTCCGACATCGATGATGCCGATGACTCTTCGCCGGGCGGAGCGGCGATATCTGAGACGCTACGGCGCCGCGCCGACCCTTCGGAGGTGGGCTACTTACAAGTTACCTAGGTGCCATCTTTCTGGCACCTCTCAACAATATGTCGCTGTGACTAACTTTGTCGGAGAATTCTTCCAGACGTATTGCGGTCGGTTGAGCCAACAAGTTAGCTTCGAGCTACTCGCCATCTTTGTTCTCTTTCGTCTCCGAGATTTCATCCTCGATTCAAGCAGAACAGCATGCGGCTGATGCCCTCCATATAGTCGTCGTCGGAGTTGACCCGACTTATGGAGTCGCCGGCTGGAAGGACTAGCGGACGATGGGAAAGGCCTATACATCGTCTCTACTCACAAGATATAGCTAATCCCCGTTCGCCGTTCCCCTTCCCGTCTGAAGGTGCGGGCTTGTCCATGTCTCTTCCTACCTATCACGGGCATTCACAGATCCAAATGCGTCCATGCCGGCGATGTGGCCCTGGCATTGCCGGTGGGATACGTTTGAATAGACTACAATGGCGCCGCGCTAGAACATGAGAACACTGCGAGTTCGGGGTCGACACACCTCCTCCCGGCGAATCATAGCCCTACTGTTCCCTAGCTAGTTTCCATCTAAAGCCCGTGACCCCAGTTCAGATGCGTCTCTACAGCGATCTATCCGGCGCGAACCACCGTGTCTGAGCCTGGGCGAGCCCTGAATCGCAGAGCTGTGCCGTCACCCAGACCCCTGAAAAGGATCCATTGCAAGGGGGGTGAGCACGGGGGAAGGGGAAAGGGATCTGAATTACTAAAAATCGTGCATGCGTTCTGCAACGGGCGCCTTTCCATCCCACACCTCATATGGGGTCGAGAATCCCTTCCTTTCTCTCTCCTGATCTTTTTTCCCTTTCTAAAAACATTTACCGCGTATCCGTAAAGGTGACCTGGCATACTATTCTAAGCCTCAACTGCGGACTTGACTAGTGGTGGAGTTACAGCCACAGCCACAGGGCCGCACCTTTGCTCCATAAAATCCGCCGGAAGCGGAACCCGCGCGCGCCGCTCCCGTTCTTCTTAGTTACCCCCGGGCCGCGAACCTCATCCCGCCGCGAAGTGTCGAGGCTCCGAACCACCTACGCCCGCTTTCTCGTGATCCCGTCTCTTTCGGGCCCCGACTTCATCCAACCCCCGGGCGTTTCTCCTTGGCATCCTCTGTACGACGACAACCTAGATTTCGGATCTCATTCAACCCGCCCCGCCGGATCAATTCCGAGTCTCAGAGGAACCACCCTTGCTTCTCGGGGTACCACTTACCCCTTCCTGAAGTGAAGCTACCTCGATCAGATTTGGCAACTCGTCGCCGAGTCAAGAAATGGACGCCGGATCTTCTGCCGGGGCTGGTCCCTCCGCTGCTGGCGGCGTGGGCGGCGCCAACCTCCCCATCAAGCGAGCGGAAAGTAGACCCTCATAGTACCCAGTCGTTGTAAATCGCACCCAAGCTAACATGATCGTTTAGTGCGATGCTTGCCGTGCCCGTAAAGTACGTTGTCTCACTCTTCATCGGCCCATGTCATCATGTCACTCGACACCACCCATTGCACGTAAGGGCTGACGGCGTGAACCCCCTCCCTTCTTAGATTCGCTGTGATAGAGAGGAACCATGTGCCCACTGCCAGCACGCCGGCATCGAGTGTAAAAACACATCGGGGCTCAAACCCAAAGAGAAGAGAACCCGTATTCTCATCACGCCTCAATAGTCAGTCTCGTCCTCACTCGCTTGTTTCATTCACAGCTAACCCCTACCAGTGAAAAGAAGATCGACCTAATAGACCGCCGCCTCGACGGCGTAGTCCGTCTCCTCGAGGACCTCAAACTCCAGTTCCCCCTCCAAGCACCAGCATCAGCAGCACCATCAACGGCAGCCTCAGTCTCGGGATCGACCGCCACCCCCGGAGGAGGAGCATCAGGAGGCGGCCCGCCGGCGCCCATTCAGCTCAAGACCATCACCTCGACCTCCATGTCAACGACACCAGCCAGCACGTCTACACAACAGCAGCACACGACAGACCCCCTGGTCGAGGGCGAGTCCTCCATGACGGCCCAGTCCATCTTCGCCCACGACTTCCTCCGCAAGACCGTCGGCGACGGGTCCTCGGTGCTCGAGATGCGCGAGACCCTCGACGCCCTGCACTCGCTCGTCGAGGCGCTCCGCCACCAGCCCGCATCTCACGAGCTGACATACCCGCAGGCGAAGCCCGTGGCCAGGCCGGCGTTTGGCGAGTGCGAGATGCCGGCTGTGCAGTCTGCCGTCAACATCATCCGCGAGGCGAAAGGTGCGCTGCTTCAGTCTCAATCTACGCTCAAGGCAACACCCACGAACAAACGTAAGCTGACTTCTCAAACAGCTCAAAAGACGCTGGGCCTGGAATGGGTGACGACCTTCCTGCACCCGGACCACTTCACGGACCTGGTCCTCAAGGTCTACTTTGCGCCGACAGAGTTCAACGAGGCCGAGTTCATCATCGTCAACGCCGGCCTCGAGAGCCTGTACACCGACATGACGCAGTCCAAGACGGCGACGGCGCAGCTCAGGGAGGAGTGCGTCAAGATGGGCACCCTCTGTCGGGGGAACCTCCAGACCGCCCTCGCTAATCTGCCTTTACACCTTCCGGCCACGATGGACATGATTGTAGCCCTCTTATTTGGTGTATGCTTCTCCGATATCTCTATCTTCCCACGCATATAGCTAACATCCGACCAGGCCTACCACGCAATGGAAGTCGCAAAACCAAGCCTCGCCTGGACCTTGAACGTAGCCTCGGCCCAGCTCTGCCAAACACTAGGCTACCACCGCGCAGCATCATCCTCCTCGTCCTCACTCTCCACAAGCGGAACCGGCACGGGACCATGCAACACCACCACCACCACCACCACCGGCCCCACCACCACGAACCCAGACGACGAAGAATACAAAATATTCCTCTTCTGGTCCGTCTACTTCATCGACAAGTCCCTCTCCCTCCGCCTCGGCCGCCCCTCGACGATCCAAGACTACGACGTCACGGCTCCCTACCCCTCGAGCGCCAGCAAGATGCACGGCGCCCTCATGAGCTACTTTCGTCTATGGGTCATTGTCTCGCGCATCCAGGGCAAGACGTACGAGCAGCTGTACAGCCCCGATGCGATTGCGCAGCCGAGCGGCGTCAGGGAGGCGAGGGCGAGGGGGTTGGCGGAGGAGTTGAGGAGGGTCACGGACCGGACGCAGGAGACACATGTGAGTTGGCGACGACAAAGGAGTCAGTCTAGTTAGGTTTTCCAGAATGCTAACATCCGTGATAAAAACAGTCGCAGTATTTGAAGTCGGCTATCGAGGCCGTGGGAGAAAACACAATGGACTTTTTCAACGTGTCAGATGAGGTCCTGAGGCTGTCGCTGCTGACAATCATCTACCGCGCCGTTCCCTCGCCCCCTGGGTCCGCGACGACTTTCAAAACAGAGTGCATCAACGCCGCGAGGGCGACGCTGCAGCGGCACGAGGATTGCATGGCCATCATGGCCAAGGACGCATACTACCTGTTTCCCATGTACATGAACTGGTACGTCTCACACCCCTTACACCCCACCCTCCGCAGATACCAAAACTAACAAATAGTCCAGGACCATCCTCTTCTCCCCCTTTGTACCCTTCATCGTAATCTTCTGCCAGGTCATAGAAACAAGCGACACCTCAGACCTCGCGCGTCTCCAAGGCTTCGTCACCTCGATCCAGGGCGCAAAGGAGTTCACCGAGGCGTCGGCGCGGCTGTATCGCCTCTTTCAGGTGCTGTATAACGTCGCGTTCCGGTACGTTGAGATGCGGAGTCACGGTGGCAGCAATGGCAACAACAGCAGCGCGCAGCAGCAGTCGGAGGAGCAGGGCCAGGAGATGGATAAGTATCTCACGGCGCTCGGGTTCCCGCCGGCGTCTGGGCATCCGCAGCCGTCGTCGTCGGAAGTGGGGCCTGGGTCGGAGCAGATGTCGGGGATGACTAGCGGAGAGGACGGGATGAATGGTACCGGGGCCGGATCGGGTGCGCTGAATCAGATGATGTGGATGGGGAACGCGGCGCAGCTCGAGGATTGGTTTTATAGTAACCAGCAGATGATGGGTCTTGTCGAGGATGACGACTCGTTTTTGCAGTGATGGGGACGGTCTTGGGTACAGATATTTTTTGATGGGGAGCAGGGTGGACATGGCGATAGATGGTTTATGACGGGGCATCATGTCCAACGGACCACAAGGGGGGCACATTCAACAAGGCTACGGTGGACAAAAGGAAGTCTCGAACTAGAGGTAGCTAAGAATACCACACAGGCGCGGCTAATAGACTCGGCCCGTACACATCGTCAACCCGTCCGGTCAGCCTACAAGCCTCTACACCATCCAGGTCAAGCCCCCTTTCACCACAACGACCTCATCGGCCACGCCGGGCCAACAAACACAATCTTTCATGACCAGCGCATTCTCCTCATCCCACAAGCAACAGGGGTTTCAACACCTTCAGGCGCTATAGCCCAGCGGTTGATATGGAACACTCAGCCGGGGTCGTGGGATTTCCACATGTCTTACGAGACGGACCTCGACCCCTTGAGTTCGACTCCACGCTTGGGAGCTATCTTTTTTGCACTTTTTACACTTCTTGTCTTCTCTCCCTTGTTTGTAGTGTGAGATCAGTTGACTGCGTAGTTTGGCTGTATTCATTGTGTGATACTGCTATTGTAAAGCGGCCTATCTGCTTACCTACGATTCTCTTACTATCTGACGCCGCCGAGGAGCCTAAGAACTAGTCAATTCGATCCCTTCGAATGAGTTTTAAGGGCTCGCTAAATCGCTGGGAGACACGAGAAAACCTCCGCTGACATTAGGACACGACTATGAGATTTCTAAGACAATGGGCTTTGGGGTTACGGGCAACCTGTCAATTGACAACTTTGCATTGCGTGAAGTGGCTAGCGGTAGTATGTGGTCAAGATAGCCAAAGTAGCATAAGGTAGACAGTTGGACTTGATGTAAACCCTCTTTAAGGTTGCCGAACGACCATTTCCCTTGAAAGATGCCAAACCATGCGAATGCTGTCGAGCATCATCAATCCTCCACTACCCTATGACTAACCTACCTACCTTGGTTCGCAACATCTTCTACCCCCTTCGGAATGACGGGTTTCATTGGTCGTCTGTCTGCCTGCCGAATCTGCACTGGCTCTCTCGCTCTGCTTCGTGGCTCCGAAGCAGCCGATGCACGTCTGTCTGTCTGCCTTCCCCTTCTGTGCGCTACATGCATGCCATGCAATGCAAGTCGCGGATACGTTCTCGTGTTTCGTGCATGTGACACGTTCGTCTTGACTTGTTGGACACTGTTGAATTGCGATGAAATGATGACAGGAAGACAATGAGCTCAATCTATCAACACATCACTCGAGTCTTCGATGCTGATCCCAGGATTTAGGACATCGCTCTTTTGTCCCCAGTCAGGAACAAAAAGGCACCCGCCAAAAGTCGTCTACCTACATCAGAACCCGGAAGAGGCGGGATCTTGACAAACCCAGCTGCATGTTCCCAGGTGACTGAGACGCGGGAAACAAACACGGGACAGAGACATGGGCCAAGGGTGCTCGGCCTCAGTCTGGGCGAGCATTAATCAGCGTTCCATGAAGCTCCCCAGTGCTTTATCAATCTCTCATCGGACGAAAAGGAAAAAAAGGACCCGGCGGATATAATGGCAAAAGGGCCTGGACTCGTGGAGTCTGAAGAGGTGCAATGAGCCCGGAACTCCTGGTGAGCATTGCAGGCTTATCGGGCCTTATCAACTTATCGCGAGCTTCGAAATGGCGGGGGATAAGAGCATCCCCGTGTTTTAGCGCCGGTGTTTAGTGCCCGCGGCCCCACACCCCGCACTGAAAGACTGGAGAAGAAGGGGGAAAAAAGGGGGGCATAGTCGCACGGGGGGGGGAAGCAGTACACTACAGGGGCCAAGCTGCAGCTCCTTTCCCTGCACGGAAGCATGCACCAGACCACTTCCACCAACACCTCACACCACCAATGACCACATCCGTCGAAACTCTCATACAACATGTACTCTACCTAGCGTCTGCGACACTGTCTCTCCTCCAGGTGTTCTCCCACAAAGTACCGCGCTTTCTACCGCCACATGCCAATGAGGGGAACCTTGGAACAGGCCGTAAAGAGCTGCGGAAGGGGGGGTAAAAAGCCAACTTGGCAGACCACGCAGACTACTCCAAACAATCTCCAGGTCGAGTAATGATTGGAGGAGCTTGGAGCTCGCGCCGCGACATCTGCGACACGCCTGAACCGATTCTGCACTTCCCGTCTTGGGATGCAACGAACCTGGGGGGGTGGCCATGGTGGGAGAGAACAAGGATCCGGATGCGCGGGTGATGGACGAGGGAGGGGGGGGAGAAGGCAGCTCAAAGTAGTGACGAGGACGAAGACGAGGACGAGCATGGAACGAGTCCAACGGCCGAACAAAACGTGACACGGTACAAGCCCGTTGTCTCCTTGTTCTCTTCTTTGGCCGCAAAAGTCAATCCCAACTCTATCCAATTCACATCTCCCATTCTCTTCTTCCTTCCTCCCTCCCATCTTTCTCTCTACCCATTGCGTACCGTCGCTTTCTTTTCGCCAATCGACACGGTATCTTGGAGCTGCTTCCCTGCCATAGCTCCTCTGCTTCACCGACGGCCCCCGGCAGTGGTCGCGAGCAGATGAAAAGGGCCTGCCAGACATCCCCGTCGCCCCGGCTTCGTTAGCCTGGATGCTCGAAGCCTCGCCGCCATGGCGAACCTCTCTGTCCTGCGGCCAACTCTGGCCTACAACGTGTGCTCCTCCCGTGCTTCTTCCGGCCGGCTCGTCGTCCCCCGCGCGTGGCGGAAGGGTCTAGCAGGTAAGCTACGGAGTTCTCGATCCCCCATGAAGACGTCAGGAGGAGCAAACTCCCAATTGCTTCGAGATCTGGCGCTTGCGATTTACTAACGCAGACTACTCGTTCCCCTGCATGCAGCCGTAGCACCGGCATCTGTCGTCGTCACCAGCAAGTGGCAATCCACCCACGCGCGAGCCCGCCGCCAGACGAAGGCTCTCGTCCCGGCCGTCTCTCCCCGGTCTCTCCAGCTCATCCGCCATGCGTCGGTAGTCTCAGCGGGCTCTAGTTCCGGCTCCAGCACCGGCCCCACGGCTACACCGGCAGCGACCTACTCAACAGTCGCAGAACCGCAGTCCGTGCCGTACGCGCAGCTCACCGTCGGCGTGCCAAAGGAAATTTACCTCAACGAGCGCCGCGTCGCGCTGACCCCGCAAAACGTGGCGCTCCTCCTCAAAAAGGGCTTCGCAAAGGTCATTGTCGAGCGCGGCGCCGGCGCCGAGGCCGATTTCCCCGACGAGGCCTACGACCGTGCCGGCGCGACGCTCGTCGAGCACCCGCAACAGGTCTGGTCCGGTGCCGATGTCGTGCTCAAGGTCCGCAGCCCGATCCCGTCCGAGATCGACCTCATGAAGGCGCACCAGACGGTCATCTCGTTCCTGCAGCCCGCGCAGAACAAGCCGCTTGTCGACAAGCTCGCCGCGCAAAAGGCCACGTCTTTCGCCATGGACCTCATCCCGCGCATCTCCCGCGCGCAGGTATTTGACGCCCTCAGCTCCATGGCCAACATTGCCGGCTACAAGGCCGTTCTCGAGGCCTCCAACAACTTTGGCCGCTTCCTTACGGGCCAGGTGACGGCCGCGGGCAAGATCCCGCCCTGCAAAGTGCTCGTCATCGGCGCGGGCGTCGCGGGACTCAGCGCCATTGCGACGGCGCGGCGGCTGGGTGCTATTGTGCGGGGCTTCGATACGCGTCCTGCGGCGAGGGAGCAGGTGCAGTCGCTCGGCGCCGAGTTCATCGAGGTGGACATCAAGGAGGACGGGTCCGGCGCCGGCGGGTACGCCAAGGAGATGTCCAAGGAGTTTATCGAGGCCGAGATGAAGCTCTTTTACGAGCAGGCGCGCGAGGTCGACATCATCGTTACCACCGCGCTGATCCCGGGCAAGCCTGCGCCCAAGCTGATTACCAAGTCCATGCTCGAAGCCATGAAGCCCGGGTCTGTGGTTGTTGATTTGGCGGCCGAGGCCGGTGGTAACTGCGAAAAGACCAAGCCTGGCGAGCTTTACGTCTACAAGGACGTCAAGATCATTGGTGAGTAGAAAGTTGAACTTCTGGAGATCTGACGACTAACACCACCTAGGCTACACCGATCTCCCCTCCAGACTACCAACGCAATCCTCGACACTCTACTCCAACAATGTGACCAAGTTCCTACTTTCCATGGCGCCAAAGGACAAGGAATTCGGCGTCGATCTCGCCGACGAGGTCGTGCGCGGCTCCGTCGTCACCCTCAAGGGCGACGTCCTGCCCCCGCCGCCCCGAAAAGCCCCGCCCCCGGCCCCACCGCCGCCGCCGACCGCCGCGCCGGAAGCCGAAACTGTGGCCCTGACCCCCTTCCAGAAGACCTCCCGCGAGGTCGCCACCGTCACGGCCGGCATGGGCACCATGCTGGCCCTGGGCAAGATGACGGGGCCCCTGTTTATGGGCAACGCTTTCACGTTTGCGCTGGCCTCCTTGATCGGCTACCGCGTCGTCTGGGGCGTCACACCCGCGCTTCACTCGCCCCTCATGAGCGTCACCAACGCCATCTCAGGTCAGTATATTGACAACTATGAAAAAGGGAGACAGCTGTACTAACAACTACAGGCGTGGTCGGCATCGGCGGCCTCTTCATCCTAGGCGGAGGCTACCTCCCACAAACGATCCCCCAAGCCCTCGGCGCCGCCTCCGTCCTCCTCGCCTTTGTAAATGTATCCGGCGGCTTCGTCCTCACGAAGCGCATGCTCGACATGTTCAAGCGGCCCACTGACCCCCCCGAATACCCCTGGCTCTACGCCGTGCCAGCAGCCCTCTTTGGCGGAGGCTACATCGCCGCCGCCGCCACCGGCGCCGCGGGCCTCGTTCAGGCAGGCTACGCCGTCTCCTCTGTGCTCTGCATCAGCTCCCTCTCCAGCCTCGCCTCCCAGGCGACCGCTCGCATGGGCAACATGCTCGGCATGCTCGGCGTCGGCTCTGGCGTGCTGGCTTCGTTGTTGGCCGTCGGCTTCTCCCCGGAAGTCCTCACGCAGTTCGCGGGTCTCGCGGCCTTGGGTGGCATCGCAGGCCTCGTCATCGGCAAACGCATCACGCCCACCGACCTCCCGCAGACCGTCGCGGCACTACACTCCGTCGTCGGCCTCGCCGCCGTGCTCACCTCCATCGGCAGCGTCATGGCGCACATTGACGACATTTCCACGCTGCACCTCGTCACGGGCTACCTCGGCGTCCTCATCGGCGGCATCACCTTCACCGGCTCCATCGTCGCCTTCCTCAAGCTCGCCGGCAAAATGTCCTCCAAACCCCTCGTCCTCCCCGGAAAACACCTCCTCAACTCGAGCATGCTGGCCGCCAACATCGGCACCATGGGCGCCTTTGTCACACTCGCTCCGGGGTCCCCCATGATCGCCGCCATGGCGTTGTCCGCCAACACGATTCTGTCCTTTGCAAAGGGGTACACCACCACCGCAGCCATCGGCGGCGCAGACATGCCCGTCGTCATCACCGTGCTCAACGCCTACTCTGGCTTCGCCCTCGTCGCCGAGGGCTTCATGCTCGACAACCCCCTCCTTACGACCGTCGGCGCCCTCATCGGCGTATCGGGATCCATCCTCTCTTACATCATGTGCGTCGCCATGAACCGGTCCCTAACCAACGTCCTCTTTGGCGGCATCTCCTCGACGCCCGCGCAGACAGACTACAAAATGGAAGGCGTCGTGACGCAGACAAACGTCGAGGACACGGCCGAGGCGCTCGTCAACGCCGAGAACGTGATTATCGTCGTCGGCTACGGCATGGCCGTTGCGAAAGCGCAGTACGCCATCAGCGAGATCACGGGCATGCTTAGGGCCAAGGGTATTAATGTCCGCTTCGCGATCCACCCCGTCGCGGGCCGCATGCCGGGCCAGTGCAACGTGCTCCTGGCGGAGGCTAGCGTGCCGTACGATATCGTGCTCGAGATGGACGAGATCAACGACGACTTTGGGGAGACGGACGTGACGCTTGTGATTGGGGCGAATGATACTGTCAATCCGATTGCGTTGGAACCCGGTAGCCCGATTGCGGGTATGCCTGTGCTTCAGGCGTGGAAGAGCAAGCAGGTTATTGTGATGAAGAGGGGCATGGCTAGTGGATATGGTGAGTATTTGAAAGCATATAGAGATTCGCTTGCTTGAGCGATTGACTGACCGTGCAACAGCCGACGTACCGAATCCCATGTTCTACATGCCCGGAACACGCATGTTGTTTGGCGACGCCAAAGTGACTTGCGACGGTTCGTGATCCTCCCCTTCTCCTCCCCTCCTCCGTTGACCAGACGCGGCGTACTGACCATGAACTCTGCGATGTAGCAATCAAAGCAGCCGTCGAAACCCGAGCAGCATAGAGTCTAGAGAGATCTCGTATCGCGCAGACATAAGACACCTCCGGCGGTAACCAACTATGTTTTTTTTGGGACTCGGGAAGCATCTGATCTTTCCCACTAGAGGCGCTGCATCTACAAGGAGCTCTCCGTCACGAATACACATATCTCTCAGCTATTTTGCTTTCTTCCCTTTTTTGCTTCCCCCCCACTCCATTTCAGCGCGCTTTGTATATAGTGTGTTTGGAAAGACGAAAGCGGTAGTTTCTGTTAGCAAAGCACGAATTGCAATGCATGTCACGGCTACAGGCTATAGTACACGTGTCATCTGCGGATTTGATCTTCCCATGACTCCGTTGTCCTTGAACTTATACTCATCGAGTGCACCCGTATTTTGAAGAGGGGCCCAGATTATGACAACGTACACAATGTGTTTGAACTCGCCGTCACAGTCGCGTTCGTGAGAAGTCTATATATTAACAGCAGGAGATTGGGTGGGCAAGCCTGCGTAATCAAAACTTTGAATGAATGTCCGGTATCTAGACCCAGAGGGGTGTCTGATCTCTCTCCGAAGAACAGTGTGCCTATTTAGCGCGCGATAACACCCCCTTTTCCTGACCAAGCTAAAGAGAGCGTAGGACTCAGACCCTTCATGGGGTTCTGAATTACAAAATACCCTATCCCAGCCATCGTTGGCCCGCAACAAAGACACAGAAGAAGTATTGAAAAAAATCAAAGGAGAATAGAAATCCACCCAACATTTGCTCAAAAGCGAACAAAGCAAGACAAGTCTCACATCGTCCCTCCTTACAACCGTCTTCTAGCAGCAGCAGGTGGCGCAGCGGGAATCCCCGCAAAAGCGCTCATACTCGGCGACGACGGCACTGACGACGGCGCGGCAGAAGCGGCAGCGCAGCCGAGGTTACAAGGCGTCTCGCAACGGCCGATAAAGTCGGGCTCGTCGTTCTTGCAGCGGCCCTGGCAGGGGCAGATGAGCTCGATGGCGGAGCCCGTCTTTTGGCCCGGCGCGCAGATGCAGACGAACAGGGTGTTTTCGAGGGACTCGACGGCGGGGGCGGCGGCGGCGCAGTTTGTGCCTGGGGTTGCGCAGTAGCCTTGGCCTACTTGTTCGGTTGTGTAGCCTATACACAGGGGGGAGTTAGGGATCTGGTCTTGCGTGGAAGAATGGCTAGGGAGGAAGAGCTATGGGAGAAAAGGGGAGGTGAGTAACCTTGGAAGCCGACGAGGACTTTGCCGCAGTATGTTGCGCCGCAGACGCAGTGGGCGCCGCCGGGGGCGGGTGAAGGCTGCGATGGGTCGGAGGGAGCCGGCGCGGGAGCGGGGACGGGGGCGGGAGCGGGAGCAGGATCCGGGCCGGGGTTGTTCGGTATGGGTTCGGTGGGCGCGGGCGGCTGGCCTTTGACGGTGATTGTGGTGATGGAGGTTGAGACTGGGGGCACTTGGGGGTCCTGTGGTGCGGCAGAGACCCAGGCCAGGAGAGTGGTAAGTGTCAGAATGTTCAACTTCATGTCTGCGTGATGTGAGGGTTAGGAACTTGAGTTTGTAGTTCTGTGAAGGAGATGTTTGCCGCTGCTCTGGCCTGTTGGTGATGAGGAGGACGGGATGGTGTGATTGATTGCGAGGTTGTAGTGGCTCGTTTTATACATGTTGTCGATGTTCAACTTCTTGGTCATGATTTGATGTTTGGTGAGAACTCGACGGACATGGACCATTGTCTGACGTTTCTTCTCGTGGACTCGGCTGATGTAGCTTACACGTTGTCTGTCGCACCCGTGATGAAGGTGATACCACGATGTGTATGGGCATAGATCCAAGATCATTTCTGGTTCGAATCGAATACGATTGAACCTAATCTCGGTTGCCTAAAACTCGGAGACCCGTAAGAGAAGACATGGTATGCCTCACTAGCCAATACGCAGGACTCCTCAAGACCGCAGACGTCGACAACTCCAAAAACGACCAGACGACCTGACGATGCTAGGTTCATGCCGTATTGACAGCTGCGTTCCTCCACGTCATCTAAAGTTGACACTTGCCGCAATCCGATCTCGAGAGGCACAAAAGTAACCCGTCCACGGCGCGGGTGCAACAAGGACTCGACGACGAGAGCATGCCGACCACGTCAGGGCCCGGAACGACGGATATCGTCACAATTTGAGGTCCCCCAGAACAAGAACATGAATTCGGTGTTCCTCTGTATCTCTCCATCATCACCTAAGCTTGTTCACGTCGGGCATCACCAGGAGTCTGCCCCCTGATCGTGCAAACCACACTACCCTAGGTCGCAACGTGTTGTCTCAAGGAGATTAGGAAATTAGGAGCAATTCAAGGATCATAAACACCGCGTCGTATCGTATTCTGTGCTTCGACACGTCAGAGGTGTTTGCCCTGCACGATGGCGGATGCTCCCACGCACACCCAGAGTTTTGTGTGATTTCAGGCAAGTGAGCGGAAGAGGTCTTCAACTATGCCCAACCTTGGGGAGCCGAAGCCGACTCCTGAAAGATGCCGTAGCTAATCTCTTTCAAGGCAGTAGTTCGAAGAGGATCATGCTCGATCATGCTCCAGATCCTCGCTTGATTCGAGAAGAACTAGGAAAAGTTCGGCATGGATCTGACGGGATGCGGTCGGAGGCTCGGAGATGCGGGCGGAGGAAGTGGGCCCCCGGGCACTGCATGCACAGTGCCAGGTACAGTTCCGTCACAGTACCGAAGCCGTCGTACTTCGGTGCTACCCCTCCATCCCCGCCATCGCTCCTACCTCCCTGCCGAGTACTCCAACTTCCCAAAATCCGAAGCCAAAATTCATTCCCGTCGTTTCGATACACCCGCACCTCAAACCCAACATCTTGCAATTGACCTCGTTCGACTCGGCAAAGAACCCTCCCCAAAACCCTCCCGTCGAATGCGCAGAGAGACGAATTTTCAACCTCAAACACACACACACACACCCCATCACCACCACCCCTCACAATGGCCGCCGCACCGCCCGCCGCAGCCGGTAACGGCACCCCCATCCACGTCGGCACGCGCAGGTCGGCGCTGGCCATGAAGCAGACCGAGATCGTCGTCCAAGGCCTCTCGAAAGCCCGCCCAGACGCCACCTTTGAGATCCACAGCATGCAGACCCTCGGCGACAAGGACCAGATCACGGCGCTCTACAACTTTGGCGGCAAGGGCCTGTGGACCAACGAGCTCGAGGCCAAGCTCGTGGCCAAGGAGCTCGACATCATCGTCCACTCCCTCAAGGACATGCCCACCACCCTACCCGACGGCTGCACCCTCGGCTGCGTCACCAAGCGCGAGGACCCGCGCGACGTCGTCGTCTTCAACGCCGGCCTCCTCGCCCAAAACAGCGGCCGCTGGAAGTCCCTGGCCGACCTGCCCGAGGGAAGCGTCATCGGCACCAGCAGCATCCGCCGCATCGCGCAGCTGAAACGCCGCCACCCGGGGCTGAAATTCGCCGACGTCCGCGGCAACATCGAGACCCGCCTGCGCAAGTGCGACGACCCAGAAGGCCCCTTTTCCGCCATCATCCTCGCCGCCGCGGGCCTGCTGCGCATGGACTACGGCGCGCGCATCTCGCAGTACCTCGACTCGGAGAACGGCGGCACGCTGCACGCCGTCGGACAGGGCGCGCTGGGCATCGAGGCGAGGGCGGGCGACGAGAGGGTGCTGAGCGTGCTGAGGGAGCTCGAGGACGAGCCGACGATGCTGGCGTGCGTTGCGGAGCGGAGCGTCATGCGCACGCTCGAGGGTGGGTGCAGCGTGCCGATTGGCGTGGAGACGAGTTGGGTTCAGGTCGACGGCAGCAAGAAGCTGCGCCTCAAGGCGACGGTGGTGCACGTTGACGGCACGCAGGGCGTGGACGCCGAGAGGACCGAGGCGATTGCGACGCGGGAGGAGGCCGATGACTTTGGCAAGCTCGTGGCACAAGATTTGGTGGACGGGGGCGCACAGAAGATCCTCGACGATATCAACCAGGCGCGGCCGGGTGATCAGATTGCGACGGCGGAGACTGCGGCGGCGGCCAACCCCGTTGCGTGACGAACATTCATGACACAAATCGGAAAAGACACAATCGGAAGAAAATAGACTGTTCCCCCCAAAATGGAACCATTTGATGACCATCATCTCTCATTGCTCTATGTTGGTGGCTACCACGTTGTTGAACCGCAAACCCCGAAAGTGAATACCCGCTTGGCGTCGGTGTATAGTACAGACACACTTGCCCGGTTGAACTGCCGGCTACCTATATCTAACCAAACCATTCCCCCCCCCCACCCTCATCCAGCACCGTTCCATCTTAGTGATCCTCGGAAGCGGTAAAGGCCTTGTACTCCTCCTCGCTCATGAGCGCCTCAAGCTCCTGAACGCCCGCCTCGTCAACCTCAACCTTGGCGATCCAGCCGCCGCCGTGGGAGTCGTCCTCGGGCACCTTGTTGATGGTGCCGGGCTTCTCCTCGAGACCGAGGTTGACCTGGGTGACCTTGCAGCTGATGGGGGCATTAATGTCGGCGGCGCTCTTGACGGACTCGACGGCGCCGATGGCGTCGCCCTGGGCGACCTCGGCGCCTTCCTCGGGGAGCTCGACGTAGACGACGTCGCCCAGCTGCTCGGCGGCGTACTCGGAGATGCCGACGACGCCCGTCTTCTTGTCGGCGTTGAGGTCAATCCACTCGTGATCCTTTGTGTACTTGCGTATTAAGCCTGTCGTGGTGGTTCGGAAGCAGGTCCGAAGTGGTCAGTCTTGATGGTACTACATGTCTTCGGGTGGGGAGCCGAAGCTTTCGAATGGGCAGAGGAGCTCACTGCTGGGGGTTGTAGAGAAGCTGCGCTGCGCGGGACGGGGGAAAAAGGCGCGGGGGGCGGCCTTTGTGAATTGGGAGAGGGCGGAGGGGCGGACTGCCCTCATGCTGCGTGCAATTGAGGCCATTGTTGAGGTTTTACGTCGTCGTGAAGAAGAGAGAGGGCGTTTGTGGTGGTGGTTTTTTGGGGAGTTTGAGAGTGTTAGATAATGAGGTCAGAACGTCCGACTTTAGAGCTTCCGGGGGAATTTGGGGCCTGGGCGGCTGATAGGTTATCGGTACGTACCGCCTACCGAGACCGGGAACTCTTCCAGGTTCGAATCGTCAAACACCAAGCTGCTGGGCCAATCAGAGAGGAGATTTCTCGGAACGCCTTCGCCTTAGTCATGCATGTTTGAGCGGACAGCCATCGGCCCGGGGCCGCAAGAGCCAACTTGGTGGGCATTGGATGCAGGGCGATAAGAGACCGCGCTGGGTTGGAGGGAGAGCGATAGGAGAGGAAGCCGAGGAGCGCCCTCCATCCGTAGGCTCTCTGTCTTTCAGTCTATGTCTGTCCGTACCTGGTATCCGTAGGCAGTGTGTCACAGGGAAGCCCCGCGGCCAGGAAGCGAGAGACGACGCACGCAGAGAGCCGGGCATGAACCCAAGGGCTCGGACGGAGCGGGCCAGGAGTCCGTTGCGAGGCCATCCGGGAGTGTCCCGTCTCTTGGTCTGGGTATTTCGGGCGGGTGCCAGGTGGACTGGGCGGACGTGGTGACCGTGGTGGACTATTCAACGGCTTCATGCCGTTTGCATGAATTCCCCATTTCGTGCCTGCGAAATTGCGTGGCGGAAATGTTCTAGTCTCGATCTCATCGGTCTTGCATCATTGCCCTTTTTTGTCTTCTTACCCTACTGCTTTTCCCCGATTCCCTTTGATTCTGTTCCTTCGCTCTGGGCTCTCCGTTGCGCAAATGACGAGGCGTGGCTATCTCGTGCGCCCTGCTCAATTGCGATCGGGGTTTGTTTCCAAGGCAGAAATAGAGTTGACAATAGCCTCATTCTAGAATTGCGGTCAGAGGCCTGTTTGTCTGCTGGGCCTAAGGTTTCGAGTCTGGGCCTCGGGACTCCGTGCATCGTCCCATGTCGCGTACGCTGGCTTAAGTAATGCGTGGGTGATGGCGGGTTGTTGACTTTGGGGAAGTTTTCTATTGACATTGGGCGCTGTGCTTTTCTACCGGACAACGAGCTGCAGCTGCACGAATTAACCGGCCAATGTCACGTCGTCGACAGCAACGTTTCTGACTATCAACATTGCCGACGCTGTCAACAAGAGTGGTTTCATTTAGGCGCAGACACGGAGGAGACTCGACTCCAAGTTGGGTAGATGTGATTTCCGCACATTGACGACAGACGACATGAGGCTCACCGCCCTCGAAAGTTGTGCCTTGTTTGGGCCCTTGAGGAGGCTCGGCTCGTCCGTTTAAACGTACGGCCGGCCACTGAGACAAAAACGGTGAATCCGTCCACCGTCGAATGTCCCGGTCAAGTCCCACTGACTGGTGGGCTGTTGGGCTTCTTTCAGCTTCGCCTGAAGTCAGTGGACCTGGGGGAAAAAAAAACCAGGAAGAGAAAAAATGGAAGAAAATTGGCAAGTATTAATAAACGAGGATGAGTTGTGTGTGTGTGTGTGTGTGTGTGCGTGTCGATTCCATAAATGCCGCCGCCCGTGATGCATCATCCATAATCCTCGAAGGGCAATAGCACCAAATCTCCGTCACAAGGTGCTAGAGGTGTTAGTGCAAGAAAGGGAGATGCAGCCATGGTGCGTGGGGCAGCTGAGCAAACACTCCAGTGCTTAAGCCTTAAGGTACTCCGTATTATGATGCCGTATTGTGTGCATGTACATGAGTGGGAGGATTAGACCACAGAAATACATAAAACGCGTCCGTCTCGCGTCTTCTCCACACAACCGTGGTCCAATTGTGAAATTTTGGCGTCATTGCCAGTCGACGAAATGCCCAGTGTGTCCCACCCCCAGCAGCCATTGTCACCCTGTAATTGGCTGCTTCTTTGCCCCCTTCCCCCCCTGTCGCACCTCCCTTCTTCGATCTGCCATAAGCGCCACGGGCCTGGGGAGGGCCCTGACTTGCCGTTTCCCTGGGCTTTCCTGCGCTGGCGTCCCTCACTAATGCTCCGCTAAGTCGCCTACAGGCTACGAGGTACATAGAGCCAAAGAGTCGCTTGCTGCCCTTTACTGGTCGGCTTCAAAGTTGTGCGGCGTGCCTGTCCTTGGTGGGTACGTACTTCCGTAATGTTATGTTGCACTGACATCCATCTTCCCCCCCTCTCTTGCACTTGCACCAAAACACGACAACGGAGGCCACCACTGCACAACAAAGTCGCACAAGCATCTCCTCAGCATCCCGTCTATCCATCCACAATCCGCCATCTCAAGTCCACCCAACGCGCACAACTTCCCTGGCGCTTGACATACCTAGACATTCACGGGTGCTTGTGCTTGGTGCTTGGTGCTTGGTCTGGATCTCCGCTAATCCATCCCCATACCCTGACTTCCCCCCCCGTTCTGCCCTGGGCCCGTTTCGGTACATTCCATGACCGTCACCTCCAGCTCCTTCTACCATCGAGTATCCGTACCGCAACGCCGCATCTCATCGCCATCCCATCCCGTCGTCGATACCTGACCCTTCCTCTCTCTCTCCCTCTCTCTCTCTCTCTCTCGCCTTGTCTTGCCTCACCGTCTACTACAACCTGGCTACTTTCAACCTCGTCTCCTTTTCCCCAGGACCCAGCCTACCCAACGCAACGAGGGCTTCCTGTTATCAGCAAGCTTCAGCCCGGCTCCTGCAACTCGGTCACCAGTTGCCTGTTGCAACTACACACTACCGGTACGTCTATCTGGTCCAATACAAGGCCATTATTCCCATTGCTCGACTCCAGCTCGAGGTGGGCAACCCCTGCTTCAACTCGTCGCCCAATCCCCTCTCTTGTTCCCGCACCGCACCGTCTCAAGGTCCCCTACCGTCCACACCACGCTCTTTTCCCTCCTCTCCTCCTCTGGACTCCGTGTGTGGAGAGGCTAGGTGAGACATCTTTGCCTAAACACTCATTCCCTCTCTCCCACCTCACCTATTCACCTCCACGAGTTGCGTCGACGTCGCCAATCCTAACCAGCGACAGATACCATCTCGAGTAGTCCGTTTCCGACTCACCCCTTCGCTACCCCATCGATCGCCGCGCCGCCCCTGGCAAGCGCTCCATGAAGCCATCGTCGGGCCTGAACTGAAACCTGCCGCCCACTCCCCCGGCCCTCTCCTCGACCTTCTTTTGGGATAAGGCGCCGACTGTCAGTCGTCCTCGCCCATCTGCAAGCCGGCAAACTTCAGCATCGTCATCTTCCCGGCCCCTTACTCGACACTGAGCCTCCCGTCCCGCACCCTCGAATCTCCACGCTGGATTCCTCAACACTGTCAGCGGGGTCACCGGCCCAGTTCCACGACGCAGTCGACACCATGGACCACGACCACCTGGCTGCGCAGCCTCACCCCGACGACACCATTGGTGCCTTCGATGCCTCCCCTCAAGTGGCCCAGAACAATGGATACGATCACCCGGAGCCCCAGCGTCATCAATCAAGTCAGTCCCTCGACCATGGCCTTCCACAATCCCCGCGACCCGAAGAACAGCACTCGGATCGCTACAACACACCACCACTTCCTATAAACGCCCTTTCCATCTCAAGGCCTGCCTCTGGACTTTCCGGCGCCGGCGCGCAACAAGGCTACGCCGACCATGCATCACGCAGCAGCGCCGGTGCTGAAGCCGCCGCCAGCAACGGTCGCAACCACGTCGTCATCAAGGTCGGCATGGTGGGAGATGCGCAAATCGGCAAGACCAGTCTCATGGTCAAGTACGTGGAAGGAAGCTGGGACGAGGACTACATCCAGACACTTGGCGTCAACTTTATGGAGAAGACCATCTCCATCCGGAATACGGAAATCACCTTTTCCATTTGGGATTTGGGCGGCCAGCGCGAGTTTGTCAACATGCTTCCGCTGGTCTGCAACGACGCCGTCGCCATTCTGTTCATGTTCGACCTGACACGGAAGAGCACCCTCAACAGCATCAAGGAGTGGTACAGGCAAGGCAGGGGCTTCAACAAGACGGCCATTCCCATCTTGGTGGGCACCAAGTATGACCATTTTGTCAACTTCCCGAGAGAGGACCAAGAAGAGATTTCGAACCAGGTACGTCACCAAATAGTCTCTGTCGTCCTCCGACGCTAACAGAACAGGCTCGCCGGTTCGCCAAGGCAATGCGCGCCGCGTTGATCTTCTCCAGCACGAGCCATAGTATCAACGTGCAAAAGGTGAGTCGCTCTTTTGCGCCAAAGTCGCACCGTGACTGACCATCTACAGATCTTCAAGATTGTGCTGTCCAAGGCATTTGACCTCAAGTGCACCATTCCAGAAATCGAAAACGTCGGAGAGCCGCTGCTCCTGTATCAGTCCTGCTGATTCCCGTCAGCGGTCTGATACGGTGTACGCCAAACTTCGCGTGGCCTCGCGCCGATCATAACCATCTCGGCTGTCGCCCATAACGAATGGATCATGACCCATTACGTACTTACGACCTTCGATATCCATGCTGGCATCCATCAGCCGAGCTACAAAAACAGTCATCTCTGGCACCAGGCCAAAATCCGAGTGACTATACAGAGCACCCCACACGGCTCTTTCTGGCACAAATCAGCCCCTTAAAAACACAACCGACTCGCTTCTTTCTTTTGTTACCAACATGGCCTCCATGGCCCGATCACAGCGCTTTCAGTGTCACCAGTCTGGTTAATTGCGCACACATCACACACAAACACATTCCTCACTCTCTGATTGCAATCGGCGTTGCATATCTCTTCAACCTTAAATTTCTCAAGATTGGTAGGGACATGGCGGGTTGGCTGGAGGGGTGAGATGCATTTTAGGACTACGGTCTGGCGGTGGCTCCGCTCACTCAAATCGATCGCCTTTTTTGCGATAAAAAGAGATTGAGTAATAAAACATAGCAGGGCCACCGTCTTGTTTCCTGGCGTAACGGCCGCTGCGAAACTGTTCCGGGGAGAAATCTTGGGCAGCAAAACTTGCTTTTTTTTCCATCAAATTTTTTTTTTTGTCGAATTCGAACCTTGACACACTATCAACCCACACCCACACAGCTTGTTTTGTCTTTGGGGTGGTCTCGGAGATGGAATCGAGGGACGAAGGAACCTGATACAAGAAAGAAAGAGACCACACCATGTAACAAGTAATTCCATCCACGCGTGCTTTTTACTTTGAGAGGCCTTTTCCTCTCTTTCCCAGTCTCGGAGGAGACTGGGGCAAGACGGCATTTCAAACGGGGGACGAGATGGAGATGGAGGCGGAGGGGAACAAACCATGTAATGAATATTGTGAAGAGCCCTTTTCGCTGACGAGGCGGAGGAGTCAATGGATTGAATTCCAGATGCCATTTGAGAGATCTTGCCGGGCCTCTGCTTTTGATGTATTGTGACGATAAAGTGTTGACGTCCGTGGCCACGCTCGTCGTCAGAGCCGGACTGCTTGCTTATATGGGCTCGTGGATGAGTCCTCGTTTCAAGTTGAGCCTTTCCTAATCGTCATGATATCCCGCTCCGTCTGCTGTACTTGAGATATTGTTGAGAGGATCGGGAAGATGATGCTTTGATCTTCAATCGTTCAAGCTACGCCTAGGAGTGAATATCGTCCCAATGTACCCAACTTGACACTCCGAGCTCAAGTAAAAAAAAAGAAAAGGGGGGGGGGGGCTGTCCTTTCTGTTCAGGATTCGGGTGGGAGGCCAGAGGATACCCCTAAAAGCGATTCTGTCAGTCTCGAGCCAATACCATGGCATCCCGAGACGAAATCCTACCTTGCCATAAAGGAAACCTCGTAAATGATGGAAAAAAGACCCCTAAAAGAAGATGGATAGTTCTTGGAAAAGGAAGCCGTATGAAGGCCGAAGAAGTCTCGCATCTTCCCTTCTACCTTCCTCACCACGTCGCTAAGGGGAGTCAGTCAGCCTCATGTCAAGTCACGATTTCTTCCACAACGAGCCTCCAAGACCTCATCCTCACTTAAGCCAACATCGCCAAGGCACAAGGGCACAATATGAACTAAAATCTTATCGTATTCTTCTACCTATTACATCCCATTCATCAAAGCCGAGCCATGTCTTTGCAACACCTCGGCAGATTACCCCTGAAAAGACAAGTCAGCTTTCTTGGTCTACAACAAAATATCCATGAAAGAAACAAGAGCATGTCCAATGAAATCAGACGTGATCAAACGTTTTCTCAGCAACCGCACATTGGTGCGTCTGAGTGAGCTGGGTAACGTGTAGGACTCATCATTTTGTGGGGGAAAGGAAAAGAAAAGAAAAGAGAGATAGAACGTACCATCCAGGAAGACCGTGTTGGCCAGGCGTGAGTGAACCACACCGCCCAAGTCTAGTCCTCCCAAGGGGAAAACCTGCTAGATGCCAAACCAACAGCCCAGACTTCACACCAGCCAGAGACGGGTCTGCATATGTGGTGAAAGAGTTATTAGTATCATTGAGCAGCCCATCCCCCCAAAAGCTTGAGGCGAACGACGACCACTCCATCTATGACACACAGAGAAACACAAGGAAAATTACAAATGTTCTAAGTTTGTTCCTCCCCAGGCGAAAGAGCGTGAGGCCCTTTTTTCTTCTTGCTGCAATCGCCCAGTAAGATCATTTCGTCTTTTTTCTGCAATGATGCCCAACCCCCCTCCCAGTTCGCCAAAGGCACAAACATACAAACGTCGTCAGCCTCCCAGGTCGTCATACACGTCCGACTGTAGGGGCCCCCCTGCTCGTCACAGCAGGGCCTCTTTTTTCGTTTTTTCAAAGTGTTGCCTCGTCAGTAGCGAGGGAACGATGCAGTAATACACAGTTGTGAAGAAAAAGGCCACGCCTGAAGAAAAAAGTCGTAGTCGCGCGGCCTGGCATGCCATCAAGCCAAGAATTTGGTGTCTCGTCACATCCAAACGTGTTAAGCCGTGTACATATCGGCAAACAAAGACCTCCAGATGCCTGTACGGTCACCCGCATATATACACTCCACAGCGTGGACGGCACTCCAAGATTGGCAAGGGTTTTACGCCTTGCGGGATCGAGGAGTAGAGGAGCCGTTGGTCTTGGCTCCACTGGCCTTGGCGCTGCCGTTGGAGTGGCCGGCGACAGCCGAGGCAACGGCGTGGGGATCGGGGAGGGGAGCCTGGCTCATGCGGCGGAGAGACTTGCGGGTCTGGGACTTGCCGCCCTTCTTGTAGGTCGCGAGGTAGAAGGAGATGAAGAGGACGAGGTAGGAGCTGAGGATACCGATACCAGCAAAGGCGGCAAACTCCTCACCGGCACACTCGCCAGCATTGGGCATCCAGGGGAAGTAGGTCGAGGTGAAGTAGGTGTAGGAGGCGAAGTAGACGAAGCCTGGGATGTGGTGTTAGTCGTGTCGACGCGTGGGCTGAGGCGTGCAACTTACCGAGATCGATGATGAACTGGATGATCTGGAAACGAGTGACCCACTCCTTCCACCAGATGCGGACGCCGCGGGCACTCTGGAAGTAGTACCAGTACATGACGACGTGGACGCCGAGGTTGAGGGTGATGGGAACCCATGAGACGGCAGTGGAGCCAATCAGCTGGGTGTAGCAGAGGAGAGCAGTCGCGCCATGGTGGTAACAGTGAAGGAAAGCTGCAGAGTGTTAGTCTTGAGGGTTACACAAGGCTGGGGAGGTGCGCATACTCAGAGGCTTCTTCTTGAGGAAGAGGAACACGGTGTCGAGCAGCTCCATGTACTTGGTGAGGTAGGTCATCTAGGCTGGTCAGCTGGTGTCAACGGCGCGCGAGTCGATTGGAACATACGTAGTAGAGGACAACGAGAGGCTGGGTCCAGCCGCCATCGGCGTGGCAGATGGAGTGGAAGATGCCCTTGCGAACGACAGTGGGCAGGAGCTCCTCAATGTAGAGAGCGAGGAGACCGGCGCTGATGAGGGTGAGGATCAAGTTGTGGGCGAGGAAAAGACCCTTGAGCTTGTAAGGCTCGCGGTTGCGCATCCACTCGCGTCCTCCAAAGATGATGGTGTAGTAGATGATGACGAAGATGCCGGCCTGCTTGATGGTCGACATGGGCGTGACGCCAGGCTGGAATCTGAACTCGCTCACGGGGTAGCCCACGATGGGAGTCCAGACCTTGTCGAGAAGAGGCCAAAGGTGGATGCCAAAGGGGCGGTCGAGCGTGGGGAGAGGCAGTTGCTCGTAGAACGAGGAAGGTGCTTGAGTGGCCGCCATCTTGAAGATTGATGATTTTTTTCGTCGAGCTCGATGGGAGAGAAGAGTAGACGAGAAAGACGGTGTTGTGGCGCGATTATCTACTTGCGAAGATTTGCGACAAGGTATTCGGTTACCGTGGGTCTTTCGATGGGGGTTGCCCTGTGGACTCGACACGGAAGACGCGGGTTGATGGGATGAGGTAGAGTGTGTTCTACTCAGCAATGCAGCAGCAGAGCGGTTCGATCGACACGGCCCAGAAAAGAGGCAGGAGCCTAAGGAGTGACGACAAATAATGTAGGGGAAGAGAAGGAGAAAAAAAGAAGAATTGCAGAAACGCGCTCTCTCTCTCTACCCGCCGCGGTGCACCCGATGAAAGTCTGGAGTATTGAGACGCGGGGAGGGGTCGGAAGGGAGGTGATCAGACAACGGGAAAACGCCACGGGCACGAGTTGGTTTATGAGGAGAGGGAAGAAAAAAGGAGGACGGGGAAGGACACGAGCAGAGCAAGCAAGCAGCAGCAGGCGGCGATGCGAAAAGTTGTTGAGATGGTCAAAAGGGGAAAATTCCGATCCAGAAGGTCAAGGTACCCTGTACTTGTCGCGCAGCCTTTTTCGCGGCCCTCATTTGATCGTGCAGCATGTGATTCGCTGTCAGACCCTAGCGTAGCCAATCATGGACCGTGCCTGGGCCTATGCTCATTTGGGTACCTGGTCGTCCAGCGTATCCACCCACGTCCACTCTACGTTTCCAAGGAACTGTACCCGTACGGAGTACCTTACGGATACTGTTGTAGGCAAGCACGTGACCCGACTATGTCACCGGCCTGTCCGCCTGAGTAGGTGCCTTAATAAGTAAGGTACCTACCTACGAATACAGTAGACGTAAAGTACGGGGAACAAGATGCCGTAAAAGGCCGTGGGCTGTACCTTATTCATCGTCTTGATTGACTGGATAGATGCTCCGGTTGGGCTTACGTCGTCCGGATACTGCGGTTCTCCAATGCCTGTTCTAACCTTGGCAACACCACAAAACATCCTGCAGACAACGATCATAGCATCAGCTGCCAGACAACGCGGGCCGTTGCAACCCAGTCTGGGAGACCTTGCAGGTTGGTTGTTGGAGAGGTCTTACTCTTTGGAGAGGCCTTGGGTTACGCTGGACAAGGTCCAGTTAGCAGTCGGGCTAACCCACTGCCAACTCGACCTAGCCCCAAAACAACCGTCACGGCCGCATGTACCGAGTACCTCGACTGCTCGTGATGCACATTGCAATCTCGGAAGTTTAGGCTACGTTGCCAATTGCACAGCGTAGACGTCGCGGGACGAGACGAGAGTCAGGTCTTTTTTTCGTCTGTACTATCTGTAGGCTTGCATCCCGTATCCATAACAGATTGCCTATGCAAGCAGAAAGAGGGTCAATAAAACACAATTGTGCCTCGGCTCCGGCAACCCAATTGACCTTGTAGTCAAGACTAATCAGCTGTCTCCCACGATGATTGAATCTCGATGGGGGGGGACGTGCTGGATGCCGTCACAATCTCCGGCTTCTTGGTCCGGTCACCTCCGGCCCCGTGTCTTCTCCCCCTTCCGTCCCAATCAGCCTTTCCCCCCTTGAAGAGAAGCCGTGCAGCGTGTGTACCTTAGGTAGTTGTGAGGATGGGACGGTCGGCGCAACGGAGCCTTGAGTTTGCTCCCAACTCCGGCCCGGGGAATTGGTGCTTCGTGTCCATTGCGGGAACCCCGGGGGAACCTTACGAGATCCGAACAAAACCCCCGTGGTTCGCGCGTCCCAATGGGCTGTCACATCCCGGGGAGAAGGTTGAAGAAACACCATACAACTTCTCCAGGGTTTCTGGGGAACCAGTGAGAGCCTGGAGGATGAGTATGACCATTTCCAGATTCGGGGGGGAATCGTCCACAGTGGCCTGATGATGGACACTCGTGCGAACATTGCAAACACTGTGTTCATCCGCTGGTGATTACATGTCTGGCACCCTCAGCCGAAACACAATTCACACGGCCTGGAGCTTCACAGCTCATTGGCCCCCCCCCCCCCCCCCCCCCAAAAACAGCACCAAAAAGCTACCGCTTAGTCATCCAATCAAAATCTCGCAGAATCCAATCCTTTTTCGTGCCTACCAAACCACTCCAACCACATCATCCGACTCAATCCCGAACGAAACGCCCGTAGCTTTCGCGAAAAAAATAATCCTTCTCCTCCAACGTCACCGACGCAACAAACCTCCCGCCCTCCCACCCTTCGGTCGACCCGCTTGCTACCTCTCCTCTCTAATCGAAAACAAAAATGTCTGCCTCTATCCTCCGCGTCGCCGCCCGCGGCTCGATCAGCTTCTTCCGCGCGAACCCCATCCGCCAGCCTCTCGTCGCCCGTTCCGGCATGCTCCTGCCCATCGTCGCGGGTGTCCCGGCCGCCAGCAACTTCAGCACCAGCGCCCGCCTTCGCTCCGGCGACCACGCCGAGGAGACTTTCGAGGAGTTCAGCGCGAGGTGAGCCATAATTCGACATCTTGGAATTGGGGGTGGTTTTTCGAAGGGGGGGTCGTGCGGTTGGAGGGAAACTCTCGGGCGAGAGGGAACGATAGGGATGGAGTGTGTTGGGAAGGATTGGGCCTTTTTTTTCCGCCCGCCAACCATCATGCCACCATCTCCATCCTCCATCCGCGCGACAAAGCCATTGACCCTCCTCGGCCCTCGGACTCGTTTCTCAATTGGCACCGCTAACTTTTGGACCATAGATTCGAGAAGGAATTCGATGGCGTCCAGGACGTTTTCGAGCTTCAGGTACGGCCTCTGACAATATGACCCTCGGGATCTGAACCTAGTCCCCCCTACTACCTACCTACCTACCCACCCCCGGCAAAGTGGTCTGATGGGGCGAGGCTGACTCTTTTCCCGCAACAAACAGCGTAACCTCAACAACGCCTTCGCCTACGACTTGGTCCCCTCCCCCTCCGTCGTCGCCGCCGCTCTGAAGGCCGCCCGTCGCGTCAACGACTTTGCTACCGCCGTCCGCATTTTCGAGGGTATGCATTCTTCTCTCCCCCCCCCCCCCCCCCCCAATCGGTCTCGTCGTTGCACTCCATGCAATATGCACCGCCGTTTCGGCTTCCGCAGGCCCGGGCAACACTTGTGGATGCCGTGCACAACCAATTGACCATTTCCTAACTGACACAAACCCAAACAGGCGTCAAGGCCAAGGTCGAGAACAAGGGCCAGTACGAGCAGTACCTCGAAGAGCTCAAGCCCCTGAGGGAAGAGCTCGGCGTCCCTCTGAAGGAGGACATCTACCCCGAGGAGAAGAACTAAATTGTTTCATCTTCTCTCAGTTGAGCAAAACGAAAAGAGGGTTATAACGGAAGGGCCTAAATCGATTCATTGAAACCGACGTCACCCCCGGCTAGGGCCAACCAAAACATCAAAACTCGAAACCAACTTGTATATTTCTACAGGAGCAAAGAGGAAGAAGAAGAGAGGAACGGGGGAAGCAAAGTCTGCTTGCCGCGCGCGTGTGTGTGAGAAGTCTGATAGAACGGGGGAGGAGTTTTTTCCTTGGTAGTGTGTGATTTTCCCAATCAAAGTCCCATGTACCATCTTAGACCTCTGCTCAATCTCATATGTTACAACCTGATTCTGCACGTTTCGTAAGACCCTAGAATCCTCCTCAGTATCATCTTGGATGCGGCATCTGGACGTTGGGCAAGCTATTGAGTCGATTCAAAGTCCTACGTTACCATCTTGAAGCCTCTTCTCAAATATTCTGGTTGGAATTCGACGAAGTTACAGAGATGCTCCTCGAATGGAGGAGAAGTTGACACAGGAAAGACTCCCCATCTGCCCAAGATAACCCATCATGAAAGGACCGTCTCGTTGGTCCAGAACAAGGTAGGCCATGCAAGAGTCCTTCGAGCTCCCGCCGTTCAAACTGTCCCCCTACTTTTCCATGACACCTCGTTGCACCTCCAAAATCATCTTTCACGAGAGGCAGTCATGACGTTGAACAAGCAATTGAGCCAATTCAGTGGAGAACACTAAGGCCTGCATTCCGACGTCTCAGGAATGTGCCACCTCGATGCATCTAATGTAGTCACAGGTTGCCAAGTGACAACACCTTCAACTAGACCATCCACTCTACGTCACAAATTGGACACTCACCAAGTCGGTCTTGCAGCATATAGCCATCTATTAACTATCCAGCTCACTCGCAACCCCCAGAGCCAAGGCATCGAACCACAGCGAAACCCCTTCAATGGTATCTTTCGCTAAGGGTAAGGGAACCAAAACCGAGCCCCAATAAGACGGTACACATACAAATCAAGACAACGACGTCCATCCTCTCCTCCCAGCCTCCAAACCCTCAAGATCCCATCGCCACGCAACACCACCACCCCCCCGTTGATTTCAGGTACATAGGTACGTAGAAAAGCTCACACTTCACCAATATCTCTGTACGCAGTTACCCTTTAGTAGGGGATACTAGCATATACGTTTCTCTTTGAGTTAATCCTGTACTGGGACCCTTTAACTGCGCAAAACTTTTGCTGAAAAAGGGGCACCCCATCTACGCTCAGTCCCGCAAATGGGGCCATCTGTTGTTGGCTGAGTTATTAAAAAACTGCAGGCCTGCGACAGGCGTACCACCGCCAGACTCATGTGGCGTAGGCGACGTCCCACGACTAGTCGAACCACCACCACCACCACCACCACCAGCCACGCGTCCCGTCCTCGGGCTCATAACGCTCAACCGCGGGCTTCGAGGAACGCTCTGCTGTCTCGTCTCTCTGCGTCCGTTCTTGAGCGCCCTCAGCTCCTTCTCCACGCGCGCGAGCTCCTTTTCGCGGTCCTTAGTGATGGCCTTGGTCTCGGCAATCTGCCTCTGCATCTCCTTGACCTGCTGTCCGGCATTGGCAGTGACGTTGAGGACTTGTGCGAGGTTGCCCGGGGCCGACGACTGCATCGCGGCAACCTGTTCCTTGAGCTCGCGGTTCTCGCGGGAGAGCTCGCTGTTGGAATGGTTGGCCGTCTGATAGGCGTCTCTTGCGTAGCTTAGCTCGCCGTCCCGGCTCTCAAGCTTCTTCTCGAGCTCTGCCACCTTGGCCAAGGCCTTTTCGAGCTCTGATGTCTTCTCCTTGAAAGTCTCCGTCGCGACGGACCCGGCGTTGACGAGGGCTTCTTCAAGAGTGGCGCTCTTCACTTTCAACTGCTCTTCAAAAGCCTGTGCTTTGTCTTGCCACTCACGGCTCTTCTCCAGAGCCTGGTCCTCCTTTCTCTTTGCTTCATCCCGCTCGGCCTCGAACTTGGCTCGTTCCCGAAGCGCGGTCATGTGCGCTGCCTGAATGGAATTGGTGGTCTCGTCGTAGCTTTTGATTCTTTTGGAGAGATTGGTGAGCTGTTTCTTGAGATTGGATTCCAAGGTTTTCGCCTCCTCTAGCTGATGCTCGAGTTCGGACACCTATTCACTTGTCAGCACATTTGCAATGTTGAACCGAGCTAACGCTCTCTACCTTGGTCGTCAGAGTATCCAGGTGCTCCTGCGTTGTTTGGATGTGTAGTTGTGACGGTTGAGGATTCAGCTGACTGCGAACCGCTGCGTCAATGTCTCCCGGCTCTTGTCCAGGGAGAGGGCTGACTCGCAGGCGTTTGACAGCTTGCTGCGGCTCGGCATCCTAAACATTCGATTAGCACCAATCTTACAAAAGTGAAAGGCAACCCACAGTCTTGCGCTTGCGGGTCGGCTCCTCCGCCTGACTCTCGGGTTGACTGCTGGAGTACAAGTCAAGAACAGAGGAGGGGATAAGCTCGGGGTCCCAGTCAAAACCGGGGTCGGGAAGGATTGCTTGGTTGGCAAACGAAGCAGCGTAGTGGTCAATCATCACCCCCTGGTTATCTCTTTCGTCCAGATAGCTCGTCTTTCTCGACTGACACACGGCGATGCACAGCGCATTTTGACGCATCAAGCCCTTGAAGTCCAACGGCAACAGTAGCTCTAGATGCTCGATAGAGCACGTCGTCGTGAGCCTCAGCAGCATTGGCTTCTTTCCATTCATTTTGCCCCATTGATCGAGAAGGTCTGTCTGCATGACACCGTTGTCGAATCCAATGACCACGTCAAAGTCGCTTAGGTCGTCAACGAGAGCCTGCTGGGCGTGTACAAGAACGACGAGCAGAGAATGCTCATCCTGGCTTTCCAGCTCATGCAGACCCTTCAGAGAGTACGCCATCTCCCCAGTTCCGACGATGGCTTCGAGGTACCCGATAATATTAATATCACGCGCGACAATGAGGATTTTCTTGTGGCTCGTTTGCAGTCGCTCGAGGAACCTTCCCACGAAGAAAAACTTGCTATTGGTGCCCATGGCATGCTTCTTGAGGTCTTCCGCGGACAAGGCGTCAATAGAAGCACCGTCGAGAGGTGCGGGCCCGTCGCAAATGTCGCGAAGCTGGTTGAACATTTTTTCAATGAACTCCACCGTCTTCGAATCGACAACTTCTTCCTCAGACTGCATGTCCCTGGTGAACTGCTCAATCACATTGCGATATGCCTTGATGGTGCTCCGGTACAGGGGACGAATGTTGGCTGGGAACGAGAGCGTGACCAGGTAGTCGCTCTGATCCACGGCCGTCGGAGGGCCCGAAAGGTACGGCTCTTCAATGTCTGGCGAAGTCACAGTGCTCTGGTCGCCCGCGGTGGTCTGGTCTTCCGGCAACATGTCCATAGGATGGCCATCAGGTTGAGGAAGTGTGTTTGAGGCCTCTTCGGGCTCGACTGATCTGCTGATGTCTGAGGGGGATATGGTGATGGGCAGCTGCTCGGCCGATTCAGGTGGCATAAGATTGCTGGGGAAGATGTCTCCCATGCTAGCTGTCTGGGGCTCTTCGTGGATCAGAGGCTCCATCGTTGGCTCGACGGGGGCAGCACCGGCAAGTCCAGGCATGTCTGTAGACGACGTGACCGGTTCACCCATGTTCCAGTCTCCCGTGAGAGGTAGCTGCGAGTTGATTTGGATGGATGGGTGGTCCATGGGTGCCGAAAATGCGAGGTCGGCTGCGCCATCTTGACGGATCTGGGCCGACTCAGCCGTCGGACTCGTCAATCCTCCCTCGGTCAATGTACCTTGCAATGCAGCTTCTTGAATTCTCATCAGCTCCTCTATGGCTGAGAGTGGTTCGTCGCCCGAAGTATCCATGGCTGGAGGTAGACTCAGCGGCCAATCAGAGTCCTGAGACCTGTTGGGTGACGAGGGATGAGGAGGAAGTGACCGTCTTTCGAAGCAAGTCTGAAAACTATCGGCCTCGGAAACCTCGTCCTCACCACGCTGTGTTAGCGCAGTGGTGATTGCCTGAGAAAAAGCGAACGGAGGCGACTCTGAGCTAGCAACCGTGGCACTGAAGCGTATCGTGCGTGAAGGTCTTCGACGAACGGTGTCGGGGACCACGTGCTCGTCTGCGTAGCTTTGACTTGCGGAAATATCAAGAAGAGGTTGAACGACTTGAGCGGCTTGGGTGTTCTGGCTGGGGCCTGTATCAGAGCAAGCAATGATTTGCTCAGTCGCCCACTCCTGATCGTCGGTGTATCGTTGCGACTTGTTGGAGGTGCCCTCGGACGTGCTCTTCGCCGAGGAAGTCGCTGGAGAAGTTGAGGTGTCGAAATCAAAGGCAGGCTGGGTGTGGAAAATAGGCGTCCTGGCAGACTGTGAATCCTGGGGATAATCTCCGATGGCGGAGTTCTCAGTATGTTCAACGACTTGTAGCTCGTCGACCTGATGCGATGGAATTGACCTATCAGAGACCGAGGGAAGGGAGTCGTGTTCACGTGAGGCGCGTCGAGGTGGCTGCGATGCAGCTGCAGGCTCTGCAATGGAATGCCGATGAAAAGGTGAGGCTTGCTCGAGGTCAAAGCTTAGGCCCTGGCTTGGTTGAGGGCTGTTCTGTGTCAAAGGGATGTAGCCCGACGACACCGGTGCCGGTGGGTGATCCTCAGAAGACGGATGAGGTGACTCCAAGGGCGTCCGGCGGACAAAGAAGTGTGAACGGTGATCTGGTGCACTGAGAAGTCGGGCCTGGGAATCCGTAGACTTACTCAGGGAGGTCCTGAGACTAGACTGCTTTTGCGAATCCGAGATCTCACGCTCGGTGTTGGCACCCCCTTTATTGCTAGTCGAGGCTCCTTGTTTGATGGAATACGGCGAGTCCTGGGTATCGACTGCTGAGCACTCTTGAGAGTCGGGGATAGTCCTTTGACTAAAGCCCTCCGTAATCACCACTTGACTGTCTTCGTTTTCGAGGGCTGAGATGGGCTGAGAGCTGAGCGAGGTCGACCCTTGCGAGTCGGATATGCTAATGTATTCTGAAAAGTCGCGATCTACTTTTGAGGGGATCGCCACGAAGAAGCCGGCCGTGGTGTTGTATGCAACATCCGAGGCAGCGTCGGTATCAACCTCTGAAGCCGACGACAGCAAGGAAGGAACCTCACTAAGGTATCGCTTCCGCTGCGGTGGATTCGAGTCGTTGTCCGAGTCTGGGTCTTGCAGGCCTTCCGGCTGCCTAGATTGCGATCTCCTTCGTCTATTTGCCGTCTGCACGGGTTGACTACTGTCGATCGAGCGGATGGACGGAGTATGCGCCGGTGAGCCCTGCTGTACGACACCCTGGACGTCTCGCGATACAGATTGTCCTGAGCGCGCGGGGTGGTTCTCTTGATAGAGCAAGTCGAGTTTCCTTCTCCAATCGAATATCGCTTTCGAAGTGACGTCCTTGCTTGGGGCCTGGTTTTGGGTCAGCAACCGCTCTAGTGAACATGGGGGGGGGGGGGGCCTCTAATAGACTTACCCACGTGGGACGGTATCGCTCGCCGGTTGCCGAGTTGTCTTCCCAATCGACGAGGTATTCAATGTCCGAGCCGCTTCGCCTTTCTTGTAGAATATCTTTAATGATATACCATTCCTCCCTTGGCTGTTTCTTGTGCTTCTTTGGGTGGCTGGAGCTGCGGCGCGAGTCCCTCGGCATTGACGAGTCGCGATCCACCTCAACAGAGGTGGTGTGTTGTTTTGGAGTTGCTCGTTGGCGCGGCGGATTGGGCTTGCATATGCGGTTTCGGGGCCATAGGTATCGCTAGTCTTGGGGGAATGCGCGTCAGGTTGTGATTTGTTTGGGCAAAGTCTCTAGAGGGGACGACCTACACGGGTCGCACGCGAGGCTGCCGTTGCTATCGCAGCTCATGAGCTCAAGCCGCCCGAGATGGCAAGACCACAGCGGGTCCACCTGCAGCCTGCCGTGGCTGGGTGCACGAGCCACAGTCTTGGCCAATCAGACGTCGCCGACAGCTCACTGGGTCTGAGGCAGTGGGAGGAAGTGGTCGACGCCGTCTATCAATGTCTCTGGCACAATTGCGACGACTCGAGATGCGAAAGTAGGTGGAAGAGCAGTGTGCGAGGAGAAAGGCAGCAGCTGCCATCTGAAAACCTGAAAGCTGATAGAGGTGGATGCCTGACCAATTTGATCCGTCCGTTGCATTGACAGCGTTCAAGCTCTCGGCGCTGACACTTTAGGCAGGCGAAAAGATCATGGACCAAGGACAGCCTTATCACAAAGAACCCTCGAATCTAGGGAGGGCATTCATTAAACCATTCATCAAGTCCACTAGTGGTGCCAGTGCTACACGTGCTCAGAGAGCTCCCATTTACGGACCGGTCAACCCGTAGACACCCCCTTCTTCATGACAACAGCGCTGAATTTTGATCGTCGTAGATATCTCATACCATGAACCACATCAAGTCTCTTTTTACGTGTGATATACACGAGTCCCTGGTGACTCCTTTTCCCCCGCGCCGCGATGAAATCCAGAATAACTTTTTTTGGTTCGTTGCCCCGTTCATACGTAGCCCTTGCGCGCGCCCTGGAAGAAGAAGCGAACGATAAACACCTGCAGAGCTCCCATCAGAACGATGAGGGCGCACTGGATCATGCTGAAGTTGATGATGCGGCCTTCGGTGCTGCGGACGGTGCTGAAGTTGCGGTTCTCTCTGGTGCGGAAGTACTTTTGGCCTCTCGAGATGGTCGAGAGCTGGCCGGAGAGCTTGAAGATGGTCTCCTCGAGGGTGGAGTGCTGTTCGGGAGAGGCACCCTGCTTGGCGGGAAGCTGAGCGCGAACCTCGTTCTCGACCTGGATTGGCAAGGGGTCAGCATTGACTCGGGATTGTTGCTTAAGTTGGGAAAGGACTACATACGGCAATCTCAAAGTCGACAAACTTCTCGGCAAAGGTACTCATCTCGTTGTTGAAGCAGAACTCGTAGTCACCCATCTGTTGGGCCGTGAAGACAAAGTCGCCCTGGCGTTCCTTGGCTCCATCGAGGATGATCTTGTTGCCCGGTCCGGTCACGGTGTAGTCGACATCGAAAGAACCACCAGATTGGACCTGTATGCATATTGATTAGCTTGGTGCAGCATGTCGAGGTGATGATGGCGCGGGTGTCGACGTACGGCAAAGTAAAAGGCAATCTTCTCGTTCTCCTTCTGGGTCTTGGCGTAGAAGCAGGCCTTCTCGTTGGCGTGGAGCTTGTAGGTCAATGCAGTGGCAGCGACCTGGGAAACGAAGCAGGCGAAAAGCCCGCAGGCAATGGCGGACACCCTCATGATGTGTTGTTGCGTGGGGAGAGTCCTGGGTGGGCGCGTGAGGGTATCTCTCGTCGACTCTGGAAGCAGGGGATTCTGGACAAGCTGTCGCCAAAAGGGTCACTTAGAACGGGCCACGATTGAAAGTTCGGCGCGGAAAATTGGCGCCGCTACACGCCCCTTGGGAGCACGCACGGGCCAAGCGGAAGCGGCTGCACACCTCAGTCTGCGGGAGAACAAGGTGGCACCTTCTGTTCAGTCCCCATAGCGCTAAGCATCCACGCACCCAAGACCTAAGGTAAGGTACCTATGAGCTCGCAACTTCCGTCCTCACCAGCCACGCTCACATGCAGGCGGGAGGTGGCTTGTTATCGCGCATCGGTGTTTCAGCGCGTACGGGGCATTCTATTAATCAGTGACCTCATCTCTCCAGAGGTCAGCTAAGCTGTCACGTCACGTCTGGCTGAGCTTCCCATCCACCTCTGAGAGGGCAGGTCCACGGACTACCTTACCACCTTCTATCAAACCTTCTTCCATTGTCTCGTCCTTTCTCTCCAATACCCAGCTGCAAGGGAGGCAGCTCTTGCCTTTTTTTTTCTTTCACGGACGATCCCTGCAAACTATTTATTCCTCCACCAGTTCAATCTTTTATCCATCTCACCATCTACTGCTACTTTCCACTTCACATCTACCCACTTCAACGGAGCTCTCGGCGTCATGGCGGTTCAGACGCGTATTGCAACCACATCCTCAATCGCGTTGAGAGTGGTCTCGTACCTCTTTCTGCGATGGGTAAGTTCTTCAAGGTCCTCTTTTAGCAATTGGTCGCTAACCATTGGATGCAACTCTAGTTTCCCGGCCCAGTAAGTTCCACTTATTCCCGAGCGTTTGACTCTCCGGGCTTGGCGCATCGTGCTGATCATGGTGTAGGCTGCTGTGCCCATGAGCATCTTCGCACTCTTTGCAGTCTTTGTGCCTTCCTTCGTGTCTGGCTACATTAATGAGCCAAAGTACGATGTGGTGGAGGACGACGTTGACGTGACCGTCAAAGAGACTATTGCCGAGGATGTCGATGGCGCGGAAGGCACCAACGGCCATGTCGTCGCCGAGGAGATCCAAATCGAAGAGACCATCATCATTAAGGACAAGTCCAGCCCGTTGAAGACGCTTCTTGCCGGAACGCCGAGCTCAACCAGTCCCATTCTCTCCATCTTGACCTTCCTCATCAACTTGGCCCTGGTCGCAATGACGGCCGACTTCTTGTTCCGCGTTCGACAGTACCACCCGGTCGATGACCTCTCCTTTGTGCGCCTTGGTTATGTCTCTCCGACGGAGGCGAAGTTCGTCATTCGCGAACCGGATCAAGCCAAGATGCCCGTCACTCTTGAAATTCACATCAAGGACCCGCAGCCGCCCTTTGACAACCCCATGTGGCAGCTTGGTGGTGGAATGAGGTTCACCGACAACACGACCGACTTTGCGACCACCTTGACCGTTCCCCTGAAGCACTCCCAGCAGAGAATCTACGAATGGCGCACGTCCAACCACCACAGCGGCGAGTTCGTGGCCCCGCCTAGAGCCGGCCAGATGTCGACCTTTAACGACAACAAGTTCACTTTCCTATCGACTTCGTGCATCCTCCCGCGCTTCCCGTATAATCCATTCGAGCACCCCCTGGCAATCCCTGGCATGCGCCATCTGGCGCGAGTCTTGCCTAACTTGCAGGCGCAATTCATGCTCTTCCTAGGGGACTTCATCTACATTGACGTGCCCAAGCGCCAGGGCAAGAACGAGGAGGACTACCGCCAAAAGTATCGCCACGTCTATGCCTCTCCGGACTGGGCACCCGTAGCACAGAACCTCAGCTGGATCCACGTTCTCGACGACCATGAGATTGGCAACGACTGGTCTTCAAACACCACTGGCGTGTACCGGGCCGCAATTGAGCCTTGGCATCATTACCAGGAGCTCGCTAACCCCCCTCCTGCTCGCGTTGCTGGGACCACGAACCTCCGGAGACAGGGCGCCACCTACTTTGAGTTTGTCCAGGGCCCCGCGAGCTTCTTCATGCTCGACACGCGTTCGTACAGATCCGATAACGACGTTCCTTCCGACAGCCCGGAGAAGACCATGTTGGGTGCTGAGCAGTTGGAAGACTTCCTCGCCTGGCTGAACCGTCCTGAGCCCAAGGGAGTCAAGTGGAAGATTGTCGCCTCGTCGATCCCTCTGACCAAGAACTGGCCCATCAACCGCAAGGATACGTGGGGAGGTTTCCTGGTGGAGCGACGCAAGGTTCTTGAGGCCATGTGGGATGCTGGTGCACGGGGCGTCGGTGTTGTTGTCGTCTCTGGCGATCGTCACGAGTTTGCGGCCACCAAGTTCCCCCCTCCAGCAGACGGAAGATGGCCGGAGAGCGCCGCCGCGTATGAGTTTTCATGCAGTCCGCTGAACCAATTTGCTTCGCCGTTGCCGAGCTACAGACAGACGGATGACGAAGACGTGTCTCTTAAGTAAGTGCCGTTGCTGGACTCTGGAAGTCTGATATTAACAGTGACAGATACATCCACTCTGGCAATTCCAAGTTCGGCTCTCTCACGATCGAGAACCTGGCTGAGGATGAGCAGAGTACTCTCAAGTATAACCTATACATCGACGGCGAAATCGTTTGGAATACAATCATCCTGTCACCCTCGGTCGAAAAGGCCCCCAGCTCGTTTTGGGATAAGTTGAAGGGAAACTAGGATAGACAGATAGACAGGAGTGGGAACGATGGTCCTAGGACATGAATTTGAATCAAATATTATTTCAAGCAACACATGAGTTGGTCTGCTCAGAGCCCAACGCTTCCGGGGTTTCTGCCCAAGAATTGAGCGTACACACGAGAGTGTTGCCAGCTTGCGGCTCGGTCCTTGGCCATCGTGAAATCCCCGCCAGTCTCATCGTGCTCATTCTTAGAAACATGGATTTCCTCGCATCATCACAGCCGGCCAATCGCAAGGGCAATTTTTCCAACCAACATCGGCATGCATCCTGCATTGCGCTACGGCACCCCTCTCCCGGACGACGTTCTCCTGTCCCGGGAATAAGAGACCGGATGACGATCCGCTACGCAACTCCTCAATGACATCGGACTGACTGCCTCACGCCAAAAAGTGCGGAGAAGCACCATGCATGCAGCTCCAATCCCGAGATAACATCACCTTTACAACATTGAACATGTGAGCTTCTCATACATCAACCATAACCAAGCTTATTCTGAGCACCCTCAACTCCCGTAAACTCCAAACTTGAATTGAAAGATAGATCCATAGACCAAGAGCAATGGCAATGAAACGCCTCCAACAACTCGGCTCCCAACTCTCCTCGTCCATCTCCCCCAACCCAGACGAGACAGAGACAATGGCCTCGGCCTCGTCCAAATTCGCCCTCAACGAAAACGGCATCCCGCCCTTCGAGTCCTTGCCCCTCGGCAAAGACGACCCGCGCTTCTCGGCCTGGGGCTTGTACGGCGACAAGGACGAGCTGGGGACGCTGAATAGGTTGACTGACGAGCGCGTCGCTGCTGCTGCGCGGGAGGAGATTAAGACGGGCGTGAGGTAAGGAAAACTGAAAATGAAATGATTTTTTCTACTTTTCGTCTCACTCTAGCGACGTGAATATTACTCCCGTGAAGTTCACACTACCCAATCCTGAACCAATACAACGAAGAATAGAATCTTCGATGGCGGATTATAAGAAAGACTGACGTGACGACACGACACAGAATCTCCCTAAACTGGCCCCTAACAGCTCAATCTACCCCCTTCTTCAACCGCCGCGCCTTCCACCACGACATTTACCGCAAACACCCGCGCTTCGTAAACGACGACGAGTGGACCTTCAACTCACAGTCGTCGTCGCAGTGGGACGGCCTCCGGCACTTTGGGTACCAGAAGGAGGAGAAGTTTTACAACGGCGTCTCCATGGACGAGGTCCACGCCGTGGGGGAGGATGGGAGGCGGTCGACTGTGAATGGGATTCAAGGTGAAGCAACCCTCCCTTTTTCTCCTACTCCTTTTTTTAACAGGTCCACCTACTCCCTTTCCCTAGTTCTTCTTCCTCCTCTGTCGAAATCTCATTGGCTATCTGAGAATCCGGGGTCTTCGGGAGAAGGCCGGTGTTGATGATGATGATGATGATGATGATGATGATGATGAGAGATACGTGAAAGCTGACAACCGCCCAAAAAAAGCCTGGCAAAAACACGGCATCGTAGGCAGAGGCATCCTCGTAGACTACCACACCTGGCGCCTCGAGCAAAACATCCCCTACGACCCCTTTGCGCGGGACTCCATCCCCATCGCGGACCTCCAAGCCTGCCTAAAAGCGCAAGGAACAGAGGTCAAGTTCGGTGACATACTCATCACCCGCACAGGTAACTCCCTCCTCTCCCTCTTCCCAAACCCCAATCTCTCAACATCTCCCCATCCAAACACCCCCAAATCCTCTTCTGACAAAACCCCATCCTAGGCTTCACAGCAACACACGCCTCCCTCCCTCCCTCCACCCTAACCTCCCACCTCGCCGCAACCCCCCAAACCTTCTCCGGCGTAGCCCAATCCGAAGACGCCCTCCGCTGGATCTGGTCAAACTTCGCCGCCGTCGCGGGCGACCAGCCGTCCTTCGAGTGCTGGCCCCACCGCGACCCGCAGCACTGGATGCACGAGGTCCTCCTCGCCGGCTGGGGCATGCCCATCGGCGAGCTCTTCGATCTCGAAGCGCTCGCGGCGCAGTGTAAGCGCGAAAAGAGGTGGAGTTTCTTTGTCGTGAGCGAGCCGTGTAATGTTCCTGGCGGGGTTGCGAGGTGAGCTTCTTAAAGTCCCCCCCCCCTTCTTCGGTATGTTGTTTGATTTTTGGCTAACATGGTGTGTGTAAGTCCGCCCAATATTCTGGCCATCTTCTGACAAGTCTGGTCGAGTCTCTAGTCGCCATACGCGAAACTACCTGATGTAAGCGAACGTAAAACACTTTGATGGGAATGAACGACACGGAGGTGAAACATTTACTGCCAGCTTGAAAGACTGAAGATTGTCGAGGGTGCCTGCGGTGAAATCGTAAAGTGGCTGGTCACCCAGAACACTGCTGTCATTCAACCAACACTGTACACAATAGCCTACGCGTTAGCACATAATCAAACACGGCCCCAAAAGACGCAATCGTGAAGTTGAAATGCTTTAATTGTATTCGTATGCCAGCTTTCCTCGCTGAGCTAATTTGTTGAAACAAACCAAGCCTTGACGCCCTAGTGTGCTATCATCCGCCGCGGGCCTTCTATCGCCAACACCTCTACCCCTTAGTTGCCGTCTCATCCCTTGTGACTCTTGCGGTCGCTGCCAACATGTTAGTGAAAGGAACTCAAAGGGGCGTTGCACAAAGACTCACGTGCTCAATCTCCTAGACAGTTGCTGCAGCTTCTTGTCGTTGGCCGCATCCTCGGCCGCCTTCTCCAACGCCTGCTTCCGGTCCTCATCTTGCTGCTTCACGACCTCGTCGTGGCTGGGGGGAAGTCTCTCGTTCTGCAAATCGACCTTGCGAGCATCCTCGAATGTGTTGATGGCGTTCTTGATACCCTCGGCACCCAACATCAGGGTACCGGCAGGCAATCTACCACCAGAGACGGTCTTCAACTCGGTGACACGCTCAGACTCTTCGCGCAACACCTGGAATACACGCGAAAGACGACCAATGGCCAAAATCTTGTTCTTGATGGCCCGTCTCTTGTACTCGATCGACTCGGGGTCCTGCGAGGCGCCCGAGAGGGGCGGCGACATGGGGCCGGGGGATGTGGACGAGGGGGTGGCATCCTCCTTGAGCTCCTCCTCCGAGCACGTGCTAAGAATGGCGATGAGCATATCGGTAATCTTTTCACCGACAAAGGGAAGAGACCAGGTGAAGACGTCCATGAAGTTGGGCAGCCAGTAGGGGTGAGGCGTGCAGTTGAACTGCCGAATATTCATGACATTGTTCTCGTACTTCAACACGGCAGCCTTGTTGTTGTAGACGTCGAGGTAATTCGGCGCGGAGAAGATGGTCATGACACTGGGGAAACCCGTGGTGCGAGTCTTGCGGTACATGCGGTAGCCGGCGTCTTGCGCCTCGTGGGCACGAATGACGGAGAGAAGGTTGTTCTTCTCGAGGAATGCGCATGCGGCCGGGTATGAGAAGAAGTAGGAGCATCCGCGAACGTGGTTGTGCAAAAAGTAGTCACTCGTCTTTTCTTGGCCAAAGTCCTCGAGGGGGTCGGCCCAGAGGATATCGCACATGAGACCCTGCGTGGGAGGCTCGCGGAAACGGTCAATCTGGGTGAGCATTTCATTAGCTGCGATGCGCGCGTGTAAGGGGCAGGAGCAATACTCACGCTACGCAAGTCGTCGAGTGTGTGAAGCTCCGGGCTCAGACCACCGTGAATGCACAGGAACTGCTTATTCATGACAGCAGCCAGGGGCAGACAGCAGAAAGACTCCATGCAGGCCTCGTAAATGGCCTCGGAGTACTTGTGCTTGCACTCGAGCTTGAAGGTGAAGTAGTCGGTCAAGTGGCGACACTCGTGGTTGCCGCGGAGCAGCCAAAGAGTCTTGGGGTAGTGGATCTTCAAGCACCAGAGGTACAGGACGCACTCGATGGAGAAGTAACCTCTGTCGACGTAATCACCGAGGAAGAGATAGCGCGTCTCGGAGGGGTCGCCTCCGACTTCGAACAGCTTCATGAGATCGTAGTACTGGCCGTGGACGTCACCGCAGACAGTGATGGGCGCATCCATCTCGAGCAGGTTGGGCTCGGCGCGGAGGACCTCGGTACAGGTCTTGAGGATCCATAGAGCCTGCTCCTCAGTCAAGCGACCCTCGCGGTAGAAATGCTGCTTGAGGAAGTTGATGTTGGGCTTTGTGTGGGTTTCGTCCTCGAAGAACTGCTCGTCAGAGGGCGTGAACATGGCGGGGGCCTGGACATCTGTGGCAAGGAAAATGAGGTTAGCGACGACAAAGACCTGTTGGACTGAAGTGCCTCGAAACGAGGATATTCATGGCGGTCCAAGACTCGCGATGGACGGCGAGGCTGGCGGGAGCACAGCAATAGCGTGGATGGAGTAACAAGCGTACCTTTGCAGACTCGCTCCATGGTGTTCACCTGGGTGCCATCTTCCATGGTATGAATGGTGAAGTCAATCTCGGGCAAGGGCTTCTTCTCGCGAATGGCGCGGATGGCATTGTCGACCTGCTGCTGGGTGCGGGTGCCGTCACCAGGCGTGCTGGGAGCCTCGGGGTCCATGGTTGCTGGTGATGTGTGAAGCGGCGAAATCGAAAGGGGTACTAATCGGCCGGGGGGGTATCTATGATGGATACGAGGGCACTCGGGTGGCAGAGAACAGAGCGGTGAAGGTCGGGTTAGGCGAGAACCAGCTCTGGATCAAGTCGCGATGGGGGGGCCTGCAAAGAGGCGAGCTGGGTTGAAGCGAGGTCGTTGGGCACGAGACGACAAGAGACGAGGCCAGGCTTTGCGATGCGATGCGAGGGGTAAAAATTGAGGTGAGGAAGATAGGGCTGAGAAGGGGGAGAGTTGGGTGAAGGGAATTGGGATGGGATGCACTTGGCCAGGCCCAGTGTGTTCAGTGTCTGGCAGTCGTCAGTCTCCAGTTTGGCTCGCTACGCGGACACTTTACTAACGCTAGGTACTAAGGTACGGGAGGCGCACTCACTCTCCCGCCTTGAGGTAGGTAATCAGTGTGATACGGCATCCCTAGTAGGTATCAATCCAGGGCATTCAGGGTGCTGGTGCTGTCGCTCAGGTAAGCTGGGAGCTGGGGGGGGAACACGCACACCTCACCCTCCATTACTCCGTACCTCAGACGAATTGGCAGGTGGCAGACGCCAAATGCCCGCGGACGGCGGGACACTGAGACTATGTGTACATCCCACCCGCACCCAAGACAGGCGAGGAATGAAGTACCCAAACCTGACCCCTCTCTTCTGTGGCTCGCGTCTGGGAGGCGAGAGGCAGCCACAGGCGCCCACTTCAGTTGCCTTTTCTGCCCCTTCCCCCCACCCCACTTCCTTCCACCAAGAAGGGTACGTACCATCATGACCATTAGGTATCCGTACCTAGCTGGACCCTTTTCTTCCAAGTTCCCTTCCATTTCCCCTCCCCCTCATCCACAGATTCCACAGTGCACACCCACAGCACCAGCACCAGCATCAGCACTTTTTCCACTTCGCTTCACCTCCAATTGCAGTGCATGCAGCACCAGCACGGTTCACCTCGGACTGGGCCAGCCAAGAATGGAATATCAAGACGCGCATTGGACACAATCAGCAAGCCTGCCCCTCCTCCGCGTTTTCTCACCACACGGGTCAGCACACGGTGAGATGTGATCCTCACCGGCCCAATTGTCTTCAAATGTCTGTCATCATTCAGCCTTCTAACGCTGGCTTTCTTTCTACCTCTATCCGGTCTATCGGCTGCTCCTCTGTTTATCGGCATGGCATCCCTGAGACTCGACCTAGAAGGCGCTCACAGTCTGCTGTCACTGTAGCATTCGAGCCAATGACCCCGATACGCAAGCAAGCTCGGCTTATCGGCCCATCACGCTGCCTCCGAAACCCTTGCTCGCCGGCCAACATTTGCTCCAGGCCAGCCATGGCACTCTTTCATCTTCCATCTTTATGGCATCCTCATGGGTATCATTGTCCTTGGCTTCTCAAGGCAAGCAGTAACCTCCGTCGACGACAAGATCCGAACCGGTGGTGTACGAGGCGGCGTCCGATGCCAAGTACAGATATGCGCCCTTGAGCTCGCTGGGTTCTCCCTCGCGTCTGTTTGACAAGTCAGCCTACAAACTCATTCCCTTCTGCATCTCGGCAACTTACCCCATTGGCGTCTTGTTCCTCCACTGCTTCTTGGACTCTGCATCGACAAAGGCAGTAATCTCAGTCTTGATGTATCCGGGCGACACCGTGTTGACGCGGGCGAAATCGACCCATTCAACAGCCAAGCTCTTGCCTGCTCACTAGTCAGCCCCGTTTGGTTTCTTCACACTAGACTGCAGCACTTACAGAGGTGGACGACAGCCGCCTTGGACGCATTGTACACGGCTTGCGCCTGCGGGATGTTGACGACGTGAGCGCTCATACTGGCGGTAGCGATGAAGCTGCCAGTGGTGAAGCCTTCGAGCTTCTTGCCGTCGAGCGTCGTGCCCTCCTTCTTCTGCCTGCGGAAATGCTCGCCAGCAACCTGGGCGCAGTACACGGTGCCATTGACGTTGACGGCCATGACCCTATCGGTAACGTCCATCGGTCCGTCGATCAAAGGGCCCTCCTCCCATGCAATGCCCGAGTTGGCAACAAAGATATCGAGGCGGCCGTTGAATTCGGACACGATCTGCTGAATCGACTCCTGAACGGCCTGGTGGGAGGTGACGTTCACCGGGTACGCCTTGCCTGCGGAACCATTAGCAACATGACTTGAACGTTTTTTGTTTGGCATCTCCACGCACACTTGACGCCGTACTCCTTCTCAATCTCAGCAGCACGGTCCAGGGCCTTTTTGTTGCTGTTGTACCAGATGGCAACGTTGGCACCCGCCTCGGCGTAGGCATGGGCGATTTGCAGACCGATACCAGCACCAGCTCCAGAGACAATGGCCGTCTTGCCCTTGAGAGAGAACAAGGGCAGCACACGAGTGCTTTGCGGGGCCACGGTGGCATCGTGCTTGAAAGCACCGTCCTTCATATCGGCCATTCTTGCAACTGTCGTGGAAAATGGCTGGAATCTCGCGGGGTTGCTGTTGCTGTTGCTGGCGGCTGCGGCACGAGGAACACAGAGGACTCGGGGCCGCGAGACCGCAGCGCGAAGGACGTGGCGGAACATATTTAACAAGCGTCGACAGGGAGGAATATTGCCGCAAGAGGGTCTCTTTTTTCTTTGCTAATTCACTCAAACAAGGTTCTAGGGAGAAAGCTTCACCGCACTCTAAAGATATTGAGTATTCCACTCGACGATGTCCACGAAGTGGCCCCCTCGAGGGAGGAGCTAATACTAATACTAGTATGGCCGGCGCGCCGCGGCAATGAGTCCCTGGCTCATGCGCCGGAACAATCGACAGCGAGATGACGCTGTGGGGCTCAAAGGGGAGGTTCCCCATGCTGTGCCGCTCCACGCTAGGACGGATGGAGGGGTCAATGAGAGCGGCAGCAGCCAGTGCGGTGTCTCAAAGCCGTCATTGACCCTGAAGACGGCCACTAGGCATATGCCTATGCATGGCTGCCGTCGTCGCAACATGCCCTTTCCAGGCTTCTGCTGCATGTCTCATGTGTTCTTCATCCTCGGTCGTCGCCGGGGGGGTTCCAGAACTTCCAGGTTCTCGTGGGGGGGAACCTGGTGCCATGGGGTCCCGGCCTTCGGGGCGATTCGGGTCGCATTGTTCCTGAACTGGGCCGTGTCAATGTCTCTCAAGATGCGAAATGTCAATTCCAGTGTCCACGGCGGGTTTGCTCAATGGGCCAAGGTCCTGAATCGCGGGGGCTCATCGGGGCTAAAACGCACATCCCCCGCCTTGACTCGACTGGCGCGCTTCTACACTACAGCCGCTTTTAAAACTACAGGGGACATCGCGGGGGGCACACGACGGACACGAGACCTTGACTGCTAGAAAACGAAACGAAGCCAAACCGGCGCGGGTCGTCGGCCAAACGCAAACGATTGACGATTGAACGGATGAAATGCATCATCAACGGTTTCCTCTCTGCGCCTTTACTCGCGAACCATTTGCTCCCTTCACATGCCAATGCAACCCTACCCAAAAACTTTGACACCTTGTCATGCATTCCGTCTAGCCAACAACCTGGTTCAGGACCTGCTCGTGAGGGAAGTTTGTGTTTCTCCAACGGGAGACGAAATCGTCACGGTTGACTATGACGGTGTCAGTTGCATTCGCTCATGTCATAGCCAGAGAAACTTGAGATCACTCACTATAGGCGCCGGCGATGCGTCTTCTGCCCTCAAACGCACTCCTACCGTGCATCACACGCCAGTTGTCAAAGACTGTGCAAGACAGAATTAGCATTTGCCTTGTTTTTGTTTCAACGCAAAAGAACATGACATGGGGGGCCACCACTCACTCAAAACCTGGCCGGGCTTCAGTTGCCACCAAAACTCAACGTCGGATCTCCGGAGAATGGCATCCCACTTGCGCGCCGCCGCGTACCACTCCGTCGGCGAAACGTCGTCGGAAAAGGGCACCACGCCGCGGTCGTCATTGTTCCACCGCACCCGTTGCAGCGTCCGCGTCTGCGGGTCGACCTCGAGAACGGGGTACCGCTTGTCGGGGGAGATGGTGATGCCCTCGTTGCCGCTCGCGTGCCAGGGCAGGCGGACCTTGGCGAGGATCTCGTACGCGGCCGGGTCCTCTTTCTGCAGGATCTGTGCCGCGTAGAAGGCGTCTACGAGGAGTGATTCCCCTCCGAGCTTGCCATCTTTAGGAAGCTTCTGCTGCTCCTTCCCTGGCGGAGGAGCTTCGTGGGAGAGCATGTGGAAGGCTTGCAGGCCGGCGGGGTCGGTGAAGTAGGTCGTGTCCGTGTGCGCTGGGAGGGCGATGTTGGTGTAGGCCGTGTCGGCCATGGCGAGATCCGGGACGAAGTCGTAGAAGCCGCCGTAGTGCGTCTCGCGGATGAAGGCGATTCGTTCGAGGACGCGCTGTGTTGGGGCTGGGGTGTCGTAGGGGGTTCCGTCGACGAAGGCGAAGCCGTATTCGCGCTATCAGGTGTCAGTCCATCGTTCACCCCATGGTAGCTGAGGATGTGTTTTACGTACGATGAGGTTTGTCAACTTTGCGACGCCTGAGTCGTCGTTCTTGGTCATGAGGTGGTTGTATTCGACGACGGGGCGTCTGGAGCCCACGTCGGAGCCCCAGAAGTGGTAGCTTGCGCGAAAAGTCAGTGACTGGTGCGATGTTAAAGATGATTGGTGAGGTAGGTGCCCTTACTTGACTTGCTCTGGACTCCGGTGGTCATTTTGCAGGTAGTGCTTGATAAAGTGCCAGGGGTAGAAGCTCTCGTGGCCGTCTTGCTCCCCTGGTTGTGCGCATCATTGTCAATCCGGGGTTTCTGTTTTCAACCGTGTGAGAGGTGAGAGAGGGGGTTGGTGTTGCACTTACATGTCACCTTGATACCCTTTTCTTCAGACTTGATTTCAGAGGGTCGGATGTCTTGGCTAATCTACAGTTCCATTCAACCCCTATTAGTCGAGTACAGGCCGACATCTCGCGGTAGAGGGTTAGGTTTGCCAGCAGCAGCAGCAGCAGCAGTAGCAGCAGCAAAGTAGTCACGAATGTTGACCAAGCGGGACGGGACCGGCAGGGACTTACGGCGTATGTGTCAAAGTTTCGTTGCGTGGTATCTTGGTTCACGCATTTGCTGCATCGACAGTTGTCTCTGGTACGATGGAAGGTTGTGTTAATTCAGACGAAAAGACTGACGGGATCTAGTACTTTGGTTGTGAAGGTGTGGTTGGCGAACGTACCTTAGCCAGAAATGGGGGCTGCGTTTGGGAGAGTTTGTGTTAGCTGAGGTTGTTGCAGTATTATGCGCATGTCACTTGGTGAGTAGCCTGTCTGTCGGAGCCGGAGCCGGAGCCGGAGCCGCGCGGCCGGGGTAGCGCAAGGGGGAACGGAGGGGGCGGAGAAAGCAGGCGGGAGAGAGGGGATGGATGGTGGTGGAGTCGGAACCGGACTTACAGCGTCGATCTACGGGTAGACACGCCTGCCAGCCCGTCGATTTGCACGCCGTCGTTTACGACTTTGGCATGGAGCTGGGGCTGGCGGGCGGCGGCGGTTGCGGAGAGGTGTCTACTCGCGGATCCGAAGGTGAGGCGGGGTGGCTGTGGTGCTGGTGCTCCGAACGCAGAAGCGGCGCGCCTGGAACGGGGAGTGAGACCTTCACGTGTTACTTTGGGTGTGGTGTATGGATGCATACCTCGTGGCTCGGGGTGCGATGGACCTGAGCATGTTGGAGTACCTTAACAGACGAACTGAAGAGGGAGGAAGCCTAGAGCCAATTGGATGGGAGGGAGGGTTCCTGTGGGATTGAACTCTGATAACGGGCCGAAGAGGAGGGTGGGAGGGGAAAGATTGAAGATAAGGTAAGGTAGAGTTGGAGAGAAGAATGAACTCTGAGAAAATGGATGGGAATTTGGAAACCGGGGGATAGGTATTTTGGGTTGGTGGTTTGAGAAATTCAATGCGACGAGACGGGATCTCGGGGGATCGGGAGGGGCTGCTCTGCCCACTCTGGTCTGGGGAACCTGAGAAAGCCGAGAACAGGCGGGACCTTTTACCGCTAGAGATGCTGAGGCGATGGTTTCTTCGGGGCACTGACATCAGCTGATTGCCCCTCCGTACCCCTGCCCAACTCCCTTTGTTGGACAGATGGACTCTATTGAGGTGCTGTGTGAATGGATTGTGCCTCGGCCTAAGCAGTCGACCAGAACAAAGTCTGGCGGTCCCGAGTGGACATTTCAAGTATGAATTGCATTGAGCCAAAGGGACGGAAGACACAGTCCTCTCCTGAGCTCTTCATGGGGAACATATCATGACGTCTTGTGTTTCTCTCAGTGGGCCGATGCTCTCTTGCGTATAATGGTGGTCTACATTATGCGATCCAGGGAACCCGAGGAAATGCCATGTCTCCTACTGCGTCTTCTACTTACCGAGTGTACCAAGGTACCCAGCTACATGCTTTTTTCCGGATTATCCCTCAGGCTCGAGATGTTTGATTCACCGTCCCTCACAGAACCCAAAGAATAATGCATTCTTCGTGGGCGTTCGGCTCTCGATCGTCATAGTCGAGGCGGTGCCAATACTGCCCGACGATCCTTCACCCATATACATATTGCACGGCATACGCTCGGGAGCGCAATTACAGTTCCGTGTGCGACGCGGCATCGTCAACCTCCGGCTCCGGCTCCGGGGTCCGGCCCCATTAACCCCGAGCAACCACCACCGACACCACCCGAACCCGGCAGCTTATGCCGACAAGGCCGCACCGATACACGGGCTTCTAGCCCTCTGACAGTCAGTGCTGTAAAGGCAGTCTCCCCGTTGCTACAGGACTCCTTGTTCGACGGCGCACACACAAATCTTTCCAGAAAATGTCGCCACGTCGTCAGAAAGTATGCCTCGCTTCGCCCAACGCGTTTGATCGCCCTTCATCCAGACCCTTCTTCGAGGCCTTTCTTAGGAATTACACGCCTTCAAAACCCGGACAAGGGGGATTTAGCCCAGGGGTCTGTGGCGCACAAACACCATAGCCGCCGTGACCGTTCTCCCGGGACAGCTATTCTCACCTGCTTCATCGACAACCACCCGATTTCCGGGTCCTGATACAACCATCGTGGCATCCGGGTCCCGTACCCAGACCCTCTCAAGAAGAGGACAGGGGAAAACATGCGCCAGAGTGCCACAATCGGCCTTCACTTCAACCTCTTTTACCCCGTTTTGGTCGTGCTGCGAGGCGTTGCAAGGTACAACGTGCATCAGACCCTCGGGGCCGTCCACTCACATGACCTAGGCGGCGCCGAAGCAACGGTAAATTGGAAATCTAGTTCCTCTTTTCCTTTGTCTGTGTCCCGCTGTCGTCTCCTGCAGGTTTGGCGTTTGCTGTGTTGGAGCGAGCGGCGTTGGGGATTGTTAAGTGTTCGCGCGTAGACGGCTCGTCTGATTGGTCGCGCTTGGCGACGACGAGGGGGGGCGAATATGAAAACCCCCCGTCATCGCGGCAGAGCATGTCCTGCGGTTGGTCCGATGCGTTGACTGGAACCAACAGAGCCGTCTGTGAATTGGTCTTGTCTGCAAGGAGTTTAGATATTCATATAGCTATCATGATGTCCTTCTGTGTACATGTTCTGATCGAGTGGTATTTCCTTGAGTTGTTGGTCTCTGTCTTGCTTGGATTTCCTTTGATACTACGAAATTTCTCTCTACATCTCTTTAGTTCTCTACAACCGCACTCACTTGGAGGTCACTTTTTAATCTAATCATACACAACATGGCCTCACGTAGGAGCTGGCGGAGGCTATGCATGATAACCTGGTTTATCTACACCCAGAGCTTGGTTTCCGGATTGCAAATCACGCCCCTCTCGCCGCCAACATACAACCTTTATAATGTCAACCACCAACTTACACCAAGAGCAACATCACGAGCCGACGCCAGCTGCCCCGTAAAAGGCCACACGGCCTGCGGCAACGGCCTGGCAGACTACTTTTGCTGTTCCAGCGAAACAACATGCATGGTCCTCGCAGAGAAGACCACCGCTCTGTGCTGCCCAAATGGATCTTCTTGCGACACCATCTCGCCCATCACCTGCGACGTCACCTTGCAAGATGTAATCGAGAACCCGACGAGCCCGATCCACACCACAAGACTGAAAGAGTCTCTACCACTATGCGGATTCAAGTGTTGTCCGTTTGGGTATACCTGCCGAGACGGTTCTGCCTGCGTCTTGGATGACGGCCAGGAACAAGAGGGGTCTCGGACTACGAGCACCTCAGTCTCATCTGCAAAGACAAGAACAAGGACCGCTACAAGTACGCTTTCAACAACGGCTACCCAGGCAGCGACATCGACGACAACCGTCGAGACAGTTCCAACTGCCTCGCCAACACCATCCGCAAACCCAGGCGATAACTCCCCGACCCCATCAGCAGTACCATCCCCCTCAGAAACCGAGATCCCCGCCCCCGCCGCTGCAGCCGCCTCCCCGAGAACCTCAACATCAGGCGTCATCATCGCAGGCACCACCGTCGCAGCCATCACCTCGGTAGCAGGCCTAACATGCCTCCTCTGGTTCAAGCGACGCTCCATATCCGAAACCGTCGGATCCGCAAAGTTCCCGCGCCCCTGGCAACAGCTCCGCGAGCACGGCTCGGACCAGGACGTCTCGCTGCCGCGGTATAATTCCCCGCCGCCGGCGTACGCCGTGGAGATGAAGCCGCCGTTGGCGAAGCCGTATACGTGGAAACACTACAGCCCGGACTCCTTCAGCCGCGACCGCTATGACGGCCGCGACGTTGACGACGGTAGTGTCCCTGTCCCAGTGTCCGTTGGACTTGCTCTCGCCGTGGAGTTACCCGCTACGCCGGTATCCTTTAGCCAGTGGCATGTTCGGCAGGAAGGGGAGGCGACGAGGCCGCGGTCTCATTATGAGCCCTACCGGCGTCCTTCATAATTGGGAATGTCTTTGTAAAAAAAAACCTTAGTTTTGTCTTGGGTGGTTCGGCTTTCTTCTTCGATAGATCAAAATTTGTTTTACCGTCTTTTCTTTGTGTTGTAAAGCTTGCGCTTGTCGAGCAGATACCTTTATGAGAAATATGAGACACGTTTTCTGTACACTACTACGGGATATAGGAAGGAAAATATAGAACAGGATCACGAGTTCGTTTGCCTACGAGTATGAACCAAAACCTTCTCGCGTCTTTCATGCAGATAGTGATATAGTTCGGCCCATCGTGAGAGCGATTCCAGCTGCCCCCGAGATTATATCAGTCTTAGTAAAAGCTGTTAAAGCTCAATTAGACTGCCAGAATCCAACGCGCACTACTCCAGTCATCTCGAATACCCAACATCCAGTAGAATAGACATCAGCTCGAACAGTAAGAAGAAGGGCAACCTTGGTCGCTCGGTCCCCCTTCCCCCCTCAAAATGCCTCGGCCGACGAAGGATAGAGTCATCCACGATTACACCGCAAAGATCCTCCCCAAGGCAATGATCCTCACCCTCGTCATCTTTACCGTCGTCGTCCTGGTCTACAGTATCGGCGGAAAGACCGCGGTACCGGAGGAAGCCGCGGTCTCTTTCGCCGGTATCGCCTTTGGCTTCTCGGGGCTCTGGCTGTTGGGACACCTGGTCATATACTGCCGAGGTGCGCAGGCGGTCTCGCCCCCTCCCCTGCCTCTGACAGGTATCGCGACTGGGGTCGGAGCCACGACGATGGCTGTTCCCTCCGTTCCGCAGGTTTCGCAGGTTCCCACGGCGGCTGTTGGGCTCGCGGTACCTCCAGCGGTTCTTCAACACCAGCACCAACAGCAGCATCAACATATGTATCGGCCCCAGAATAACCAACACCGGGAGTATCAGCAGCCGAATGGGTTCCCTCCGCGACTTCATAATCGCTCACAGCACCAGGATCAGTCTCACAGGGAAGTTCTGCCACCGCAGCAAGAACCGCAACTCCATTCACGACGAGAAGACGAAGTAATTGTGCAACCAGATCAGCGCGAGCAACGAGAAAGTGAGAATCGAATCTGTATGCCCGAGCAACAGAAGCGTGAACAAAAACATTGCGAGCAGCGACAGCGTCAGCAGGAACAGCGCGAGCAAGAGCAACGCAGAGATCAGCAGCAAGAGCAACAAGCCGAAGCCGAAGCGCCGGTTCAATCAGAGCAGGAGGAGCATAGAAAGGCCGAGTCCCATCGAAGACTAACAGACCATAAACCATACATCGAAGAGCCGCCTTATCCCGAGTCGGCCCCTGGACCATATGGGGGACCACAGGAAGAACTCAAGAAGCTAGCGCAGCAACGAAAAGATCAACGTAGGCAACAACAGGTAGGGAAGCAGCAGCAGCAGCAGCAGCAGCAAGAGGCACGGCTCTCTAAAGAGCAAGTTCACGACATGGCCCATTTGCAGGAGAATATATGGCCGAGACGGCCAAGCGTTCCCGGGAATCAGCCCGCTTCAGTCACAGTCCTCGGTCCTGTTCAGCAAAGACAGCAACCGAAGGGACCAAGGACTATGAAAGGGAGACCGCCCGAACCCCCTGGGCGCAGTTCCAGCCTCCAAAACTCGCTCCCTGGAACGTCGTTCCGAAGACATCGCAGCTCAAGCTTGAGTGGTTCGCAGTTTAACCAGTGCGGTCAGCCATTGAGGGGAGCATCAAATCGTTCGAGGCGTGCTCGTGATGGTTGTCCCGAAGACGGCACTGAGGCTGTCGGTGTGCGAGGTCGTTCACGAGTAGATCACGAGCGCCCAGACCCATACCAAGACATAGAGCCAGAGCCTAGGTCTGCTTCAACCAGATCGACGAGCTTGGACTCTGCCACCCGAGCATCTCTGAAGGTGAAAGTGGCCCCTGAAAGCTGGGAGAGTCCGTCATGGGCTAACTCATACCAGCCCGCTCCCTTGAACATTGCGAAAGGAGACAGGCCACCATTCGGATACGAGAGACCGATTGAACCATCAAGAGATATAGGGGACCACGCTTTTCTTCCAAGTCGACGATCCAGCCGGCTCGAATCTGATCTGCCGGGTGGAGCAGCGCAAGGCCAGGCCGGTGCCAAGATCAGGGTGCCGAGTATTCAATGTACACCTGCAACGCCACCGAGCCAGTACGCTACTACCGTTCAGCCCTCCCAAGGCGAGGTACGTGATGAATCTATTCATACTTCTGTATCCTCTTCCTCTTCTCGGTCGCCTTCCCCTCCCCGTTCAACCACCCCTTCAGCCCGACGTCCCGCTCCAAACTTTGACGATATGGGAATTCCCCTGGGACGCGAATCGACGACGCTTTGTGAAGACGCTCGTCTCTATGTCTGATTTTCAGAATTTCGTGCGTTGTTCTCTCACTTATTCTCATACCAGCTATTCTGACAGCCGTAGGAAGTCCAGTAGTTTTGTTACGGACTTTCAAACCAGTGTCGTCTTCATGCCAAAGTACAACTTCACAGCCAGTGAGCTTCTTGGGATCAAACATTGTGAAAATGCGAGTCTCCCTTTCTTACAGACATGCGGGAGAGACGAGCAGAGGGCGAAGTCTGGGGAGGAATTTGCCGACGGAGGCGATGTAGTCGTGGTCTGCAGTTCGGACGACGCGGGGCAGTGACACATCAAGCTTATGGAGTTGACACAAGCGTCCAATGACACTCAGTGATGTAAGGGAATGGAATTCTTCCGTCGGAGGACGCTTTTGCTAGATAAATATCTTTCACGCGGAAGATGGACATACTTTCCAATTTCAGAGCTGCCGTACCTCGAGTCCGTACTGGGTGTTCATAGGGGGGTTAACTAAGTCCGGGACCTCTTCCCCGCATCATTCTCTGTCCCGTCCGAAAGAACGCTTCTGACGGAGGGGCTCACTACATAGCGAGTGTTCAGTTCTTGGAGATTTGAGTTGTCATCTGCGAGTGAGGGGTAGATGGAGGCCGGAGCCCCAGGAGCCCAGAGCCGCACACCACAACCTGGGGTGCTCGACTTTTGCCCGCGTATCAAGAACCTAGCCCCAATATATTGCCAAACCCAATTGCATGAAGTATGCACGAGGGACACAGAGGTGTTCGGAGACCACGGGATTACTAATCTGTCACGTAGGAACATAGTGCAGAAATCAACCTCGAAAAGAACGGCGATTGTCGGAAACATCACAAGCCTGTCACAAACGAATCAACGCCCAACATGGCAGAACGACAGGCATCCAAAGATGCCTCATGGACCAACACGGTCTACAATCTCAACCGCGGTGACATTGACGTCGAGCGTGAGCGCCTGGCTGACAACCACTTCAAAGTCTGGCTGCCCCTAACCGTCGACCTCCTCCCTGCGCACATCCTCTCGCATCTCAAAGAAGAGAACAGAGACTGGGCCCCTCGGATTGCAGATGTGGCAACGGGAAGCGGCGTCTGGCTGACATCCCTGGCCCAGATCGTACCACAGGGCTCAGAGCTCTACGGCTTCGATCTCGACGGGCTCAAACTGCCTCAATCGCATAGATCGGAAGTGTCATTTGATTTTATGGAGCACGACGTCCTTGAGCCGTTTCCGGCAGAGCTCAGGGGCACTTTCGACCTCGTTCATGTAAGACTACTCGCCCTGGGGCTGAAGAAGGACGACTGGGACGTGGCTGTCACGAACATGCGCGAGTTGCTCGTGCCGGGCGGCTGGCTTCTGTGGGAGGACATGAGCGACCTGTTCATCAGGTTCTATCCGCTGAGCAGGGCGTATGAGGAGTTCTGGTGGGTTACTATGCAGCATGATGCGAAGGTAGGGAGGGATAGATTGTGAGTAGTTCCCACCGTCGTTGCCTTGCTTTACCTCTTTTCGCGCCGACAGTCAGGAGAACTCAATGCTCACACTTACACCAGAATGCCGATGGGCCTGCTCAAAAAGTTTCAGAAGCTTGGACTTCAAGATTGCGAGCAAAAGATCTTCAACTCGTGGGCTGCAGATGATTCCGTTCGAGATGAAGCCACCACGGGCATCATGCGTCTGATAAGACCATCGTTGACGTCCATAGTCGAAGACGGCGGGGAGGAGACGGTCAAGACGATGGAGGATGTCAGTCGCATTGAGATAGAGTTGAAGCGTGATGTGGAAGAAAAGGGGTGTCGAGTTGGCTTCAATTTCGTGTGGAACTGGGGACAGCGAGCTTGAGGTTGGGTCTAACTTACGATCTTACACTCACCTGTTAAAGAGAGGCTACTCCATCATCTCGTATCTACCTGCCTCATCTTTGGTACGCTCTGAGGATGCTTCTGAGGATGCCTCAGGTCAATAAACAAAAGGTCCCCACGACCTTTGAAATATTGAGGCGCACAGTGCCTCTGAATACTGCACGTTACCATTCTAGCCACAAGGTCTGTTTGATAGAATATACAAGGAACCGAACACACCGCAGACTTTGACTACTTCACGCGACTACCTACCATACCCTACAATCAAAAATACCACACCACTGCTCGTCGGTACCATTCATCCCGCCTCTTGAAGCACATGAAGTTCTCACGATGCTGCCGCTCGAATTGATAGGCATTTACAGGCAGTACAAGCAAGATACCGATTCATTCGCCCGATGGGTCGCCTCGACTGCCAATACCTGCGGATACCCTGCTGATCTACTATCCAACTCAGTTCCCGGGTCTGCAGAGACGTCCGAGCAGCGTCCTAAAGGCGGGCGTCTGAAGGGCAAGGAGAGAGCCAAGGCTCGCGCTGCCGGCGGAGGAAAGAAGGGATCGAATCTGGAGACAACGACAGAGACGAAATACATCATCGCCATCAAGGGCTTCCTGCCACTAGCGACCTTCATTGCCGGTCGCCAAGATCCGGCTGTTTCCGTGCCTGATGTCTTCTCTACCACAATCGATCGCATTGTCCGCCTGCGGTCTGCGTTTGCTGGTCATTTGAGCGATGGCGGAGCTCAGCCAAATTCTCAGTTCGACGAACAGCATGAATACTTCGTTGGTGTTCTGATGAAGGTTAGAGAGGCGTTACGATCTTATATGGCACATACAAAAGCAGAAGACGCCGCAGCAGATGCCGGTACAAACGCCATCAACGATGCGCCCAACGACCCGGCCAAAGATCTTGGCAACAGATTCGCTGCTTTGTCTGTTGACGAGCCGACCGAAGCATTCATCGAAGCATTCCGCAACGCGTCACATGAGAGACCGAAACCACGCGACGAAGACCCCGTCTCTTACGGATCCGAGCCCCAAAGTTCACCGGGGGATGCCATGTTTGCTGTTTCGGCTCTGGCAAACGACCTACAGAAGATCAGAGCTCAAATCAAGAGTATCTGGGTAAACCATCGTTATAGCACTCTGGATCTCGCTTCTGCTGCTGTCGCTACTACTGTAGCCACGTCTATTGCTCGTGGATTGGTCAAGGAGGTGGCGTCTTTGTTGGACGCGCAAGAAGGGGGCGTCTTCGGCTTTCTGAACGACCTCTATCTTGCGTAGTGCATCTCGAGGAGATTCGATCCATAACAGGTCCGCCTTCAAATGGACATGAACAGCTCCAACTACGACAAGTACGTCATCGTCTCACATGTCATGAACAGCTTCATCCACGCCCTTCATCCTAAAAGGCTTCCACTGATCAATGAAAAGATACTCGGCACTTACGACCCTTCTAGCAACCTTGATTCCAAGACGGGTGTAGAGAAGACGGCCGAAGATAGGATTCTTCTGATGGACTTTTTCCTGGAGCTCATTACCGTGATTCGAATGGTTCCTGAGTACCCAGTCGAGGATGAGTTCTTGCGCGAAATGAGACTTTTCGAAATGAACTCAAAGAACGTCTCCTTTTCGCTTATCTTCACTGGACAAGCCTTTCTTGACATTCATCACACGATACGTGCCGTGTCGCTACAAAGCTTGGTGGCCATGATGAATGAGCTTACGATCACGAGGAAGTCTCTAGAAACTCACCTGGAGTTCCACAAAAGCTTGGAACTCAAGACTTGGCCTACTTCAAACGACTACCGGATGCAAATTCTTTGTGCAAGAATGAGAAGAATGGATAGAGATCCGGTATACGAGGGAGAGGCTAAGGCGTACACGGAGATGGGTTTGCCTATGCCTGCGGCAATGCAGCCTCATCGCATCATGATCTACTCCCCTGTTATGGCCGGTCTCTAGCTTTTCCGCATCCGCGTTCAGGTGTATACCTACAGTTTCGCCGTCGCAAATGCTTGCGGTTCCAGCATGACTGCGGCTCACCTCTACAATGCCCTGCGTGTGGAGGACTTGATGGAGGAACCGTGGCCCGATATGCAGGTCATGATTGGCCTTCTAGGCTGCGACAATTTTTGGGCTGGAGGTAAACACCCCAGCACTACCGAACGTTGTTACCAGAAGTTCTGCCTCCAGACGGCTCTCTCAGCTGCGGCTTTCGCGACAAATCGCCGGCGTAACGCGCCTGTCACCTCACGCTCCGGGCCGCGGGGCATCAAAGAGGGCGCGCCCGTATCTTGGGCCATAACAGATGCCAAGATCTTTTCGAGTACCGATGTGGACTGGACGCCTAAGCTGCTCGACGACATTGTTGCGCGTAGCACCTATCGGCGGGAGCGCTCAGAAGATGATGACCGGCGCTTCACTCTGTCACAAATCTGCGATCCACAAGAACGTAGGGCCAGAGATCGACTTCGGCAGCAGGCCGTCAAGGCAAGGGCAGCGGGGACAGATAAGAACATGACCGGTGGTAGTCTCGCCCCCGAGAACATTACCCTGTCGCTAGTTTTAGCTCTGCACGCCGAATCTCTCGAGATGGCCTTCCCGTGGCTGTTGATGCATTGCGGCTGCTGGAGGTTCCTCCGAGCGGTAAAAGAACACTGCGATCCTTTGTTGCGGGAGCTATGCACACATGCCTCTTTGTCGAAGGAGGCCAGTTTGCATTCTGTGGTTGGCTTCATTCTCAAGGCTGCTGCGAAAGGCGTTGATGGGGGGTTGCAGGACAAGAGCCTGTTGACCACCGCGGCGGAGGTCTATAACGGCTAGCTTAGCACCAAGGCAGGCGGCAGCGAGGCAGGCAAGACGGCACTGGAGGTTGCACGTGGGTTTGGATTGACCATTGACTACGAGTTTGCCGCTTCTACTTCTATAGCGACGAGCGTCTAATTGCAGAATGAGTTGAGGGTCAGTACGTCAGGTGTCAAGGAAGGTACTGGTCATTTCACGGCATGGGAGGAACTCGGACGTTCAGAGGATTTGATATCTCATGCTGGAAGAACTTGTGTTGGAAAACAGGTGAATAATGCTATATCCCTTCGTCGAGATATATTACTCCTCGGCGATCGGGAGGGCATCAGCTCTAAGATACAGTATGCGCGGGAAGTCATACGAGTAAAGACCAATGCAATTTTACTCGAGCCTGATGAGAAATCGCAACAAGCTCGCAGTGACTGCCGCTTAGTTCCGTTTATGGCAAAGTTCTACAGTTGATCATGATGTCTCTGACTCTGCCTGTGAGTATAGCAGAGAGTTTGAGGACGTTGTTCACGAGTTGTGCTGCGTAGGCTGGTCCAAGGTCGAGTAAAGTCAACTTGTCGATGGCGAAATGTGGACTCGAGTCCGCCTGGCGATCATTTTCTAACCAAGTTTAGCTTTTCACCATCGTCATATCGAGCACAGCAACCCATGTGCATACCGCGTAGGCGTGCGGCGTACTTACACCCCATTAGTGGTCGTCACCATATGGATGTACATACATATTAACTATTAAGACGAAGTGCCTTACCCTTCTCCGTATGCGGCCCTTTAGCGTTCAGACACGCTCAATTCCAAACTGATGGTAAGATAAATCTTTCTCATAAAGCGTTTTGCCGTCGTGTGACGGGAGACTTCTGCCATGATCTCCGGGCCAACCTGCCACACAGCTGTAGACACGACCTTCGTGAAGACCGACCCGCGGAGTGAGCCCTCCCATCTGGATGTGAAGTTGGTTTCCTGGCCTCTTGGGACGGGGAAGAAATCCAGCACCTAACGACACATCTACCAAGGCAAGTTTGCATCAGTGTCAGGCAGACTCCTCTGAATGACGGTCCCGAAGATGCCGCGATCCCGCGTCCTAACTGGTTTTCTATCTGTCGTGGGTCCACCACAGAGATCCTTCTTCACGTCAACATCAGGGGATGCAAACTTGTCTCCCGAAACGAATGTGGCCCACCTTGTCTGTTTGCAATGGATTCTCCGCGGGGCCGGGACAGCTTTCGCGCTGGAGTTCTTGTTGATGGCGATGCTCTGACAGTCTGGGATAGAAGTCACAGTCCCTAGAGGAGACACTCACCCGCCAGTCTCGAGATCTTGGAGAGCTCCCCAACAGCCTATGCTGATGGACGAGGAGAAAACCGTTTGGTGAGTGCATCTCGATCTCAGTAATCAACGTTTATTGACCGTACGTCCGAGGGCACCCAAGAGCCGTCTAATATCTTGTCTTGCTGCGGTGATGAAATGTAAGGTATCCAAAGTACATCCTCAATCGTCTGCAACAAGAAACCAAACATCATCTCAATCTTTAGTTGAAAGATCCACGCACATACGGTGTCTCCTGCCCTTTTCCTTCGTTCCGTACGAAAGGTATCTAGCTGGCAATTACCACGAAGAAGCAACCACACTATAACTTATCTCACCCCCAATCCAATATTCAACATCTCGGCATCTCGAACGCTCCCAACCAAGCACCAGCACAAGCAAAAAATGGCTCTTCTTCTTTTGTATCCCAATCTCCTCCATTGGCAAGTAACACAGTCAATCAACATACAATCACCGAGAGTTCTTTTCCAGCCGCAGGGCGAAAGTCCGCCTCACCACTAGCGCGTTTGGAATTAAACCAAAAACCACACTCTTAATTTTCCGAAATCTTTTCTTATTTCTTCATCTTTTTTTTTTCTTCTTCTCCGACACCGTGGTGATGAGACATCAGGGAACGGGCCGCGGCCGCCGTTGTTGCATTTCCCACACCGAAGCTAGACATCATTTCACTTTGATCCCTCAACTTTCACCTTGCGTGCTTAAGCGGACCAAAACGTACATTTACCTAGTGACCAACTCGACGACACCAAGGCGTATAACCCCACGTAAAGGTATATTGCAACAAGAACAAACCCCATGGTCCAGGCAATATACTCACGCCAAAGCAACGACAGCGACATATGTATGTACCATCAGGGACCCTTCCCATCACCCGATACTTCCGTCACCGGGACCCAAATGATGCACGATACGCGAAAGCCATGATTTCTACAACCTGCATAATCCCCTTCAACAATGTAACACTTGAAAGCGGCGTGCAAAAGGGTACATCCCGAGATTGTGCGCAATACTGTGTGACCTCATCGTTCTGCCCAAAAAAAAAAAAAAAACACCATCCACGCGGCATCGTACATTGCTGCTCTCTCTCTGTCCCGCGATGATGGCTTAACTGCAGGATTTGGAGGGGGGTACATACACACAATATGCGGACGGGCGTGCCTGTCTACCGATGTTTGCCAGGGGTCTTTTTGCTAACCAGGTCCCTCGTCTGGCAAAACAGGAACGCGTGGTTTGCGGTAGCGGGAACGCTACGCATGGCCTACGTAGCAAACCCTCCAGATCTACTCCGACAACACCTTAGATAATTGGAGGGTCAATTTTGCTAGACCCTGACGCTCCGGCTCGCGAAGCCCGAACCAAAAGATTGGCACGACGAACCATGGCTGGCCCTGGTCACCATGCAGAGTTGGCAAAGGCCATATGACGCTACCAAGCCTCATTCGCAAAAGCCCCCACCACCAGGATATATTCCAACTTTGCCCATAACATCCATGGGCACACACAATTCCTACGTGGAAAGAAGGTTCCAGACCCTGGTTTCCAACAGCGTGTACACACCTGCACGGTGACTCTATAAAGTCGAAGAGAGGGTGGCAGGGTGGTACTTAGGTATGATGAATCGTGGTAATGGAGGGGGAAGTCAGCGATAAGCGACGTCACGGTGCAGTGTCCCCACGCAGCCCAACCCAAATACACGTTTCTGCCAAACTGCCACACGACAGACCGCAGAAGCATGGCCAGGGTTTATCAACTACCGTCGATCGCCGGGAAGAAAAGAGGTGCACTACTCCCAAAAGTAACATCCCGCAGTGTCCAACTTCGACAATATGCCATTCCTGCAGTCCGGCTCTGGACGCCGTGATACTGTTACACTGTGGCACACATGTACATGTGGCGTCGGGTAACAAGGTTGGTCTCTTCTGTACCCAATGTAGAGCGGAATGAGACTAGTCGAAGCAGCAGAAGCAATCTAGAATTGCGAGTAGTCATGCGCAAAGGAAACGGCGTGAGGAGGTTGGAAGCGAGGAGTCAGTGGATCCTTTGCCGCGTAGTGGGAGGCTGGTCGAAACGTAATGTCTCTGTCTTGTCTCTCGCGTAGTAGTTCATTGAGGCGAATTACGTCCAAGTAACAAACTGTGCGACGGCAGTCATGGATGCGGTTGGTAATGGAGTTCGATCCAATCTTTGCATTGTAGAAAAAAGCCTGACTGAATCGTTAGCTTAAGCTTGTTTCCTCCTGTACTCGAGGGAGCAGGTTTGAAGAAAGCATTCAATCCATCAAAATATGTCCAGTGACGTCGGAAAAGGTTGGTGGTTGGGCTGTTGGATGCAGTAGGTGGGGGTGTTGCAGGGATGATGTCATGTCGCCGTTTTTGCTTTTCCATCCCCCGAATGAGGTGGAGACTGCAACACCGGCGTGCCGGGCACGGTGCACCGCCGGGACCAGCACCGTCGGGCGGGGTGGAAGTAGGGGAGAATGCGGAGGCGGAGACGGCGATGCGGAGAAGCAATCGAGGAGAACCCCTACTGCTTGCCTCCGATCGGCATCGAATTTGATAAGAGGCCGTTTCAAACTAATCGAAACGGAGCTCCCTTGGAACTTTCCATCGTGCCATCGTTGAACAGTGCATGATCCATGTCTGAGTCGTGGACGGCCGGTGCCATTCGGGTCTTTGCGACGAGTGCAACCCCCCAGCGTTGGATTTATTACGGTTGAACATGTTTCGATCCGTTTCAGACCGAGACGGAGGGTCTCGCAACGCCGTAGTGCTGGCCCGTGTGTGACACGATAGACGCTTATGCCGTCATGCCTTGAACGGACACTATATCTTGCTACGGTTATTGGAGCGTGAATCGTGTCTGTTCGATGCATCGCTGCCACCTAGAGGCATATCAAACGCTCATGTTGCTGCGTTTTTGCAGGTTAGGGCTGATCGTCATCGAGGAAAAGCGTTGCATTGTGCCATACAATATCAGCAACGTCTGACCAACGATGGGATACTTGGGCAGACAGTGCAGGAAACGTCGTAAGGCTACACGTAGGATCTGAAAGAATGGAAGCTGCGCAGTCGCATGTCAGCACTGCATGAGCGTCAGCACCATAAGCTCGTTAATCGGCTACCCGAATAAGCTCACAGTATAAGCCACAGGAGAGCTGCAGATGACCTCCTATCGTCGAGGAGAGGCATCATGAGCGCATTGCCTATTGCTCACTGATGGGAGCCCTCGCGGCGTCCCCTTAGGCTAACAGCTCACCAACATTTGCCTTGTGCGGCTGACTCAGTACCGTGGGTGAACGATGCTCTTCAATGTTGAAATGCGCATACTCGGATGATCCCAATAGTTCATGGCGGTGAGATGCGTTTGATGGCCTCAGGATCTTCTCAGGAAGCGTAGACCTGGCCGCCATTCCAGATTAGTCTCGACGAGATGAGCGTCCTGAAGGCTAGGACATGGTTCGAATCCTGCGTAGTAAATTAGGCTGACTGCGCCACTGCTGGGCAACTAGCCGTAGGCAGATAACTGTGATCTTTTGTCCACCTGAAAATATCGTATTCTGATAACCCTAAATAATTTGCTCGGGTGCGCCAGAGTCTGGCCAAACCTTGAAGACTTGAGCGACCGATGAGTCGCAAGCGCTCGAGAGGATTACTGTCGAATCCGAAGCCTCAAAGTGCCATAGCCAAGACGGCGTGCATAGCCTCAACATCGGACTGCTGACATCCTATCTTGGGCTTTGTCAGCCCCCCGGCAAACACATGGCCCGTCCAAAGTCAGCATCCGAAAGAAGAGACGAAGCTGGAATTCTATCGATCCGCAAGCGAGTGGTATTTTGTTTTGTTTCTCTGCGCGTTAGCTGCAACATCAGCTATGCTGCGCCTCTCCAGCCATAGACATTGGACAACCATCTCAAGTTGGTTGAGTCGGCGCGGCCCCGGCCCCACATCGCCGGGAGATGCGCACCGAGCTATTCGCGAATCAGTCCGGTAGCATGCTTTGGATGTCTCCCGCATATACCCATTCCATGCAGCTGATAATAGTGGCGTACGGCTCATAGACATGCCGTACTGAACTATCGGCAGTCAGCAATGCCCTGCAGATTTTGGCGTTGAAACAAAACCCTATTGCATATCATGTAGCGAGTGGAAATTTCGTGATACAAGCCCGTAGCGCTCGCTTAGTACCATCCAATAGGTAAGACGACTCGGCCAGCGGCAAGAGAGATGAGACGGCTCGCCACGTAAGGCTGGCTCGAAGATAGTGCATGATACCGCATCTGTTATCAACGGAGAGCGGCAACATGGGATGGGGTTGCCGCGTCCCGAGAGGATCTTTGTTTCTGCCAGGAGCCATGCGTTGCGGGACGTGTATCATTCTCCGGATTCCGCGACGATCATACAGAGCCCGGCGCAACGGACGAGCGCCAGAGGTAGCGAGAGCTGGCAAATGCGACCCAAGGAATATGACAGCATAGATAGCCATGTGTTTCGGATCACGGCCTCCAGCAAGGGATACCGTATGGAGAAGATGCATGGCGTGCGTCGGCTGGTGAAGGCTGATCCGCTGATCTTCGAGTGAGCACTGTACTCCGTACGAATTGGATAGGATTGGTTTGGCCGCACATCAACGGCCATGCCTCCGTACTTCAAATTATCGCCGCTGGCGCACTTGACCAAGGAGAAAGGCTTTGTCGAGAACGGGCCGCTGAAGTGTCTAAGACATTCCACAGAAGCCACCTTTCGGTTCCCCGAGACCTTTCTAGAGACTGGAGGCGACTGACTCTCGACACGGTCAACCTTCCCCATCACGTGCCCAACTTTCTCTCGCCATTCCTTCGCAACAGCAGGGAAGGGTGAAAAAATGTGAAGAGGGCCGTGATACAATTTTAGAAAGTTGGGCCGGCTAGCACCTTACCATATGTGGGCTAGCATCATCTCGCATAGAGGTTGGCGTGCTTGTCGTTTTGTGGCTGGAATTCTAAGGCTGCCGCGATGCTGACCGCTGAGTGGCCCGTTGAAAAACGTTGACTTTGTGCAGGCGCCAGGCGGTGATCTGTGATGTCCAGTGGAAATGCGACTGTGGGGATGGGAGACCAAGAAGGTGTGGTTAACTCGGCCGCCATATGTCCACCAGAGCCACTTCTAGTGGGTGCGCTAGAACTGGGAGAGGTGGGCTAGTCCCATTGTGAGGGAGTGAGAGACTGAAGATGCGACCTGGCGAGCCTGTTCGGCGGGTACGGAGTACGGAGTATCGTCGTGGGTATTCATACGCGAGAGACAGTCGGTCTGAAAGCCCCGGCGGACCCTTTAACTGTGTAAGGGTGTTGGAAGGAATGGAAGGAAGAGAATGTTCGGCAGCAAGGGACAGACAGTCAAGGGACCGAGGAAGCGAGCCCGCCAGTCCGCAAAACCACCGGGTTCAGGCTCGGAGGTGGTCCGTTGCTGATGAGCCAGGCAGACAAGCCGGGCGTGATAGGTGAATGAAGAGACGAGGGCGGAGGTAGGGACACGGCGTCGAATGTGCATTCATCGTGTTGGAATTCATCGCATCTTTCGAGGCCCCCACTGAGGATGCCCTGGTCAATTTACCGTCTGCCGGCATCAGTCTGGTCTTGGGCTGGCAGCCGACAGCACATGGGCCGATGAATGGGCCAAAATGCGCCGCGCCGGAACTATGCGAGAGAGAAAAGGACCCTCTTCTCATTCCGAATCTTGATTGCTGATGGCCCGTCGCCGCCAAGCACCAGCGATGAGCCTTGCACTTCGTATCACGTCGCATAAGGTACGAATAGCGATATCACGCGCATGGCGATTTTGGGTCCTACTGCTGCCGTACCCTGTCGACAGCTCTCCGTACACTGTGTGTGTTGCTTCCGGCCAGAGACGGACGCGGTACGGCCTTGTATCTCTACGGATGCGGGTACGGGAGCATGACCCCGATCGTCTTCCGGAAAACGTTGAGCATTACCAGTTGCCAGAGACACTCTGCGCTTGCAGTCGTCCCGAAACGAATCGCCATGCGGTTGCAGGGCTTTGCTTTGGCATAATGAAGCACTTGAGCCGTCAGGAGCGTTTGGGTCAGGGCCCTTGCAAAGAAAAAACGCTGATAAGCTTGTCTCGTCCCCGATGGCTTGGGTTTGTGCGTTGCCGCACTCCCAAGCTTTAACTGACAGCTCTCGTCCAGTGACAGGCCGTGGAGCTCACAGACCCAACCTAGTGAGCGAATGACCGTCTTCCAGTCTCGACAATGTCTGTCGCAGCACATCAGACGAACAGCAGGGGGTTGCCCGTTCCCGGGGCCGTGACTGGCCCAAAGAGCTCGAGAAGCAACCCCTCGTTGCTGGAATTCGGCATGCTGGCGACGAAACACAGAAGAACAGCGTCAGCCCTTGCCCTTGAACTCACTGGCGCGCCTCAGGTTTGAGATCGTTTCTCAGACGGGCAAGGCGGCTGCAGGGCGCGAAGAAACATCTCTTCTCTCGCGTGCGCTGGCTGCAAGGGCGAGCCTTGTACTTTTTGAGGAAACATTTATCGCATGGCGCTGCACGCTTGACCTGCTGGCGCACACAACCCCATCATTGGCATTCCCCTCAGCGGCAGAGAGAGAAAGGCGAGACGGTTGGGGCGAACTGAATTGCTTGCGATGGCCAGGCGGCGGAGGAGACGAGACAAAATGTCGGTCTGGGATTTGTGAGGCAAAGAAGGGGAAAAAAAAAAAAGGATTTATCCCGCATCTGGCGTCTTAGGGATACGGCGGAGAAAAGAACTGGAACCGTTGTTCACGATGTGATTCGTGCATCCCGTAGGGAATCTGCCGACCGAACGTGGTGTCACTTTGACGATGCAACGCTCTGTGCCTCGCATCTGTCCAGTGAGATGTCGGCACCCTCTTCGCTTCCTGTGAGACAAGCCGTTTTTTTTTTTTTTTGCTCTTGAAGCTTCCCTTTTCCAGCACTTGCATCGCAATCGCGCGGCACGGTGCAGCAGGTATCAGTCCAGATCGTGGGCCAGAGTATCGAATGTCTACGGCGACCTTTAGAGGGCGAAGCACACACATGCTGCGTGCCATCAGAGTTCCACACCATTGAAGCATCTTGATATTGTTCCACGGCCACATGATGGCGCGGAGGCGGTGGAGCGTCTTTTGATAGATGCGCGCCGGACAAACAATAACGTCGTTGTTGTCGGTCGATCTTGGCTTCCGGGCGCCATTCCCGGAAGAGATCGGCCGGGCCATTGCGAAATCGCACTTGCGGCCCTCCACCTGACCCCTTCATGTTAACAGACAGATTGCATCTTGATTGCGTCCGATACGGTATCTCGTTGTCGTCGTCGGCCTCATTTTAAAGTAGATGGATTCTCCCCCAGAAAAGCTCGGTCTGTCCGCAGACCATGGCCCTGGAGGCTGGGCAGGCCAGGTCCAAGGGTGTTGGTCCGTTTGGACCACGGGTTCGTGATGCTTCTTTTTTTCTCTGGCACACTCGCGTACATGCAGATGTGCGTTATCATGGATTGCCAGGGCGGAGGGGGTTACCTCGCCCAGGCCTGCACTTCGATGATGGCCCGTCCTTGGTACCCTGCCGTGCCCTGCACAGCCTGTAGCCGGAGAGCGAGGAGCCAAGACATGTTCCGCCGTGAGCCCGAAACATTGGAATTGTTTCTCCCTTTTCTCGGGATCGAATTGACTTGCTCCCTTTCAGTTCCAGCGGCGGGAGCGAGAGCATCCGTCGGGTCGCATGAGAAAAATCTAGGAGGACGTTTTCATGCGGGCGGGAAGAGGGTCCCTAACGCAGACGGGACTGGACGAGCAGCATTTGGCTCCGACGGCCGTTTCTGGTGGTCCGACAGAAGGCGGTTGCCGGCGGCCCCTAAGACGGCGAAGGGGCGTCGGGCCCAATCAGCCATCTGGAGGCCCCTACGGTCTACCAAAAGGTGGAAGATGCCTCCAATCACGAAGACGGTCGAGGTGGACGTGGACGCAGACGCTTGCGTTCTTGTCTTTGCCCTTGGGCTGAGGAACGCTTTTCCTTGGCCGTCGAGTGACCCCAAGATGTCGTCCCTTTGGACAGCGAAGTCGACCCCTGCCACCGCCTCGTCTGGTGGTGTGGAGTTTGCTGCTGTGGTCGTGGGTGTGACCAACCCCCCGGTCGACTGCGAGAGCGACAACTTGACAAGAGGTGTGGGGTGTTTTGGCGCTGGGAAACGTCGACAAGCAGGGAAAAGCGAACGAGGCTCATGATGGATGACGAAGAGTGCAGTAGGTACTTTGTAGGCAACATGCCTCGCTGCGGCTATTACAAGTCAAGATGGTGATGTCTACCAGCGTGCCAGTCAAGTTGTGGAGGGCACAGTAAGATGCCGGCCACCAGATGTGATGAAAGGTGAGCGGCGTCAGCCTGGTGGTTGAAGGAGGTTGAGCAGATGACAGCATGGGCTGAAGTGCCGGCGATTAGGCTGGACAAAGTTTCCACACACTCGTTCCTCCCTCCAATCCACAGCGACGAGACTATCGTGAGGGCCATAACCGTGGCCGTGGGTAGGGCGGCTTGGTCGGTTTCGTCTCTCGTCAGTCTCGGTGACCCCTCGCATCGGCAGACTCGCCTTTCTACTCGAGTGCTAAGAAAACGCCATGCCTCATGGAGGTGATAGCCTAATGGAGACATCTGAAGGGGTGATGGCAAAGCCGCGACGCCCGTCTGGACGAGTTGCAATGTGCGGCGCGGTACAAAGTATCGCAGATGGCATTCGGTCGTCAGTAGCACCCTTTTACATGAAACGACACACTTTAGAGGCAATCCTCGCAGCAGCGCGTGGTCGGGATGGTATAGTGCTGCAAGTAGAAAATGCGGTTGTGAAGCAGAGTGACAGAGATGGCCAAGGCTGGACAGCGCGGTCCTGACCTGAAGGGCGAATTAGAGTGTGGAGCCGTAGATTGTGCAGTCAATGATGAAGGGGCACGGCGTAGGAGATGTGCCAGGTGTGGCCCGTGTGGGTAGCGTCTGTGATGCAAAGTGTGGTGGTGTGTGTGCCTGGTGCTGGTGCTGGTGCTGGTGTGTGGTGTGTGGTGTTTGGTGTTTGGCTTCAGGAGGAGTGGTAGAGGGGGTACGAAGCATTTCGCGGATGGGCGTGGGAGGGAGAGGCGTCTATCCGTAGGAGGTCCTCCGTAACCCGTTCGTCGTTACTTCGTACTCCGTACTCCGTCCCCCATGCCACCATCGTCATGTGGTGGGAGAGAGAGAGCATGGCCGTGATTGTACGCTCGACGTAAGGTTTGGTGCGGACACCCCATGGACAGGTTGAGAGATTGACGGAGAGCTAGGTAATTAAGGTGAGCAGTACGGACATACTCACAGCCATTGATTGAGCCACATCGCGCACGAGGTGACTGAGCGCTCTGGTTGATGGTACTCGGGAGAGGTAGGGTTGAGTGGTGGATTGCAAAGAGAAAATGCCTTAGGTAAGATGCGAGATGGTAAGGTGTCGATGGCTCGAGTCTTTGACGGGAGGGTAGGTACGTACCTCATCTTGCAGAGTGGATACCTACTGAACAGGCACCTGGCGAGGTACCTTGGGTTGAAGGAGGAGCGACAGGGACTAGCGGGGGCTTGACCTCCCAGCCCCTACCTCGCTTTCTCTCGCTGGCGCTGCTGCCACAAAAGCCCCCCGGTACATTGTACTGTGCCAACTGAAATCGTCGACACTGCGTCCCCGTACCCAAGTGGATCCCGTTCAGGATGAGGGCCTGACCGGGATCGGGACTAGGGGGCAGGCCAGGATCAGGACATGGGACTTGGTGGACATGGACTTGGGTGCAAGTGCACATTGCACTTCCATTGCAGGAGCATCTTGGTGTCTGTCCGGCTCTGTCTCTTGTCTATCTGGCGCCTTGCAGTGCCATCTGTGCTCTCTCTCTCTCTCTCTGTCTATCTCAATCTTGACTTTTCTCTCTCTCTCCACGGAGTGTCAACCTGTCGAATCCCACACCCCTCCCCCCCTGGCTACCTAATTGGAGCCCCCCCCCCATTCAGAGGTTACTTTGTACTTCGTACCCCCCGTCCCTTTATGTGAGTCCACCCGAACAGAACATATCCCATCCCGTCCCCAACCCGTCCAAGTCTGCTGTGTGCCTGACCGACCCGGCCATAGATATATACTCCTCTGCCCTCCCACCTCACACCCCTAGGTGCTTCTTGCTCTTTCTTTTGCTTCACCAAACGAGTAACTCTGCTTTACCCCTACTTCAGAATATCTTCTCAATTCCCAAGCCCATCAGGCCTGGACACTTACACCACCAAACTACCTGCTAGTCAGCTGCCACTATTCGCTGTAGACCAGCTGCAACTGCGAGAAGAGTCGACTGAAACCGCCCAGTCTCAGATTTCCTCGAGGGAGATCGCGAACTTCACGTCACCGCCAACCATGTCTCTGGCCGGCCAGACTATGCCCGTAAGGGAGTCGGTACATTCCAGCCGAGAGGACCGTGTTACCTCCACCATCACAGACAAGAAGGATCAGCAGTCACAAAGGACCTCTTATAGAGACTCGCTTCCCAACGCACCACGACCATCCGTCCAAAACGACGACGCCCCGAACGAGAACGAAAACGCAAAGATGTACGGCGACTACTACGAAGAGATGACGGGCCCTTCCCCCAAGAAGGCCCAACCCACCCAAACAGCACCAGCACTACCAGCCAAGAGCTCCCTGAGAGCTTCGAGACTTCTCGACGGCATGGCCCTCAAGATCATCACAAACCAACCCACACAAGCAGCACCCCAAGAAGTCTACCTCTCTTCCGAAGAAGAGGCATCCTCCTCCGCCGATGAGTTTTCAGACTACGATTACGAGTCCGAGAGCGCAGAGTCCGCCGACTCCCCCGTCCGCAGGAAGAGCCAAGAAGACACTGCCCGCGTCGTGTCCGTCGTCTTCGCCGGAAAGCCCTCCATTATCGACCTCCCCTCTACCAGAAGGTCCGCCTCGCCCGAGTCTATGGAGTCCAGCAGGCCACCGAGTCGCCTGGTCATCTCATCAACGGCGCCCTCATTGCGTAGGATGTCTACCTCCTCCACCAGCGGCGCCTCTTTCTCTCCCGTCTTCCACCCACCCAGGTCTAGCAGCATGATGATCACCAGCAGCATGCTACCCAAGGAGAAGCCTTCTTTCCTCAGCATCGACCCCTATGCCAGCAAGCCTCTCGATGAGCGGGCCGAGGAGCAACAAGTGGAGGCTGAGAGGCCCGAGAGACCCAAGACTCCCACTTCTCAACTATTTAAGAGGACTCTCAGCATTGTCCGCAAGCGCAGCCGTCCTCAGCTTAGAGACCTCGCTGCCAACAACTCCTCCCGCGATCGCCTGTCTTCACCATCACTGGGACACCTCCCCTTGTCGGCGCATGCCGACATCACGGAAGAGCCCGAGCAAAAGGCACCTTGGTCCGCAGTCAGCTACCACGATATCATGCGTGCGGCCAAGAAGAACGCGCAAAACCAGCCCCCGACCCCATCCACCCCCGTCGCTCAGGTGCAATCGCCTAGCTCACCGGCGGGTAACACTCGGAGCCGAATTCTCAGCGGCTTCACCAACCGCAGAAAGAGCATCAAGATTGGCTAGTCACTGCTCACCCACCAAAGAAAAAAAAAACACCAAAAAACCAAACACAAAAGACACATCCGACACACAACTGCAGAGCACTTTACTTGCATCACTTTTTTTTGCATTCGGGTTGGGACCATTTGCTTTGCATGCACGGCGCACGAACGGGGACCGGAACTGGATCACGGCGTTTCACATTGACCCTCGGGTTACGGATTGGGCTCGGCCAACACTCCTTTCTTCAATTGGCGCAGGGCTATCTTGTCTTTTTTTTCTTTTTCAATAACGACGACACGAATTTCTTTGCGTGTACAAGCGGGGTCGAAGTAATGTGTAAAGCAACAGTGTAGAGAGAAGAGGGACCAAAAGCCGCAAGACATACAACAAAACTGTATGGTCACTGGGCAATGTACCAAAAAAGGGACGGGGAATAGGCACGCCTGAGAGCGATGGCCTTACAACCGGGCAGCCGAATCGGCCACACCCCTCCGCGAGGCTTCGGGGGTGGCGCGGGCTAGTAGACAAACCAATCAATGATACCAACAACAATGTCCTATCTGTTGAACGATTTCGTGCAACAACTGCCTGCTTCTCGTGACGTGATTATTTGCACCATTTGTATGGATTATGAGTAACATCCGTACGGAGTACGTGTTGGGGAATAGCAACCGGCGAACGGTATCCCCATGCAGCCCGGCTGCGTCGCAGCTCGGTCCCCTGCAGTGGCATCTGACGAACCGGCTCCCCAAGCTTTCGGTTTCGGCCTCTTTTTTTTTTTTTTTTTTTTTTTTTTTGGAACGGCCATTGTTGTCACTGCCGTCGCTATTGTGTGCGTATGTGTCTATGTGTAAGGAAAGGTATGTGAGCGGAATGGGCCATGTGTTTGGAATGCGGCTCAGGGTACTCCGGACGACCCGACGGCCAAACTTTGGGCAACAATATTATTGACGCCGACGGCGGAAACATCGCAAACGAAAACCGACAATTGCGACGACGTCTTCGCTATGACGCTGAATGGGAACTATGGGTAGCTTCCCAAGTTACTTCATCGACTCATGACCCCCCCCTCCTGATCTATTCCAGCGCCGACAAAGTCTTGGACAACTCGTGGTCCCTGCGTCCAAAGTTTCTTTTTTTTTTTGTTCTATTTTCTAAGCCGGGGGAGGGGGGAGGTTCTGTCTACGTGAGGTGATGAAGCCTCTTGGGCCCCCTTGCCTCTGTGGAAGCAATACTGTCAACGCCTGGGCCCTATATGTGCGCTATGTATGTCTTACACGCGCGCCAAATACACTACAAACCCCGCACCTCGCCTCTGTCTTCGAGGCTTGGGAGGTGGTGGCCTCGTGAGGGTGCGTGTGTGTATGTGTGTGCGGCAGATAGATGGTATCATGGGTTGCGGCTGGAAGAGTACGTCAATGGGATAAGGTAGGGGGTACGTTAGTATAGGTTGGCCTCTTGCGAACTACGTTGACGGTGGCGAAGGGAAGTCTGTGCTGAAGGGTGGTTACTGGAATACCTGGTTGCGAGAGTTTTGAATCGAGAATCGATAGATTGGGTGTTCCATCTTCGCCATCAAAGTCGTAGCTTTCTTTGGGAACAGGTTTCTGAAGGAGTGTGGTGGTGATGATGCGAGGCTTTGATTGGGGGGTTGAGATTCCCGACTAGGATGCGAGTTCTAAAATAGCCACATTTTTCGTGAGGCTGTTTTTCAAGAGGTTAAAAGAGGTACCTAGGTTTTCGCCTCTTCCGTAGAAAGTGGGGACATGTTGTACCAGAACCATACCCCGGTCCCGTCTCTTCAAAGTTCATCTTCAGGTCCCACGGGGCGGAATTTGTAGAGAATCCCCCCCCCCACTTTTCAGAGGAAAAGCCTTGGCGATGTATGGTATGTGGGAGGAAGAAGAGGTTGAATATGTCCTATTGCCTGCGACATATCCGTAGTTGTCCAGTCACTATTATTACTGACGATCGAATCTGTTTAATGGCAAGCAGGGTGCGGTGTGGCTGAAGGCGGTGGTACGTCAATTGCAACGTGGAGTCCATGCAGTAACGTTGTCGTTTAGTTTATTTTCTTCTTGTTCCCGTCTACATGGCGTTTTCTAATTCTCTCGCTTGCTTCTGGGGGGGGGGGGGGGGGCTTGCTGCGGACGAGAAGGTCGAAAGAGGAATCGTGACCCCGGTATCGCGATGCAGGCAGGCTCTCATTGAGTAGGACGGAAAAAAAAATATTGTAAAGAAACACGTCGTCGTTGTCGTCGACCGCCTCAACGATCCACTTGCCTGCACAGTACCTACAGGAGAATTACTTGTCAGGAAAAAGATGGAGACTTAGACGGGAGAAAGGAGGACGGGAAGAAAAAAGAAAATGGACAGATAAAAAGGACCCCACTATCCCACCGTCAGCCGTCCATCGCCCACCGCCATTATCCGCGCCAGGCGCCTGTCGCATTCTCCGCTTTGCTGCAGTGTGCAGTTGTTGCCGTTGCAGTTCTTGCGGATGCGGCCCCCCCCCTGTGGTCGCGCAGAATGTATTGATATGGGATCATTGGATGGTTTTTTTTCTCTGGTTCTTGGCTGTATTGTTTTTCTCCCACTGTGAGGAAGTGTCTTTTGACGACATTGCCTATCTTGTCTCTGTCTCTGGCCATGACGCATGCTTCTTTGAAACGTTGAAGATAGTGTCATAGTCTGAGAATTAAGACTCTTCTACCATTATGATTCACGGTGATATCGGACAAATCCCCCCCACCCATTGCCATCGAGTAAACTTTTCCAGAGATGGTGGCTTGTGGTCGGGAGGTGTTCGTGGTAAGGCAGATATCAGGTCACACGTGGGGTCCGGCCGCTGAAGGAAATCCTGCTTTTTGCTTCGCGCACGGTGATTGGTCCGTCGACTTTAGGTCGGAAGAATTGGATACGGATGCCTTCAAGAGAGATCTACCTAGAGCCTGAAGACGCAGTGCACCCAGAGAACCATTTCAATCTTGCCGCGCTTCGTCATTAAATCATTTCGGATTGAAGCCCAAGGACTCATTCTTCAGGAGAAAAGAGGACGAAGAAAAGGGTTCACTGTTCCTATGGTTTGGCGAAATTTTCTCGTCATCTCCCGGGAATTTCAAGGTTGCGTTGTTGCGATCGAGACAGGTTTGCACTGTCGCAGTACTAAAAGTAGGGTAGGGAGCACATTTCGGCAATCGTTCTTTTTGGTCCAAGGTAGTTGGTCACACGCAGTCGCTCGCCCATCCATTCGGGTTTCTGGTTCGCCTGCCATCGTCACAGACGTCTTGGATCGCGAGAACGGGGGATAGAACAGGTTGGGTATACCGTATGACAGCCCCGATCCCAGATTCCCGGCGCAAGGCGTGCAAGTGTGCGTGTGTAAGCGTGGTACGTGTAAAGTAACCTCGAGTGTAACGCAGACGGCGGCGGCGGCGGCGGCGGAGAATGGGGAACGACGGGGACAGGGACCAGCTCACAACTTTTCCGTCTTTTTCCCTTTCTTTTCGCTTGTTCTCATCCGTTCCAATGTAACCTCCAAACGCCGGGTGCGTGGGCGATGGAGCACCGTACGCGATGATTGAGAATCAAGTATGCGCTGTTGAGCGCAACACGGCAGGGTCTTGCATGCTTTCAAACCCGTCGAGACTTGACGGGACGTTCCCACTCTATCGGAGCTTACCTAATGTGTGGGTGCGTAAGGGACATTGCACCAGGAATGCTTGTTAGCTAAGCTGAAGAGCTGAAGACGTACGTTGGTATCCCTCAGCCACAATCATCCCGGTTCACTTGTAAGCATATAACACGCCGGTGCTAAAGCTATATTACCTTTTTCTGGACCGAAACCCGCAATGAGAGACGTGTCGGAGCCTGAGCTGGGAGGGGCGGGCTGGAGCGGTGCGCGACGGCCGGCCGAGTTCTAGGCTTCCCGGCGCTTTGCGGGCTTGCGGGCCACACCCGTCGAAGCCATGTGGGTTGAACTCCGGGAACATCGTGGCAAAAAAAAGATGAAACCTCAAGAACCTTGGTACCTTGGTGAACTTGGGACTCTGCGGCTGAGATGTCTATCCACAAACCACTTTATACATTCCTGCACTGTCTTTTGGCTGCGTCTAATTTTTCCCCCCGGGTTCCGCGTCCTTGAAGCAAGCTCGTTACACGTGTAAGATCCGGGCCCCGAAATAGTGTTTATAAACAGTAGTTTATTCCAGACAGACGGCGCTCAGTTTAGCATTGTAAGTGCCTGGGATTACCTAAGGTCAGTTAGTAACTCAGTTATGGGGGCATATGCCAATACGAACCTTTGTTTGAAGTTGAGCAGAACAAGTCAGAATCAAATCAGATACTTGGTAGCCGCGCACTATACGCGAAGCTGCCGGTTCGGCTTCGGCGCCGTAAGTGACGTGAGGCTTAGGTTGCAATTTGCACTCACACCCCATCCCGGAGTCTTTTTGCCGTTCGGTGCTGTTTGTTCGTCGGGGGTGTGTAAGTTTTGTAGAGCCGTTGTGCGACTCCGAACATCATTGGCTTAACTCAACGTCAGCGATTCTTTTTCATTCCTCTTTTTGGAAAGGAAACCACCGTCCTGTGATGTCTTGCCGATCCCGTTGCGAACGAAAAAAAGAATTGATGGCGTTGGAACAGGAACCCGAAGATCTAACCATGCCGAATGGGTTGCAAACGGCTTTTCTTCCCATAGCCGGAACACCGACCACCGGCCCGGACGCGACTACCGTACCTACCTGTCTGACCTGCTTGTGCCGTTGCCGTTGCCGGGAGGTTTGGTCACGCAAGCCCCGGAGATGGTGATGATCGCCCCCCTCCTCACCCTGATCGTTGATGGTGCACAGTCGCACACACACACACACACACACACACACACACACACACACCCCTCCGCCAATCTGGCAATCTTGGAGTTCGCATGCACGTTTGTGCGACGTTGGCTTTCTCTAGCGCCGCTTTCTTGGTTGGATTCACCCATTATGATCATCGAGTTGCGAGCAAACTACCGCTAAAGTAGTGAATCCGGGGATTCGCCTGCTTACTTTTCAGATTGTGCTTCTGGGATGATGGTTGAGTTTAGATGAGCACTGTGAAGACAACCAAGGACAATCCCAGCTATGAAGGATAGGCTCCGGATTCCAAGGAAATTCGTTTGCTGTCTCTCTATCCGTATCGTTTAATCAATCGCAGAGCACTATGGTCACCACGGGTTCTAGCTTTCGTCCTGGCTTTCCCTGGCATCACCAAAATAGATTGAGACCACCAATACTTAACAATGACTAGATTTATCGTGTTTTTCCGTTTGCGTTCATTATGCGAGCGGGACGAGGCGCGGGGAGGCGAACAACGTTGGGCGATTTTGATGATGCCATCACCCATGGAAGGGGGTGTGTGCGTGTGTGACTGACGTTTTGATAGGCGACGCCGAACCAAAGTCACGCGGGTTTTAAGCTTTCGACATGTATCTCAAACATCTGGCGATCTTTCTTTAGAAGATTTGCAATCTGCAGATACGACGCTGTGGTCTTGTGCTGGATTACATAAACCGCCAGACGCAACGCACTTACACCCCCCACCCCCAACAACCCCTCCTCTTGATTCACGACTCAAGCTTCGGCTTCGCAAATTTGGGCAGACAAAGACTCCAACCTGCCGAGGCTCGCGATAATGTAGATATGTGGCCGTTGATAGATGCTTTCCATCTTGCTATTTCCGGCGCTTCCTGCACAAAAAGTCAATTGAGGACGGACAGATGAAGTAGAGGCAGCGGAACTCAAAAAAGAAGAAGACGAAGGCGTCGCCAAGCAGGAACCACTCGTCTCGATCAAAGTTGATTAAGAAATTCTTGGCCTCGTCGGTTTGCCCGCAAATTTAACTAGGCCATAGGAAAAAACCACCTATTCCTGAATCCTAGCCCCCACCCGGGACCAAACCCCACATCCTATCTATGCAATCAATCTGAAGCAGCAAGAATTCGAAATCACCAAACACCGTTCCCGTTCAAGCTAATCAGATTATCAGCCTTCAGTGCTGGGGTCGTCCCGGGAGCGACACGCACCGCAAGAAACACGCATCCTGCGATCACGCGATTCCCAAAGAGGGAAGCGGAGCCAAAGAGTTTCGCACAGAATTAACCACCCACCGCGAAGCTACCTACCCACTACCTACCTTACACCTCAAAAAGTCACGGGCCGTTTCGCCGCAATTTCTCGTCATTGTGAATTAGGCTAGAAGCCTGCTAGACTTCTAGCTAGTCGGCGATAGATATATTGTGCAAATTTAGCGGCGTAACCAGAAAAGAGCCTCACGAAGTGGTGGAAGCCTCGGAACGAAGGCACTACCTCGCCGTCTTGAAATTGCAAAACGCGTCTTGGCGTCGTGCGAGGTAGATTCTGATCCGCGGGCGGAGCGGGGGGGGGGGGGGGGTTCGTTTGCCTCTCTCTCACTCTTTCTCGAGTCTCACTCTTCACTTCTCAACACCAGTGGGAGCTCTAAAATGAGGTTCCATTCGGGAACCCTGGGGATGGCAGATACTCATCGTTCATGATCCCAGCCTTATTGTGGACTCCGTTGATCCCGTCCTCCGTGCCATTGCCACCCATCTTTTCCCCCTTCACCGCCGCCTCCCCGCGATTCTTTAACATTGCGATGTTCATGAGTCCGAGTGTGATGGCGTACTTTGCCGTGCGACACAAGGTAAGGCGAGGGAAGCACCCCCCCTCCTTCAAAGAAGACCCTGACTTTGTCATATCATCGACGTCGGGATGTCGCGGCTGTTGATCTCTCTCCCTCTCTGTGTGCAAGGCAAAGCAAGGTACTCCGTATACGTTTTTCTCGCGCTTTGACCGAGTGGAATTACTAACTAGACCCTCTTTCTTCATCATGGGGAATTTTCGCGGTGATCTGTCTTGTTCGTTGTCGCGTTGGCTCTGTGGCTCTATGGATACTCTAGTGTACGGCCGCACGAATATCCGGTCCTTAGTCAGAGTTCAGAGTCGAAGAGGACCCAGGAAGATGCCAAACCCGAGTCAAGAAGCAGACACGGACCATCGTGCTGGGATGGCAAGTCAGCGTTCGTTTCGTTTGGCATCCCGTCATCTCATCTCAGCACTGGGCAACCCAGAGTCAGTGAGCCTTGCCTGCGGGTGTTGTGCATCTCTAGCGGCGATTTGTACGTATGTGCGCGCGTGTGTGTACGAATATGTGCCCCTTGCGTCTTTGTCTGTGTGCGAATGTGAGGGTGAGAGTTTTACTTCTCTGGGGAACAGAGAGAGAGAGAGAGGGAGAGAGAGAGAGAGAGGGAGAGAGAGAGAGAGGACGCTCAAACATTAGTCCTTGGTGAAGCTTCCAGCCAACGGGCTTACATCGATTGTCTTGAACCTCTGACTCTCTGTCCAGCAAACCAAGAAATGGGGCACGACATGAGCGGTCTGCACTGCAATTCTGCAGAGCTTTCCTCGAGCTTGGATGTAAACGTCAACGGATCACATTCCCGACGCGTTTCCCATTTGCGTTTCTTCCCGTCCCATAGTTCCATACAGTCTATTCGTAGGTATCCGTATAGAACACACCCCCTCCCATGTCGTTCTCCATTGCCTCCCCCAAAGAAAAGAAGAAAAAAACACAGCTTCCCCTTGTCGTTGCCCCCGATTTCCTCGCCATTTCTTTTTCCATCAGCCGTCAAAAACGTCGTTACCGCAGATACATGAGTCCTCTATCCTTGCGCCCGTGTGGGGAGGACAGGAATAAGAGCGACAAGGAAGCATACTACGTAGAGAGAGCTCTGAGAGAGGAACCCACACAGTGAAGAAGGCTAAGAAGACCTCGGGCGGACGAACCCAGGTACGACAGGGGACCGGGGGTTGAACCATGAGATCTCCATACAGTGCCTCTCGCTTCGTGTCGCTCACCGACTTGCAGATCTACGATTTCCTCCGTCTTCCGGTCGTGAGAAGCTCTGAGAGTGGCTGAAGGCGAAGAGGCAATGGGTGGCAGGTGCTTGGCGGTGTGCTCCCTGGTGTGTCTGCTCATTTCGCTTTGCTCTCTGAACAGAGCTAGGTTGGACTGGGGGTTCTGGCGTCGCAGGTTGAGCAGTCCACATGGGGGAGGGCACTGGAGGAATTATACCTGCATTGCATTGTGGGGTCCAAGACATCCAAAGTCAGGTCAGCCGCCTAGGATGGACCCCTGGATCTATGTGTATGTGTGTATTCTCTTCCGTTCGTCTCTTGTTCTTCCCGCGCCCCCATTTCCAAATTCCGATGGTTTGTGGCCCCCGCAACACGAACATTGGCCGGGTTGACCGTGGGCGGGAATGAAGATGGGATGGGTGGTCATGGATATTTCAAGAAACTGATCAGTCATCCAGCAGACGTCGGACGACGAACCACTTGGCACTGCAGACGCGGGAGAGTGGCACACGCAGATTGACAGGTTTCGAATCGCCAAGCTATATCCGTAATCGTACCTTTTTACAGAGTCGTACTCCGTATATAATATAGAGAGCAGCGTCGCAACCGTACTTGGCCGAGCCTGTACCTGCAGAACGCGCCATGCACGCTGCACCCGCCCTCCACTCATTTAGAACTCCCAGTCTTTTTTCCCCTCCCCATCTCGGGAACACCCCCCAGTCGACATCTGTTTCATCTTCATCTTTTCGTCGTTCGACTCTATCTATCACGATACTCAAAAGAGTAACTCGACTTTGGTGGGACCCGTTCAACGGTGATGGAGGAGCCGAGCAGCGAGGTCCATCGAGCTCCATCCCCATCTGCACGACATTGCAGGAACAAGGAAACTTTTTTTCTTCCCGTCCACGGCCGAACAATGACACGACGTTTCTTAGGTTGATGTCCACACTGTCTGCCGTCGTGTTCATTGCTTCGTTTGATTTGATTTTGGGTTTTCTCGAGCTCCATCGCACGAACTCGGCCGAGGTCCCTTCATCCTTCAAGAGTCGTAATGCAGTTCTTCGTGGAGACAAGATGTCAAAATGTGCCGTGCTTAATGGAGTCGCTAGGGGGACAAAGCGACATAATCCCATCAGAATCGAAAGATGCGAGATAACATCAGCCAATGTCGACGTCTGCCTCACATAGACTCGCCCACCGGGAGGAGCCACCAATCATTTCCCAACAAGCAGGGCATTTCGGCTTTTCCCTCTCGCTAGTTACCTTACCTCGCATCACATCTCCTTGCCGTCCCGTCTTTAGTCGTCGTCGTTATCATCTCAGCCTTGCATTGCATCGCATCCATGATCCGCACATCCACCGAAGATTGTGACAATAACAAGGACTGTCCACTGCCAGGACAGAATGTACCTCACAGCGCCATGTCATTGTCAGATCAGGTCTTGGGAAGGAAAAGCCTCTCCCCCAAGCCCTTGAGCCTCCAAGTCTTGGCCCCCTTTGGCCCCCTTCCAACGCGTCGGCCTCTGTATCCCCATCCGGACCTGCATCTCCTTCGACTCCCCTGCAAACGGTCAGAAAAGTCGCCCACGCCTCCACAACCCAAAAGAAGACAGACAGGCAAATGGGGGGGGGGGGGAGAAATAAGGGGATGGATGCAGAGTCACGCATACATGGACAAAAAAGGGGTATGCATTCGGTGCAACAGTAGCGAGCCAACAGCCGCGTTTCTCCCACCCGTTCCCCAGACCTACATGCCTCAGCTTCCCTGAAGGAAACTTAATGCGTGCCCGTTAAGATCGTCTTCAGGTTCTCTCGCCCCCGCGACGTAGAGTCGCACCGGCCAACGGGATAGGTCAGTTTGCACCTCTTCCCTCCTCGTGCTCCTCCACCCCTCCGGCTCGTCCACTTTGCACCTATCAGCGTCCGCACCGACTAGGTATCTTCCCCTCCCCTCCGCACCCCGTACCGGCCAACCGCCGGACCAAGAAGAATTAGTGGGCCCCCCGTCCCCGTCCCCGATCTCTAGTCCTCTCCTTTCGGTACCCCTTTTCCCACCTCACACTTAATACCTTGGGTCCTTGAGATATCATGTGTGCCAACGGTCACGCATCAGCACACCCGCGCTACAGATCCAACTATCCCTTAGCTCCATTGCGACCGCCAGCCAACAAGGTCCTCATGAAGCCATGGGAAAGGAGGGTACTTGCCCTCAAGTGCGTGTACTGTGCCTTAGCATGCTCATCTGTACACTACTACGGGAGGCTAGAGGCTCGCTAGCCTCACGCCCGTCGCCAGTTTGCGACGCTGGCGCATACTGGAAAGCGTGGTCACGAAGAGAGAGCCACCAGCCGCCGCCAAAAGAAGAATTGTGCGACGCAAGCGTCCAGAGCTCCCCAGCTCAGCACCACCACGCCCCCAGGTTGGTCCAGATTTTAGACAGCCAAACAGCTTACAGATTTTCCCACCGTCCATACTTTTTTTTTTCTTGCTGCTCGCCCGTTGCTCTTATCCGGCAGCTCGGGAAGCTCTTAACTGCTGGTTGCGGGGGCACACAACCAAAATCTCCAAGCCACCCAGTCTTTGGTCTCCCAGCCAGCCTCTCTCTCTCTCTATCCCCCCAATAGGAAAAAGGTGTTGGTAGCTCTTCTAGCTGAAAGCCTTCTTTTTTCCTTCCACGCGTTTGAATCCAACTCGTCGCGACTCAGCTGGGTCGTCGGGCCAGAACCCTGCATTAGTCGCGATTCTCTCCGCCGATGGCTCAACTTTGAATGAGGCACACTTTGCACCACATGTCGTGGCTGTGGCATGGCTGGGGGAGTTTGGTGTGATGCCGGGACAGTTGTTGTGTGACCTGATGGCTGGGAGCGGGTCGACGAGGACCCTCGTGCCCGTGATCCTTTGATGCTCGTGCGAGACATGGCAGTTTGCTACCTACGACTTTCCCAACTTCTCGTCCCAGAACACCGGAATCTGGGAAAGGGGGCTTTAGAGAGAGTGACGCCTGACTCGAAACGGGACTTTCACAATTCTCTCCCAGTCACCCATTGCTTCGTAGGTGTTGGACGGATTTACGGGCGGAGATTTGAACAAGAGAGCACACACGCCGTGGAGATGAGTAACAATTGTGTAGTAGCGAGCCGGTCTCTGATTGTCCAGAAGCCGTCCCCGTCACCAGCCCACGCCTCCGGGTCCGAGCCCAGTATAAGTCCGGGCTCTCTCTCCTTTCGTATCTTCCACGCCCCCCTCCTTTGCGGCCGAGCACTAATACAATCCACCGCTAACCACCGTGTTTAATCAAAAGTTGGGATGGCACCTCTCAAGGCTGCCAGATTGCCATGCCCACAAGGCGGCTGGTTAGCGCGCGCGCGCAGACGCCACGCCACGAGAGAAGAGAGAGGCGGGCTGCCGGCCATCGTGGCGCGACATGGATGAGAGGGGGAGCTGTCTAGACTCTAAGTAATGAGCGCCCCTGGTTGGCTGTCGTCCGAGCAAACGAAGAGATGAGTGAGATGGCTTACGGTTGGCTGAAATTCCCTGGAAAGGATGAGAATCGGATCCGGGAGAGCAGTCAGATAGCGGGCGCCGAACCGACGGACGGATGCGAGTGATCTCTTTGGGCGCCCGCGGAGATGGGGGAGATCGGAAGGCGAGTTTCACGAACATCTTCGTGGCTCTTTTTGCTAGATGTGGCTTCTCGTCTGAGAGCGAGGGGTGGGTTAGGGAACCTTTGAGCCTCATAGTGAAGAAACATCGCATCGCGATGGCCTCATCTCATCGTAGGTAGGAAAAGGCGTTCTCGCCCCTCGACAAGGGCTACTCGTGGCTTTCCAATCCTTCCGATCAGTGGAGAAGATCTCAAACAAGCCACACCCCGATGGGTCGGGGCCCTTGGACTCGATTTCGAAACAGCCTTGGCCTGCCTCCCGTCGTTTTGAGGTTATGGGCCAAGGGCTTGCCGATGATGAACAGTGGAAACCAGCCACGGGACAGCCTTGCGACAGTGTGAACGTTCAAGATCCGATCCAGTATCCGATACTGTGGCTCTTCGATGGGAATGATCACTCCGGCCCATGCACTGGGGCCCTTGCAAAGAGGCTCTTTTCTCAAACCACGATTTCGCCCATCATTTCAGCCTCATGACGATTTCAACTTCGGATATTGCCCGCTGTGAGGCTCGCTGGAGGTTAGTATGCCCGTTCTCTTCCTTCTGTGCATGGCAGAACCGCCATGGCGTCAGACTTGCAGCACGGATATCTTCAAAAAAGTCCAGACCTCGAGTATGTCTGACATGTCGAGACTTTCAGGCCGGCCAGGCATCTTCCCGCCGGGAACCATTGCCTGCTCTCACAACGCCCGCGATACCGCCCAGACCGCGAGAACCTCGGACGCACACACACACACACACACACACACGGTCAGAAGGGGCAATATTCTGTCATTGTGAGCCTTCACCAATTAGCCTGCCTGGCCTAGCCGGGAGATGAGCAGCGCAATGATCACGTCCCGCTCACGGCCGCTGTTGTCATGCAATCACCAGCACTGACGCCTTTCAACTCACGCGCTGGCATTTCGACGGATGCCCGGCGGGGTCCGAGTTCCCCCATCCTGCTATCCGCGAGACTCGGGAAGAAGCAATGACCTCCAGCCATGTCAACTTTGGCTGTGTTGTCATTTGCGGGCTCTCGGGCTGGTGAGGGTTTGCACTGACGCTTTACCGAGTTGCGTGGTTTTCTCCCCACCTCCTCTAGGCTCCGTCTCTCTCTCTTGTATGGCTGATAGTTGTGAGAGCATATTGTGACTTGCGGTAAGTAATTTGGTGTGCTAGGGAGCTAGAGAGGGCACGGTGTAAAGGCCAGCCTCCAAGGGAGTGGACGTGCGACTTCACTCTTTCCTATGGGAACTCGTCCGGCGAGGCCAGCCCATCCAGTCTCATCACCCATTTGTGTTGTCTTGGCCCCTCGATTTCCGGCCTCCCGAAGGTGCTTAGTTGTCATGAGGTGTGTATAAAACTTCAAGCGGGCCGTCGCATTGTGTTGCGATGAAAGCCCACCCGGGACCCGGACCTTCCGGACAACGAAACTTAGCTTGTAATGCCGGCCGTCGCCGCCGCTTTCTTCCGGGCCCGGGGTGTTTTCCTACGTTTTTTTCCGTCCAACTGAACATAAAGTCCTAACACATCATGAACCGAACCGTGGTCGAGCTTCTGAGCGGCACAGAACTTGGCATGGAGGCCTATCGACCTAAGTTGTAGGCGACGTGCTGGAAGGCGGTACGCCACCTACGATCGAGGTTTGGTCTTCTGATTCGACAGCTCTACTCTTTCTCTTCCAAGCAATGTCTATGTATTTTGGTGCCGGAACCTTACTACTGATTAAACCGAAGTGCCAGCCTTGAGTCATCATCACTCTTCGTATGTTCCTCGGCGATTACACTAATGTTAGCGAAGAAGTATATATAGAAGGTCTTCTTATAATTGAGACTGCATTCAGCTGAAATTTGCTTAAATACCTATCACACTAGGAGCGGGAAGACATGCCGGCCGTCCCGAGAGACCTCAGAATCTGCTCTTTCAGGAGCAGTTCGAACGGCTAGGCAAGAAATGCCATATCATCCCTTTCGGACGTTGAATAGAGGCCCATACCGGAGGATAAGGGCTGTTTTAGATTGATCTGCTATATATCAGCGACAGGCCCCCTAGATACACATCTTACTTTTGAACGCTAAATACTACACGATTGTTCCCTCCTCCTTCGAGGGGAAATAGTCCCACCCTAAGCACCCGTCGTTCTTCTTGGCCGCATACGTAACACATCATACTCAAGCCTAAGAGTGAGCGTGCAAAGAAGTGCTACTTGCGGCTTTGTTGTCCTTGGGTATAGAGATGGACCGTGTATGTACTCTAGCGATTGTAATAGAGAGAAAAACAATGAGATGCAAGAATCCAGGGGCTCAAGCGGAGGTAGTTGAAAGCAATCCGAAGTGTAGCTACCAAGCCAGTCGTGCAATTTATCCTAGGCTTTGCAAGCCCTGCTGGCTGGTACAAAGAACGATGCGCTGTTTTATAATATAGAGAGTCCAAGTTCGTCTTAGCCTGCCTCGTTCTTCTTATGGACTGTTGAGGGCTGTAACCATCGACGCAGAATTGCCACCGGCCTCGCAGACTTAAGGGAGACCTCGCTATACCGGTTACACTCATCGCGAGCCCTGATCTTGCCTCTTGATATCCTCCATCCGCTTGCCGTGGGAAGGGGCGATATGGAATAAGCTAGGCCGAGTACGCTGCTGCGGTAGTGAGTTTGTTTTAGGTATAGTCCTGTATCGTTCTGTACTTTCACTTTGAGATTTAAATTCGCACGCCTTCGGTGGCGGCGGACCTCGTCAAACTGGCGTATATAACTAAACGTCGCCGTAGCCTAAACTCGATCTCCTCAACTACGGTAAACATAAGGTCTCTTCTAGTTCATTACGAATGTAGTTTCCAGGTAACTCACAGCCGAATTGGCCCATGGAGCCTTTGATGGCCCTCGTTTTCATAGACGCCGTCTAAATAAGGGATACATATGAACCACTCTCGCCACAACCACTAGTTGTCTTCCTTCACGTATACCTTGCTCATTACGTGGAGACCAATACGGAAGTGTGTAGATAGAGCTCCTTGGGTGGTTTACTTAACGAGGTGGGGTCGTGTCCGTGATCTTGTCATGGCCCGGCAAAGCTCACGGAGCTGCAAGAGTACCTAGTTGACTCAGAAAAAGGCAAGCCTCTCCACTGGTGCTGTAAGAAACTATGGAAGCTGTCGCGCAGGGCTCCCTTATATACAGCATAGCGTACTGTTGGCGCCGGCGTGTGTGCTTAACGCTTACTCAGAGAACCTATCACGGAGCAACGGAAGGTTTAGCAGCAGGCATCGCACTGTTTCTTTCATTATGGGCAGGAACGGCGGCGGGGGATCTTATCCTATATCGCTTCGGAAGCCTTACTGGTCAAGGTCAATGAGGACTTCAAATAGAACACCGGGATAAGCCGCGCCTACTCGGACGTGCAACCGGCTGTTTGAACCTGTGGTCTGCCGGTGCTTAGGGATGTAGCCTTTAACATCACGCGAAATCCCTTGAGGAGCTACTGAGTGTAACTCAAGCAAGCACAACACACCTTTAAACATTCAACATCACCGAGGGTCTGATATCTTCATCAAGGTGACTGAATATCACGGCTATTTCATCTCTTGATAACGAGGAAGCGCATGGGCGTTAGTCCTAGGTGTTAGCCAGAGGTCAATGGTAGCGTCAAGAAACAGCAGCTACAACGCAGTTTGAAGACGCACCCGCATATAACATGTCGCTGCCGGATTGCAACGAATCTGGTTTCCTTCAAATACAGTCGCCTGCGGCGGCATCAATGGTGCCCACGAAGTTGACCTTAGCCACTAAGTTATA